CCCTTTTTTCCACTGATCTTTCCAGTTGTCAGGATGTTCTCCAATGTCTCTCTTCTCATTATGTGGCCAAAGAACAGTGTTTGTCTCTTTCCTATTGTTGTATAGAGAGATCTACTTTCATTAGCCTCTTTCAAGCAATCTTTAGTTACTCTGGCTGTTCAAGGTATTCGTAACATTCGTCTCAAAACCACATCTCTGTTGCTTCCAAATTCTTCTTAATTTGTTCAGTGACATTCCAAGATTTGCTGCATAAAGCAGAACAGGTTCTATGTAACATTTTAGCACCCTCCTTCTGACATTAAATGAGAGCGATTTATTGCATAAAATATTTTTCATTTTCTGAAATGCAGCTTTCGCTTGACCTATTCTGCTTTTAATCTCTGTCACACATTTTCTATCTGATGATATGATTGTTCCCAGATATTTAAATATATTGACTTGGTTAAGTCTTTTTCCTTCAACTGAGATATCACAACGTGGAATTATCTTCTTCTTTGATATAACCATTATTTCCGTTTTCTCAATATTCAATGAAAGTCAAAAGATGGTCATTTGTATAAGGGGAAATATATGAGCATTCACAGAACTTCTTTACTTCTTGGCTTTTTTTTTAAAACTTATATGTTTTCAGTTGACATGGAGTATTTTTCACATGCTCACGTGGCTTTTTTTTTTTCTACATTGTGTGAGATATTAGTCAGCTAGATATGAGGGAGGCTGTTGCGGTCCTGGTCTTTTAAAAATAAAATGTTGCAACAATCCACAAGTAGATTTGAAACCAGTACCTGTCCATCTAGAGGCAGATGGTAATACACTTTCTTAGTCATCCTAACACCACCTAGAACCTACTGTTAGCAGTAGATACACTTGGCGGTAGCTTAAATCTACTATGTTCTTGTAAGATGTCACTGGATTTAACTAGCAGTAGATACACTTGGCGGTAGCTTAAATCTACTATGTTCTTGTAAGATGTCACTGGATTTAACTAGCAGTAGATACACTTGGCGGTAGCTTAAATCTAATATGTTCTTGTAAGATGTCACTGGATTTAACTAGCAGTAGATACACTTGGCGGTAGCTTAAATCTACCATGTTCTTGTAAGATGTCACTGGATTCAACTAGCAGTAGATACACTTGGCGGTAGCTTAAATCTAACATGTTCTTGTAAGATGTCACTGGATTCAACTAGCAGTAGATACACTTGGCGGTAGCTTAAATCTACCATGTTCTTGTAAGGTGTCATTGGATTTAACTAGCAGTAGATACACTTGGCGGTAGCTTAAATCTACCATGTTCTTGTAAGGTGTCATTGGATTCAACTAGCAGTAGATACACTTGGCGGTAGCTTAAATCTACCATGTTCTTGTAAGGTGTCACTGGATTCAACTAGCAGTAGATACACTTGGCGGTAGCTTAAATCTACCATGTTTTTGTAAGGTGTCACTGGATTCAACTAGCAGTAAATACACTTGGCAGTAGCTTAAATCTACCATGTTCTTGTAAGGTGTCACTGGATTCAACTAGCAGTAACCACTTAATATGCCTCAGAACTGCATATCATTTTACCGTATCTATATAACAAGATCATGCAGAGGATCCACTCATGCTAGGGTTACCTTTCATTACTAACCAGTCATTCAAAAACAATAGATTAAATAATTTGGCCACCTGACACTTCGATGAGGTACAAGGTGGAAGAGAAGAAGAAGAAGGCTGCCTGACAGGAATTCCCTCACACCATAGACCACATTGAAGTGAAATAGTTGTCATATCTGGGAGACAGCAACAGGATATTTACTTACTTACAATATACAAGGGAAAGAGGAAGCTTGTTAACAGTTACACTAGTAATCTAAATTTATCTCTCAATTTTTTTCTTTGAATTCGGTTAGTTAGTTAATGGAAAGATTATCCTCACTGCACATAGGACGAGTCCATAAGTGTTCGGATCCCATCATCAGTAAATCCCTCAGCGTGTGGTGACTGATAATAACAGTTCTGTTTTGGTTCACTATTCTTCTTTGGCTACCTGTATAGTGTTCATGTGTGGTGAATTAGGTAAAAGGTAGTGGTAGTGTTGCTACCTCCTGTCTGGGTTACTATATTGGTTGACTGGAAAATCCACTGAAGAGATTTGGTGTAGTTACTGAACTGGTATCAGTGTGCCATCTCCCTGGAGATTGTGTTGCATAGTTCTTCTCTCCCTGTCCAATCTCAGAAACCAGCTTGTGTATGTGAAAATAGTGCTGAAGTTTCACATCTGTGAGGAAGGATATATCCAGACCTTGCCAGCACACCAGACTGATGTATTGAACCCAACAGTTTCACTGTTCATTCTACTGTTTTAGGCATCTGATTGTCAGCTTCAACTCATTATCATTGGTATGGTTTTGGCAGAAGCTAAAGAATAGCTGATGCATTATCTCCCCCTGCACAATGAAATCTTCATTAGTTCAATTACCTCATTGCTTGATGGTTGAAAACAACATGGCTGTGATATTTGTACCTTCAGGCATTGTTGTCTGAGTGTGGATAGATCTCTTCCTGTCCATCAGAACTCACATATACAGTGCAATCTGCTCAAGGTGATCTCAGATGTGAATTTCTGTTGTGAAGAACAATTTGTTTATCCCCTGACAATTTTTCTTGCTTGAATTCTTATCTGGATAAGAGGAATTTTTAATAAGAGTTATCATTTCTTGAGTCCTCAGTGAGTTCACCACATCATGTCTGAACTGTATTCTTGAATCAGTTGCTTACATCTTATTTGTCTTTTAAATTACGCTAGAAATTATCAAGAATAACTTTTATGAGACTGTCATCTGTGGTGTTTGGCATTTGTAGGCTGTTTAAACAAACTGTAGAAACTCACTTGGCTGGCCATTAAGAGATTGACAAACTTTGGAAAATCAAAGACTATGATACGTGGTCACTGAATTTAACAGTTTCAGGGAAAATCACATCATGTGAAATAAATGCTTGGGAAAAATGTAGTGAATCATGAACATTAAGAAAGACAAACCATGAAATACTGAACACATTAAATATCAAATCAGTTTACTCCTAAGTATGATTTCAGTACCAGACATGACATTGTTTGGGGCTTTTTAAAAAACAAAGCGCTCTGTAATAATTTAAAATAGGAAATACAGTTTGCTGTAAATGAATGTAGACTGAACCTAAATGGAAAAAAGTCTCGGCCTGGAAGGCCTTAGGGCGTGCTTCACGTGCATTACTCCCATGTCACGCAATCTTGTTAGTGTCAGAGATTCTCAGAGTCTGTTTATATTGTAGACTGGGTGACTTTTTCAGGATTTGGGTGCATACAGCTTATAGACTGTTTTATTCTGTGATTTTTATTTGGTATACAGTATAACTAGACGCTCGTCGCGGATCGGAAGGACGTTGGTTCGCTCCCTGGTGGAGCCGGACTTTAAAAAAAAAATGACCCTGGCTCCCAGGTCGACCCAGCCTTGAGTGGGTACCGGGTGCAGTCCCGGGAAGTAGAGGCGGCCAACGTGATGCTGACCACATCACCCATCTTGTGCCGTTGGTCTATAAAAATATAGGTCTAGCCATATATGTCCGTATACGTCTAAAAGCATGGAAAAGGGTCCTTTACTTACTTTTCTTTTATACAGTATAAACCCCATATGTTTAGACCAATTAGCACTCGATGATTACCACGGTAAGAATTAAAGTGGGCACCTTTGCTTCCTAGAAACTTTCCTAATACTATTTTTAAGCTGAATCAATAAAAGGGTTTATCTAAGAGTGGTACTTATCTACAGCAGAATCCTTTCCCACTTGAGTATTAAACCAGTTGTCACAATTAGTAAAAAAGAATATGGCCACAGCTCCTGTAATTAAAATATTACAAAGTGAGTAAATTTGTAACTATTTCATCATCATGTAGAAGGTCTTTTGCGGAGTGCCACTAAAATGATGATTTGCTGAGAAATATATTAATCGTTTATTTTTTTCCGTGCCTCATGCATTAAACATGATAAGTAACTGGTATATTTCTTGACAGTTTCATATTCCATTAGAATGCGCCGGTGTTGCAGAATCAAAACATTAAATAATCAACAATGACGGCACTCACATCCACCCGCACACACACACACACAACTGCATGCCTCAATTATAGGGATAAATCTGTTTTGTTGGTAAAAAAAGTGAATGTGTGTTATATTCAAATTTGTATACAATATGATGAAGAATCAGTTTTATCATTATGTGTTTGTTGTTATGGAGTAGTGTTTGTTAAATTGATTAACCTCTACTCAGGCACAGTTCAGCAAAGCTGATTTTTCTTCATTGGTCCACTGATGGGATAACTGGAATCAGAAGGACGGTGAAGATGGCAGCTGACTTTATAAGACTGTGAAGTGTATACGAAAGCCTGCTGTCTTCTGTCGCTAGTATTTGCCCGTTTTGTTAGTTCTTCAAAGTAGAACATTGTGGTCGTAGTAATATTGTTCTGTGCATTCTAAAATGATGTTTTTTCAGGATTCATTGTATTGAATTGGGATTAGGGGTGTGGATACTTTGATACAATTTCAGTTTTGGTGGATAATCTTTGGTTTATTTTCTGTATGCTTTGCCATCATTTTAATTTCTTTGTCTATTTACTTTCCCATCATCCTCATCAAAAATTTATGTCTGTCTCTCTTTCTTTGTCTCTCTCTCTCTCTATCTCTCTCTCTCTCTCTCCTTTCATTCATTTCCCATCATGCATATCATAACTCTTACTTCTTTCTACTTTCCCATTATACTTATCTGACTAATCTCTTTATATTAACTTCATTAAATGTTGACATTACATTTCTCAAATGATAAAGCCTAACTGGTATTCATTTCATGATGTTTAAATGTCATTTTTTTTTCTCTGTGTGTCACGTATTAATTTGAATGCACATTAATGCTTGAATAAAAGTTTCATATAGATTTCCAGCAGCCAATCTTGACCTTGTTATTTGCCTATGGTTTGTTTCAGCTTAAACTGAAGAACTTTGAGAGAGTGGAAAAGGTCAGTAAGATACAGTGCAGTGTATTAGTTTTGTGTAAAATAATGGAATGAATCAAGTCATTATCTACTTAAACATAAAGAGAAATATGAATTTTTGTGTGTACGGTCTCATGGCTGTCAGTTTTTCATATATTAAAATAGTAATTTCAGCTGTTTTCTTGTTTTTAAAAGCATTTTTTGTAAGGCATATTTATTTGTGTTGTTTTAAAAGATACAGCCTTGCATAAGATGTACACATTTTGGTAAACAATTAGGTATATTTGAACAGAATCAAAGACAAACACAGGATTTCAAATAATACACCAAATGAAAATCCAGCATAATAAAGTTTGTTGTTTGTTTTAATTTTCTGTTATTTTACAACAGATTTGTATTGTGAAATGTTTGTTTATCATATTTTATAGTTAAGTTTACCTAATGAAATCTTGGTTGTACATTGTGAGGGTGAACTTAAGTGATAATGTGTCATGTTTTTTCTTTATGCACATCAAATGTGAATGTTCCAGTTAAATGTGTTGCCTTTGATGGCCTATAGCTGCCTATGGTGTTTGGTAACATGCCTGTTCCTTCTAGGTGTGACATCACTTTCTGCCGAACAGTTTTTTAGCAATAGTTTGCCATACATTTGTTGCCAGCTTTTGAATCTATAATTTCTGATCCTTGGGGGATCCCTGTCTAGTTTTGGAAATGGTTTGAAATAATTTTGTAGCCAGTACATTCAATGTTTGGATACTAGTGGAAGATTTATTGGGTGTGACAATAACAAGTCTATCGAGTTATCTGATCTTGTTCCTAATTGATTGGTGTTTTTTTCCTGAAGCAGTCTATACTCTCTGTTATGTGTAGCATTTCATATGTTTGAATTTTCTCTTTTTAAGTTGAATTTTAATTGTAGCCATCAAATTTTTATGCTGCAGATTTGGGATTTTAAAAATTGTGTGTGATAAATTAGGATTTGTGTTTTGGTTACTTGGAGTTCTTGTGATTTCTGGCATAGATTTCATGTCTTTTTTACAACTCCTGATTTGTAATGCTTTTGTGTTTATTGAATTTATTCCACCACTGAAATCTGTTTATTTTATTTTGCCCATTGTTTCGAACACAGTTGTAGTTTAGTAGTTTTTAGGTTTGATCCCTCACTGGAGAAGTGGAATAAATGCTAGAAATAAATACATTATGGATTTTAAAAAAAAATAAGTACTTGTAGGAAGTTTTACTCCTCTAATGATACTGGGGTAATGAATTAGATGTCTGGTCTTTTCGGATAAGGTTGAAAAATAATGAGTCCTGTTTGAACACCACATATGATAGAAATCTTATCTGTTGAAAAAATGTAAGGAATTTACATTTTTTCTTCTTCTGGTAAATGTTTTTTTTTAGTGTCTACAATTGAATATTAATAGTCTTTTATATGTGTGTGGAAGAAAAAGTGAATCCACTACATACATTTGCAAAGAAAATTTCACCGTAGACACAAAAATAAGACTGTGTAGATGTTAAAAAAATTTCCGTCTTTTGAGTGAATCACCTGGTTAGTATATTTCAATCTTTTGAGTGAAGCACCTGGTAACTTTCAGTCTTGTGAGTGAAGCACCTGGTATCTTTCTATCTTTTGAGAGAAGCAATTGGTGTCTTTCAATCTTTTGAGTGAAGCACCTGGTATCTTTCTATCTTTTGAGAGAAACACCTGGTAACTTTCAGTCTTGTGAGTGAAGCACCTGGTATTTTTCTATCTTTTGAGTGAAGCACCTGGTAACTTTCAGTCTTGTGAGTGAATCACCTGGTATCTTTCTATCTTTTGAGTGAAGCACCTGGTATCTTTCTATCTTTTGAGAGAAACACCTGGTAACTTTCAGTCTTGTGAGTGAAGCACCTGGTATTTTTCTATCTTTTGAGTGAAGCACCTGGTAACTTTCAGTCTTGTGAGTGAAGCACCTAGTATCTTTCAATCTTGTGAGTGAAGCACCTGGTATCTTTCTATCTTTTGAGTGAATCACCTGGTATCTTTCTATCTTTTGAGTGAATCACCTGGTATCTTTCTATCTTTTGAGCGAAGAACACTTTATCTCCTGACAGTTTTCTAGTGGTACTCCGGTTTTAATTTTCTCATATGTTCAGAAATTAAGATGCCTTCTTGTCTCATCATTCACTGACATCCTGTAGAATGTTCTTGAGTCTCTTATTGGGGTACTCTGATTTTCCGTAAAAACCACATTTCAACCTAAGCAAAGACATGTGCTGGAGGAGGTTGGGTCGAATGTCTGTGGGGTTTCATGTCTGCTTCAACCATGACAGGACTTTAAAAAAAATGATATTAATTGAAAAGAGAGAAACAAAACTTGTCTGGGGATGGTATATTTGCACGCTAACTCTCCTCTTAAGTGAATTAGATGCCTAAGTTATGTAAGTAAGGGGAGGGGTGGGGCGGTTGGGCAACACTAGAAGTCATTTGCTTGTAAAATGTAAACATATTCTCTGCAGTTTGAAAATGGCAAAAGTATGTATAGTCTAAGTATGAAAACCCACATCATCCACACTGAAACACATCTGATGAAGCTACTGGTGGACATGGTAGCTGCAGTTCCCACCAGCCCAAGTCTGTGGTTGTGTTTTTGGGTAGCAGAAGTAGTTGCATCTTTTCTAGTGCTGTTCGGTTCAGCACATGATGTAACCAGTCTGAAGTTCTATTTCTGGGTGTGGTTCATCCATCACCAGCGATGAAGACCACTTTTCATCCAAAGTAGTAATGATCAGTGATTATGAGTATGAAGGTGACATGTTCATTTTAGTCCAATATGAGCCCAGAAAGTTCTTGAGCTGTACGGACAACAGGTGGAAGCTGCAGTAAGTGTGGGATTAGCAGTATGATTCTTTCTAGTCTGCCTCCCTTTCTCTGCCTGTGCAACCTCCGCTGCCTGACAGGCTGATGCACCATGCCTGAAGGATGTACGCCATCAAGAGCAGTCTTGTGCAGCAGCCTCCCACGTCACTGTGTTGATGTCAACAGAATTGAGAGCAGTTTTGAGAGTGTTTTTGTAGCGCTTTTTCTGTCCTCCCTGGGACCTGTTCCCTTACTGGAGCTCGCCATACACTACTCTCTTTGGGAGGCAATATTCTGGCATGCGGGTTAGGTGACCAGCCCAACGCAGCTGATAATTCTTCAGTATCCTATGGATGCTAGGCAGTTTTGCCCTATCAAGAACCACTGTATTCGGGATTATATCTTGCCATTTGATTTTGAGCAGCTTTCTGAGACAGGTTATGTGAAACCGATTCAACTTTTTAGCATGGCGCTAATACAAAGTCCATGTTTCGCAAGCGTAGAGCAGTACTGGAAGAATTAAAGCTTTGTAATTTAGCTTGTGTCAGCAGGGAGATACCACTTCCGTTCCAGACACTGGTATAAAATCTGCAGAAACTGTTGCTGACCTTTGAGATTCTAACATTGATCTCATCGTCGAAGTTGACTCTCTGAGATAGGCTACTGCCAAGATAAGTGAATCTGTCGACTACATTTAGCTTTTGATCATTTACAGTGATAGTGGGATCACAGTAATTTTTTCTTGGAGCCGGTTGATAGATAACAAAAGTTTTAACAGTGTTGATAGTATTACTAGGTAACAGCCTCATCGCAGATGTTTGTTTTCAAATAAGTGTTGAATTAAGAAAGACATCACAGCACGCTGAACACTCTCATAAGCGGTCTGTCCCCATTTTCAGCAGCAAGTGAAGAGTTCCAATTCTGATGGCACTAGTGACTGTCCGATTGTATAGTTTGTTTTCTAAATTGACCTAGCTAACAGCTGAGTACCAGAAACTGTCCTGGGAAGTGAAGCAGACCAGCAACATGTTGACCACATCACCCATCCAATGATAATTTGGTCTAAACAAATAAAGGTCTGATACTAAATGCCTGATACGTCAGAGGCACAAAAAGGGTCTGCTACTCTACTTTTACTAGTCTGGTCTCTTCTAGAAGTAGGCAGCTCAAAACATGTTTCATTTAGATGTGGATGTAACCTACAGTTTTTTTTCCCCTTTTCACTAAATCTGCTCTAGCAAATTATTTGACATATTTAATTTTGATGTTAAGATCTTTATTCCAGTTATCCTCTGACTGCCAGTTAGGATGTCTAGTTAACCATAGAAACATTAATATACAGCACACAAGTCATCTTGATCAGCCGCCTGAATAAGCGTATACACTCCAACCCCCAAGAAAGTTTAAAAAAAAAATAAACAATTTATTAAATTGACAGAATGGTTAGTTAAAAAACCATTCATGATACTATGTAGCCACACACCCACTATTTTTTTCCCCTTAAAAGGTCACTTGATGTGTTGTGATTTACACCTGATCTGCAGTAGTATCTGAGCCCTTCAGCAGCCCAACATGTCTGATTTCAGCAAACCCTTAACTAAATGCCTTTTATGACATGCTTGGGGGAGGGGGGGTCTATTCTTCCTGTCTCAGAATTTTGTCCAGCTACCAGTTATCAGCATAAACTATCTGAATAAGAAAGTTTGATTATGCAGAAATAGAATGCAGAGGTTCTGAATTACACATGGCGGTACAAGTCCTATCTACACCTCCCACTGATTATCCTTGAAACATTCCAAACTGGCAACCTGGTCAGCATTGGCAGAATCGACGTTTACTTCAAAGTCAGAGTGCATCTGCCTGAAAGGCAAGGAGTCAACCGATGCGTACATAAAATTCAAGTCCTGGAACAAGGCAAATGCCCAGATGTGGATGAACAACCAGGAGTTTATAGCTGGGTCACTGATTATGCTATTTTTTTGTCATTTGAAGCCCCACCCGGGCTCCTGCCAGGGGCCCTGAATACAGCTGGGGCATAGATATGGCCTAGCCATAAAACCGTAAAGGGGTTTCTGGGACCTCTCCATGGGTGATCTTCATCGGCATGGTGGCACTTTGTGTCACCGGGTGTTTATCACTTGTGTGATGTCCTGGTGGGGTACAACTACCTACCTACCTACCTACAGCTGGTGAAGAAGAAGAAGATAATGCAGAATGAATTAACCCAGAGGTAAAAAAAATAAAACAGCAATTCCAAAGCAAAAAGAAGTAACAGAAGAAATGGGAAGAACATTATTGAAAATCAAGTGTAAACCACAACACGACATATTAACAGGCACAGAGAAAAGAAGAAGAATGTTCTTGCTTAAAATATTTCTTATATCATTTCCAGTAGTATAACTGGCACAGCATCATAGCTTAATCTGCTTGGTCATCATTCATAAAATTTGAAAATTTAATAATGTATTTTTTTTTTAAAGGTTAAAGGGTAAAAAAAACTTTTTGAGTATTTATTTTAAAACATGAGATAAATATACAATAAATAATGCTGTCATGCACTTTTACAAATAGTTAACATCAGGAATATTTTTAAAAAATGCTTATAAAAAAAAGTGAAGAATGTTAATATTATTCATCTCATCTCATTCTGATCCTCTTATACCTTGCAGTGTTGAGGTGAAGTATAATTTACAGGAAAGTGCTTGTTAGGTGTCCTTTGTAAATGGGGATTCCCAGGGACCCTGTTATAACATCTTTTCCATGTAATAACTATAACCTCCCTAACATGAACTCACTTAAGACAAACACTCATTTAACATTTTGGCCCAGCAGTTGTATTATTCATAATACTTATAGTAGTTCCCAGTTAACACACATTTTTTAAACACAAATTAAAGAGCTTTAAATTGGTCAGTCAACCAGAAGTGTATTGCAGCAACCAGGTTGTCTCACTGTTGCAAAGGATATATTCCTGTGTCTGCAAGAATTACTATTATCTGTTGGTCAGTATTTGAAATGTTGCTGTGTTTAGTAGACTCAGAACAGAATCAGTCATGTGTAACAGACTCAAAATTCCTATTAATATACACAGTACACACAGTTAAAGATTGGATACACAGCATTTTGAACAAGCAGGGAAAGGCTTCAAACTGCGGAACATATACTACAACAAATCAGCTGAGAAATATAAAAAATAGACATGAAGGATTGGATAAAACAACCCTAGATATCAAATTTTATGCAAGTCTGCATAATCTTAAGAAGACAGCATAGTTCATGCTGGAAACAACTTTCAGACAAGCTGATTCTAAGTGAATGAAAAGAAGAAAAGGGCATGTAGTAACACTCAAAATAGAACAAGACTACAAGAACATAATGTCAAAGAGGTGTTGTCAGAACATGAACACCATACAGGTAGCCAGAGAAGAATAGTAAACCAACACAGAACCGGTGTTTTCAGTTACCACACACTGAGGAAGATTCTGAAGTTGGGATACAAACGCTTAGGGACTCCAATGTGCAGTCGATTAACTAACTCAGAATAAGTACAAGTGGAATAAATGACATAAAAGACTTGAAAAAGTGAGCCCTAAAGCTAAGATAATAAATTATTGGTTGGTAGTTTATTGAAATAAGAGAATGTCTGGCCATAAAAGACCAGGGACAAGTATGTTAGTAGCCATGTCTGCAGGAGTGCCCTTTACATAAATGCTGGGTGTAGAAATCTGGACTGATTAGAACAAATAGGAAGCTAAACCCTTTATTTGGCTTATAAATTTGTGTCACACTTATCTATGGGCCCAAAGGTTGTGGGTTCAAATCCACATCAAGCCAGATAAAAAAAAAATACAGGTGGCTGGCGTGATACTGGCCACACCACCCACCGACTGCTGATTGGTGTATACAAATAGGAGTCAGCCCGATGCACAGCTCACATAAAAAAGATTTTTCGCTTTACAGTGTGCAACATGATTTAAAATACGTGTTTAGAAATCACTGTTAGTTATGTTGCATATCTTTTACAGGATTTTGCAGAATTAACTGAAGCAATTTTTGGCTGCCTATGATTTCACTAGTCAGTGTTATATTCAGTAGTTTGCCACTGCTAAGGAATTTGGTAAAAATTCTTGTAAAAGTGTAGAAGTGGCCAACAGATTTATTGATTATACTCAAAGACCATATCTCTAACAAAAATGATTTGAACAAAGAAGACACAAACATAGACTGCACAATTTATTGCCTGGCATATTTCGCTGTATTTCGTCAGGTGCATACTACAGTAACAATTGATTAAAATGAAGCAAATAGCTGAATCCTAGAAACTGAAACACAAATTCGAGTACATTTCTAAAAAATGATTTGCATAGCGTAATTGTTTTTGATTTTTTCAAAGCCTGAGAACAAAGGATGAATGATGCTGAATAAAGTTATTTGTTACAGACAAATAGATAAGAAGAACATAAAAGTATACTTAAATACTGAAGTAAAAGTATACTATACCTAAATTCTAAAGTAAAAGAAGGCTGAAGTAAAAATATACTATAAAAAAAAAACTAAAGTAAAAGTATACTTAAGTAAAAGTTAGTCAACAGATCAATCTCATTGCACATCGAACCATTCAGTCCATAAGTGGTCTGAACCCCTCCTCAGTCAATCCTGCAGTGTGTAACAGCAGACTAAACCAGTTCTAGGATGGTTGACTTTTCTTCTTTTGGTTTCCTGCACACACTTGGCTTGCTTGCCTCTCTTAACTTGCTGTTTTTCAAGTCTGGTCACAGTTGCAGAATCACTGAAAGAATAAAATAAAAGCATACTGAAATAACAATATACAGATGTGTCAGATTTCTAGTAGCAGTAGTTTTTGCTGCAGCTCTGTTTACTAATAAAAATATGATGTTCTCATAGTTTTCGGACAGTGGTACAAGAACTGCATGGCAGAGAATTTTTGAGCCTTACTATATAATATTACGAGAGACATCAGTGGGTGCACTAAAGCCAGCCTTCCATGTGGAGATGGTACACCATTTCTTGTTTTAAAAATTAGGATTAGGTAGTTGAATGCAAAATTATTTTGGCATTTAAAGCATTTATTGTATCCCTGAAATCATTACTATTCTGCAAATGGATGTTTTTCCTTATAACCTACATCTTTTATTATTCAGTGTATGTCACCTGGATGCTTATTTAGATGAAATAGACAATAAAGGTATTCTCTGTTTACGAGTGTGTTTGTCATGTTTGCCATTTTGTATGTGGTTGTCAAATTGAGAATACCAGGTGCACAGTGTGAGAGATGCCTTCGTGTTCATTTACAAAACTTTGCAGACGATGTACCAGCACTGGATACAAATCCCTTGCGAGCATCTGTGACATTCAAGTTGTGCTTCTCATGCTAGAGGATGTTTTCTTTGCGTACTGTGCTGTATTATATTAATGTGCCTGCTAAAGTATGCAGCTTTTGGTTCAACTTTTGCACGTTTCTACTTGGGACAATCACCACCTACAGCTGTTCCAGCGATGCCTGATTAAAGTTCTCAACATTGACCTGTGGAAGCTCTATCTACACTACATCAAAGAGACAAAAAGTACCCTGCCCTCTTACAGGTGAGTCTGCAGTTTGTTTTAAAGAGGTTTTTTCTTCTTCTTTTGTCGTCTCACTGATACCAGGTTGTAGACCACTGTCATGATTGTTTGTATTTGTCTTGCCCTTCTCAGGTTGCTTTGGTGATGGATTTGTTATCTGTTTGCAGGTTTCAGCGACACCATTTCTCCCTGTCCTTCCTTAGTCTAAACCTTCATCTTCCTCCCAGATGTTCTGTTGCTTTAAAAAAAAAAAATTTTTTTTTCGCTGGTACATAAAAAAAAAATCTGTATATGAAATGAATGTAGTTACATGTGAAAACTAGAAAGATTTATTGAAAACTTCCTGTGACATGGATTTATTGCACAAAATATTCTCCATTTTATAAAAGGCAGTTTTGGCCTATCCTTTTCTGCTTTTTATTTATGTGATACATCTTCTCTCGGATGTTGTCCATGTGCCTAGATACTTAAATTTCTGTACTTGTCCTAAAATAACGCCTTTGACTTTTATTATACATTTAGGCACTATTCTTGGAAATCACCATTACTTCTGTTTTCCCATTATTCAAACTGAAGCCCATTTTATCACTTTCTACCACCACCGTATTTATCAGTTCCTGTAGTTCTTTCTGACTTGTCGCTATCAAGACAGTGTCATTGGCATAACACAAGTTGTTAATGTTATGACCACCAACCACAGTTTCTGGCAAATCCATGATACATCTTATTATATGTTCACTGTATAATGAAAACAAATCAGGTGGCAGTACACATCCATGTCTTATTCTCTGAAATGTTCCCAAATGTTTATTAATTTTTATAGCTGCTGTTTGCTGCCAGTATATGTTCCTAATAATTTGTAAATCTTTTCCATCAGTGTTTGCCTTTCCAGTAGTTTGATTACTACATGAAGTACATAAAAAAAAATAATTACACTGGCTTCCAGGTTGTCTCAGCCTGAAATAAGTGCAAGAAAGGTTTAGCAAAGTAAAGACAACCTGCTTGATGTTACCCACATCACCTGTTGTGTTCTGATTGATCTCTAAGTATATAAAATATGAGCCCAGCGTCATATGGTGACTGGCCATTCATGTGAAAACTGTCTTTGACTTTTTTCATATGGTGACTGGCCATTCATGTGAAAACTGTCTTTGACTTTTTTCATATGGTGACTGGCCATTCATGTGAAAACTGTCTTTGACTTTTTTCATATGGTGACTGGCCATTCATGTGAAAACTGTCTTTGACTTTTTTCATATGGTGACTGGCCATTCATGTGAAAACTGTCTTTGACTTTTTTCATATGGTGACTGGCCATTCATGTGAAAACTGTCTTTGACTTTTTTCATATGGTGACTGGCCATTCATGTGAAAACTGTCTTTGACTTTTTTCAGTATATTAGATATCCATTACACTATTTTAAAAACATTTACTATGAAATGGTTGCATTCTAAAATGGTTTATTTTTCTGTTTAAAAATTAAAATATTTAAGAACTTTTGTGCTGTTGAGTCATTTCTGTTGAATTTTGTTAGTGTTTTGTTGGATTAACCAGTCCGTGCAAGTTTGAAGTTTTACTCTAGACAATCTGTGTCGTGCAGACGGATTTTATTGACACTGAAAGTACACCTGACCCGCAGCAACTGCTGGACATTGTTGTAATAGAGAGTGCCAGGAAAGAACTTTCTTTGAGTTTAAAGACTATAGAAACAATGGTTATATCAAAGAGTTGAGACAAGAGCTGACATCTTAGCACTTGGTACATTCACATAGTGCTCTGTCCTCCGCTTCAGCAGTGAGAGAAAAGTTCCAGTTCTCATGGTACCTGTAGCAAATTGTGTCAAAGGGGGAATAAACACCAAAACTTTTGATATACGGCAGAGGAGAAAAATGCTTTATCGAGTCAGTAAATTCAAATGTTTGAGCACAGTCATTACATCACATGAAAGATGGCTGACAGAAAGTAATAGCTAAAGAAGCCAAACAAAAGATCACTGACAGAAAAAACAGAGGCAGACCTAAAGAAGTCTATATCTGACGTGTCTTAAAACAGTTGATTGCAGTTTAATTATCTATAGAATTGATGAAGAACATCAAGAACCCTGATCTGTAATGAGGCATAAATGAATATGCCATCTGACAAGGCACACAATATTTAGATGTTTCACAGTTGATTTAAACCCTGTATGAAATCTTATGTTAATATGGTCCACTTCATATCATTAACTGTTGATTTGAACCCTGTATAGTATGTTATGTTAATACCATTGACGTCATTGCACACTGGCCATCCCCACACATGCTGTCCTCTGATGTCCACCATCATCATCATCATCCACGGTTGTCACTTTCTTGCTTGCATCAGGTTCTCGTGGCCAGGAGATAATGTTAGCTGCACCAGAAGTTACTTGAGTTAGATCTGCCATAGAGCTGGTCATTTTCACAATTGGTTTCTAATTATATCTCACTTTCTCCTGGTCTTTTGAATAGTGAGATTGGAAACCAAGCCCTCTTGGATAAATGTATGGGGAAAAAAGAGCCCTTTCTGCATATTAAAAATGTCAAGACAATTAGAAATTGAACATAGTAGGCTGCGAGGTTGCTGCCTCTGCAACATTGTTTGGGAAAAACCTTACCATTTTTAGACTGAGCCTGCTATTGAGTTGCGTGCATGGAGGAAATTCTGAGCTGCGGATTTTATTTGAAATTACTGTGCCAAAAATAGTGTGTATTGTGAACTGTAGATTCAGAAAATAGTAAGTGGCCTGTTGCCACAGGGCTAAGGTTGTCTGATTTGATTAATCACATGTGCAACTACTTATCTGTTGTAATTATTGCTTCTATTGATAATTAACTGCATTTCTAGTGTCAGACTGTTTGTGTTGGCACTTCTGGCCGCTGCCTTATGCATATAATGCCTATGTATGCTACTGCAGATAGTGTCACTTTCTTCCACAAGGACAGTGGTGGAGATTCTCTGTGGGGTTTTTCGCTGCCTGTCTTGCCTACATTGACCCCATAAGGCTCATTTATGTAAGTAGGGAAAGTTAAGGATCCTTCTCCTGCCTTTAGCACATCAGGCTGGTAATGGTATACCTTAATTTTTATAGACCATTCAGCAGTCTGTGGGTGATGTAGTCACCTCCATACCAGCCACTTTTACTTCCCAGGCTAATTTCTGTATTATGCCTCTTCTGTTGACATGCTGTACACAGTTTAAATCTGATAGTTTTGATGTGTGATCTTATCTGATCATGAAGAAAACAGAGAGCTCTCAATATTTTTTTTCCAGTCTACAAATGGACATTTCATAACTCTATTACAGTACAAGACATGACATGACATTTATCTTCTGTTTTGTTTTTTGCTTTTAAAGTTGTTTTGTTTTTCTTTCATTTCAGGGAAAAGATGGCTCAAGCTTATGACTTTGCTTTGGAGAAGATTGGCATGGATATTATGTCTTATCAGATTTGGGCTGAGTATATCAGTTTCCTGAAGTCTGTGTGAGTTTCACAGTTTCTGGTGATTCTTAAATCATTCATGAGGCACACATCACATTTGTGTTTTTGTAAGAAAAATAGATAACTCCAGAATAAAGTGATTCTATTGTCTTCTTTCTTTTCTCCTCCTTTTCTTCTTCATTCTTCAGAGTGACCTGTTTACAGCACAGCTGCGATATTTTTACCTTTCTTCTGACACATCCGATTTCATCAGGTATTTTTTGACTGGGCTAGCGTTCCTAATGATTCTTTTTGACATCTAATATACTGAGCCACAGATCTGATGAAATGGTGCAACATAACCTGTTTCATAATGAGTTGTTACAATATATATATATATATATATATACCCACACACACACGGGTTTATGCACACACTCACACACAACGCGGGCGCTAATTTAAAAATAAAATGGTTTGGACTAGATTATCAGATGTCACCATATGCAGATGTGGCTTAAGCGTGCGAGTCCAACTCGCTCGTAATTCCAGTGTACTGCGATTGAAACCCACTGCTGGCTGCCTGGATTGTTATCATGGTATGGGGCGTCGCAGGTCGACCCAGCCTAAAATGGGTACCAGGATGTGTGTCCTGGGGAAGTAAAGACAGCCCGCATAATGCTGACCAAATTACCCAACTAGTGCCGATTGGTCTGTAAAAATATGGGTGCTCTTCCTATATGCTCGATGTGCCCAAAGGCATGAAAAGGGATCTTTTTTTTTTTTTTTACCACATGCAGATCATCACTTTTGTGGAATCTGAAATAGAAGTGATTGTTCCGAGGCATTGGATTGGATTCTGCTGGATTGATCAGTTTATCCGATCAGGGCTGCTACCAAATACCATCCTGAGATGTAAAGATAATCTGGATGGCAGACTAGCAAGGCAGATCCCAGATACCCCGTTCAGCCTCCAGAGATGTTATGTGTAAACCTGCAGTTCTGTGTGGGTAAGGACATGGATTCTGCTGGCAGTGGACAATACTTAAATCCCATAGAGCAGGGGTTGCCACTTAGCTAAGACCTGTGGGTCCCCCTTTTTTCTCCCCGAGGTCTTTGTAATAGTCGCACCTAATATGATTTATGATAAATATTAGATTTACCGAATCCCTATGTAGGTTGTGGGGCCTCATTGTGGGGGAAAAGTCAAAGTGCATCTGCCCGAGAAGCAAGGAACCAAAAGTCTGCTTACAGATAAGTCAGATCTGTAAAATGGATGTGAGTGCAATATTTTAACCCAAATCCCTTGTAGTTGATAATTTGCTTAAGGGCTGGGAAAACAATCTCTACATTAACCTCAGTCCAGTAGATGCTAGCCGGTTTCAGAATGTCATCAACCTCAACACTGATGTATCAGCAACCCAACACTGATGTATCAGCAACCCAACACTCATGTTTCAGCATTCCAACACTGATGTATCAGCATTCCAACACTGATGTATCAGCATTCCAACACTGATGTATCAGCATTCCAACACTGATGTATCAGCATCCCAACACTGATGTATCAGCATCCCAACACTGATGTTTCAGCATCCCAACACTGATGTATCAGCATCCCAACACTGATGTATCAGCATCCCAACACTGATGTATCAGCATCCCAACACTGATGTATCAGCATCCCAACACTGATGTATCAGCATCCCAACAATGATGTATCAGCATCCCAACAATGATGTATCAGCAACCCAACACTGATGTATCAGCATCCCAACACTGATGTATCAGCATCCCAACACTGATGTATCAGCATCCCAACAATGATGTATCAGCATCCCAACAATGATGTATCAGCATCCCAACACTGATGTATCAGCATCCCAACACTGATGTATCAGCATCCCAACAATGATGTATCAGCAACCCAACACTGATGTATCAGCATCCCAACACTGATGTATCAGCATCCCAACACTGATGTATCAGCATCCCAACACTGATGTATCAGCATCCCAACACTGATGTATCAGCATTCCAACACTGATGTTTCAGCATCCCAACACTGATGTATCAGCATCCCAACACTGATGTTTCAGCATCCCAACACTGATGTATCAGCATTCCAACAATGATGTTTCAGCAACCCAACACTGATGTATCAGCATCCCAACACTGATGTATCAGCATCCCAACACTCATGTTTCAGCATTCCAACACTCATGTTTCAGTATTCCAACGCTGATGCATCAGCATTCCAACAGTGATGTATCAGCATTCCAGAGAATTCAAAGCATCCTCATATGCATTGTGGGTCTTTGTTTTATGAAGGAAAATGAATAGACCCCCTGCCCCATAACAAGCATGTCATAAAAGACTAATTAGGGTTTTGCTGAAATTTGATGTTTTTGGCTAAAAGGTGTAGATTTTCTGCCAAGCTGTACACCACAATGAAATATCTCAACCATCCTGTTAAGTACGAATGAAGAAGAAGAAGAAGTAAATCCACGATGACAATTGATAAATATAATAATTTTACCAATGCATGATGACCCAGTCACAAAATATTGTTGCAGCCAATAATGTTTTCTTCTGTTGTTACAGGGAGGCTGTTGGTTCTTACGCAGAAAACCAGAGAATAACTGCAGTCAGGAAAGTCTATCAGAGAGGTGTCACTAACCCCATGATCAACATTGAACTTCTGTGGAAAGACTACACAGCTTATGAAAATGTAAGCTCCTTAACATTATTGAAATCACTGGGAAGATTCTACCTCTTCTTCTTTGTACTACTGCTTATGCCGTAAAGCATCCCAGAGTTGAGTTAGATGTAGTTTCTTGTGTTATGCTAGTTGCAAAGCTTGGCTTAATGTTATGTTGCGTTTCTGTGTCTCTATACTTCCTCCACCCATGTCTATCTTGGTCGGCCTCTTGACTTTTAGCCTGCTGCTTGCATGTAGTACACTTTAGCTGCTGGGTGATTTTGTTCCTCCTGACTAAATGACCAAACCATTTGATTCTTTGATATTTTATGAAATCATTTACCGGTAATAAGATGATACTAAACATGACACTTTAACACAGTTGATACTCCATCTGTAGCAGACAATAGCAAGTAAAATACTCTTTTAAGCCATGGCAATTCAAGTTTGTGATGCTAGACGTGATGTTTAAAGACCAATTGACACTCACTGGGTGATGTGATCAGTGTCACACCGGCTGCCTTTACTTCCTAGGTACTGATTTTAGACCGAATTTACCTGGGATCCAAGATCAAGTTTTAAAAAAAAATATGGCTGCAGCCAGAGATCCAGACATCACAGACAAGGCTTACACAGCCCTTGTTAGGATTAGCCCTTCTCAGGGCTATGTCAGCAAAAAAAACACCTGAAAAACCGACACACTTGGAGGTTACAGCGTAGGACCAGCCACTAGACCCCACCTCGAGAGACCAGACAACAGGCAGCCCAACAGTTACAAGTCAAGGCGAGCAAACATCAAGTAAAACGTATGAGGAAGATGCTAGATCAAACACCTCAATTATAAGCTTGACATTTTAGGTGAACAGGGTAAATCTACACACACACAAAAAAGAAAATCTGGGCTGAAAGGTTATCGTTTGGCCACTGCTCTACCGCTGCTGCCAATGGAAAATAGTATCTGACATCAAAATGCCAAAGAAGTAGCCATGTTCACATAAAATTTCCACTGCAATGTATTTCTCTTGCTTGCTGTGATGATTACATGTAGCATTCCCTTTTCTCTCCATCACAGTTCTTTTTAAATCTTGTGATATTTCCGCCTTTAAAAGATTCTCTGGAGACAATGATTCTTTTCTTTATTTCTGTGTCAGATTTTAAAAATTCAGATATTACTATCTATAATAAATGAATGACCTGCTTGATTTTTTAAAGCTTTACGATTTACTAAAGTACAGGAACCTTTTTTATGCCAATTGCGGATAAAATGTATTGCGTTAGACCACTCGGCACTCGATGGGTGATGGGGTTGACATCACGTCGCTATTTTTCCCTCCCAGGATTTTACTTGGTACCCATTTTTCGCTGGGTTTACCTGGGAGGCGAGCTAATTGGGGTGAAAAAATCTGACTTGGTGTGAGTTTAAACCCAAGACCATTGCACTGGTAGGCGGACGTGCAGCCGCTAGGCTACCATAGCTCCCACCTTTGCTATTTAAATGCATATTTCAGTTTGTAAGAATGATTATACTAAAGATGTAGATGTAAGTATGTTTAAAACATTGACTGTTGCAGAGTATAAACAGCCTGATTGCCAAGAAAATGATTGACGACAGAAGCAGGGAGTACATGTCAGCTCGGAGAGTGGCCAAGGAGTATGAGGTCGCTACCCGTGGATTGGATAAAAATGCTCCATCAGTCCCCCCACAGAATTCTTACAATGAAACGAAACAGGTACGAGACAAACATGTGTTCGGTCTCTTAGTATATATTGTTTTCTATTAATCTACAAATTCAAAAGGTTGTCTATAATTATTTTGTTAGCTATACTCTTTATTCTGTGATCACCTCCATTATGTATTCCTGGTCCCCATTTTGGTAACTATACTCTTTATTCTGTGATCACCCCCATGTATGTGTTCCTGGTCCCCATTTTGTTAACTATACTCTTTATTCTGTGATCACCTCCATGTATGTGTTCCTGGTCCCCATTTTGTTAACTATACTCTTTATTCTGTGATCACCTCCATGTATGTGTTTCTGGTCCCCATTTTGTTAACTATACTCTTTATTCTGTGATCACCTCCATGTATGTGTTCCTGGTCCCCATTTTGTTAACTATACTCTTTATTCTGTGATCACCTCCATGTATGTGTTTCTGGTCCCCATTTTCGTGGGGGGGGGGGGGGGGGGGGGGGGGGGGGACAAACAGACCCACTGCCCCACTAATAAGCATGTCATAAAAGGTGACTAATCTTTGTTGTGGGAATGCGTCTGCCTGAGAGGCTAGGAACCTTCAGTCTGCATGCAAATAAGCCAGCTCTGTAAAATGGTTGTGCACACAAAACTCGAGTCCTGGAACAAGACCAAATTGGACGAACAACCAGAACTTTCTACCATTTCACAGCTGGGGAATGCTAAGAAGAAGAAGATGATTCTGTGATCACCTGTAGTGTACAGATTTCACTGACTGTTAGGTACCATATCCCTAGCTGGGCAGATGGTGTTAGGCTCTCATTTTATAGACCAGTTTGGACGCTTGATTTGGTTGCTAGTCAACATCGTGTTGGCCATCTTTAAGTCCTAGGACATTTCTTGGTACCTATTTCAGCCTGGGCTGACCTGGAAACAAAGTTCCATTGTATAAAAATCTGTCTTTACGTGGATTCAAAGCATCTGCTAGCGTCCAGCCACTGTGCTGCTCTAGCTCCCATCTTTTTCTCCTGCATTCATCCTTAAAAGGGCTGGGGGCATGTTGTGTTTGGTTTACAGCTAAGCTGCGGTATCTGCGCCTTTTGGTCCAATGCATGCGATTTCAGCAAACCCCTAATTAGTGGCCTTCTTTGACATGCTTGTTTGGGGTGGGGGAGTGAGAATGCAGGTATATTCTTTATCCCTCCCAAATAGGTGCAAGGAAACAACACTGGGAGTTCCTATCTTATTCTTTTGTAACCCTCCCCCTGTTTTGAATTTTAAATTTTCCTCTTTTTTGAATCGCAGGTGGAGTTGTGGAAAAAATACATAGCTTGGGAGAAAAAGAATCCACTCAGAACGGAAGATCAGACAATAATCACAAAAAGAGGTTTGTTGTTTTATGTTTATGTTGGGTTTATTGACAGGGTGGCTTATTTGAATCATTTGTTGCTCGCTGTGGCTTGTTGGTCTGGACAGCCGCACTGATCTGCTCCCACACTCCAGGAATCAAACAACACCAGACTTTATATTTTATTCTTGTCTCTCTTTAATGTGAGCACACACATTCCCTAACAGCAAATAATCAACTCGACAGATAATTAATTGAGCATTCTAAAAGTAGATTTGACACATCCATTGCTCTGTTATGTTCTTTATTTGGCACTTTCACACTGAGAATGGACTTGCAGAATTCTGATATCCAGTAATGTCATGTCTAAGGTCTGTCTCTTTATACATCATTTCTGCCCGGCTCGCTTGCATAGTTGTTTAAAGCTGACTTCGCGGCCGCCGGGTGACGAACTCCTTGTGGTCCGGGTTCACTCCTTGGGTAGGCAAAAAAGCCACATTTCTCCCAGATTTACGGTATCTTTAATAATACAAGAAGGCATATCAGATATGTTCACAGTCAACACAGGTGTGAGACAGGGATGTGTGCTCTCCCCAATTTTATTTAACATCTATATGGACAGAATATCTAAAGAAGCAAGTTATGATACAGACAACATAGACCTTTATAATCACGAGGAAGTACATACATCAGGAGAAGTAATCGATTCACCCACATTAAACAAACTACTGTTTGCTGACGACCAGTGCTTGTTCTACCCAGAAGAACATAGACTGCAAGACCACATTAACAGGTTAAACTCAGCATGTAGTAAATACAACATGAAGATCAATGTAAACAAAACCGAAACAATGCAAGTTAGACATTCTGTCCCACTACACATACAGCTGAATGGTTCTGCCCTGAATCAAGTTAGGGAGTTTAAATATCTAGGAAGTATGATCACAGAAGATGGTAGAATTGACAGAGAAATAGAAACCAGATGTCAGAAAGCAAGTGCACTTATATACCAATTGTCACCATTATTAAGACATCCAAGCATGACTATGAGTGCAAAGAGACAGATTATTAATAGCATATTTATTCCAACATTAAGCTACTAGTGCCAAACATGGACACTATCTAAAGCCCATATACGCAAAATTACCACCTATGAGATGAGGTGCCTGAGAAAAGTAGCTAACCTAACCATCCAAGATTGAGTGAATAATGAAACTATCAGGCAAATTGTGGGAACAACACCTTGTACTAGATTCATCGAGAAACAGCAGATCAAGTGGTTTGGCCATCTCGTTAGAATGCAGCAAGATCAAATACCATCACAAGCACTACATCTCAGAAGATCAACTACAAGAGCAAGAGGACGGCCGCGGAAAATATGGATCGACAACATTAAAGACACTCTACGCCTTCACGGCATGACAATAGCCAGTGGCAGCCAACGTGTACTGGATCGCAAATGATTCCTCCCCATGACACTTAACGGCAGAAGTGGTTCATGATGATGATAATAGAAATCAAGGCCGAAGGGTTGCGATATCCATAATACCGAGCCAAATGGTTTACAACTCATGGTTTCTTGATACTTAAAAAAAAATGTCATTTCTGAACTTACCTACTTGTTTTTATGAGTCATTCCTGCACCATTGACTAGTGCATGATAGCTGCACTCTCAGTTGCTCTAAACAGCCCTATATCGACCCCTATTCCAGTCAGCCAAGGCATGATTAATTAAAAGTTCAAAAACCACAATATGTATTGAGGCAGTTATTGTGTCTACGTTTTAAAGCCTAATACTGGTAGCGATAAAGAAATGAGAGATAGTAGAAGATAGTAAGAGAAGATTCCTTTCATCACACAGAAGCCAAAATAGTGCACTTGCTAACAATTTTGCATGCTTACCCAGTGGTCATGTAATCAAATACCTCTCGAGGTCAGAATAAAAAAAAAAAAAAAGAAATGAAAGAAAACTTGTGATAGTTTTAGAGTCAGGTCAAGCAGAAAATCCATGCTTGTCTTATCTGGTCAGCATTTTTTTAAAGCCCTTTGGGCTCATCCAGGAATGAATTTGAGTCTGGACACACTATTTCTGTGAGTTCTGCTGCAGTTTGAGCTTCATATTGGGCAGAAAAAAGCACTTCCTTTGTTATCTGTTAATCTTGTAATAGAGCCTTGTTTAGCTCATCCAGCAGCAGTTTTTAATTTAGGAAATCCCTCCATCTTTGCTGTATGTTCAGGATGTTTTGCAGGTCGTTCTAGCTCATGTAGCATGACTACCTGTAAACATGCTGCTTGTGCAAGTTATACTACAGATGCGGGAAAATAATCTTTTAATGGTACCATTTAAGCATCTTTTGGAGCCTTTGCAGTATCTTCAACATGCTGCTTCTGCAAGTTCAGGTGTACTGTTTGAGCATCAGATGGGTAAAGATCGCATCTTATTAATGTCTCTGTACAGCGTTTATAATGCATTTTCTAGCTCACCCAGTAGCCTGAAATGTTGGGAAAGATAGAGATGGCTGGTATGCTGTTTGTCATCACCCACTAAATGTCAGTCGGATGAACTGATGCTTGGCAAGCTAGATGTGCTCAAGGCCCTTAGGGAAGAAGGGAACATGCAGAAGCATGAGCAACTATGAAAATTGGGGCCGGCGCCAAATGCGTGATATTCTGCAAGCTATGCAAAAACGGTCTTTTTGTCTAATCATTATATGGAGAATATCAGAACATGAAATGAAACATTCTGTTGGAGACCTCAAGGTCTTTTTGTCTAATCATTATAAAATTATGATTACCCATCCCATCAGTGATGCTTTCCTTCTTCTTCTTAGTGTTCACTGGCTGTAAACTCTGGCGGAAAGTTCTGGTCATTCATCCACTCTTGGATTTTGGTCTTGATCCAGAGAGTTTTGCTTGCACATTGGTTTTGTCAATCTGACTTATTTGTATGCAGACTGTTGGTTCCTTGCCTCTAAGGCAGATGCACTCAGACTTTGAAAGAAACACTCCCCAGTTAATTGCCTCTCACAACATGCTTGTTTAGGGTGCAGTGGGTCTGTTATTTATTCTCCAAAATGTTGCCCCAGAACCAACACAGGGAAATGCTGCTTTTGATCATGATAATTTAAAGAGAAGTAGATTGACTTACATTATGATGACTGAATGTGAATTGTTGCAATTTTTCCCTTACAGTGATGTTTGCTTATGAGCAATGCCTGTTGTGTCTGGGACATCACCCGGACATATGGATAGAGGCCGCCTCCTACCTGGACCAGTCCAGTAAGATCCTCACAGAGAAAGGGGTAAGGTCAAGTTTCTGCTGGAAGTAGCTTGTTATCCATCCCCCCCCCCCCCCCCTTTCCCCCTTAAATCATATCACAACATCTAGTTGGAGAATGAAGGTGGAATCAATACTAAATCAGCTTTTTGCTGGCTTGAAAACCAGCTACATTCACATGTTATATTTGCAACAGACTCACAAAGCATGCTGTGAAAGGTATTGAAAGGCATGCTCCATGCAGAGGGTAAACATCGCTTCAAAGATCTTCTGTAGGTAGCATTCTTTAGATCTTTTCTCCAAGGTGTGCAAGTGTGTTGGGAAATTAATTGGCAGTCAGATTGGCCAGTGCTGCACCACTTGGTAGTGAATTGATGCTTAGATGTGGTCAATGCCCTTTGGGAGAAAGCGAACAATGTGCAAGCATGGGAAGATCATTACACTGTAGAGAGAATAATGCCGTGGGGGAGTGACCAGGAGATCTATCCAGCTCTCTGACCTCAGAGGAATGGCAAGACAGATATATATTCAAACTGCTGCTGGTACCATTAGCATTGGAACTCTTTCTTGTTCAGCTGCTGAAGATATGGAGTCTGCTTATAGGAATGTCTTGAATGTTGTGATGCCTGTTCTTAGCTCAACTTCTAACAGATTTCTGATTGCCTGTATAATGAATATGTCTGTTGACCACTTTTATTTTTTCATGCTGTGTATAATATATACTGTCAACATCTGTGGCTTAGGGACTGCAAATGCGCTTATTAGTTCTGGGGTGCCAGGTTCGATACCAGCTGTGGGTGATTTGGCAGCAGGCCACCTTGAGATGGTTTCAATGTGGTTGTGGAGAGCTGACCATTCAAAAAGCAGTGTCAACTATTTAACATAAAATTGCTTAGTGAAGTCACAGACATCCAAAACAAAATACAGGGATTGGTTCTGCAACATCCTGTAAATGATGTACAACTAATTATGAAAACTGTTGATAATATCTACTATTTCTAATGTTGCATATTCCTTAATTCTTTCATTGTGGGCTACATAACTTTGAATACTTTTTTTCCCACCTGTTGTGATTGAAGGACCAGAATTCAGGGAAACTGTTTGCAGACGAGGCTGCGGCCATCTATGAAAGAGCCATCAACTCTCTCATGAAAAAGAACATGCTGATATATTTTGCATATGCAGATTTTGAAGAGGTCAGTGCTAAATGTTCTGGTGAAAATATATGTATTTTAGAAGTTTGTTTCTTTATAATCTACAAAATAAATTATTGTTTCATTTGTATCTTTTTATCCTCCTCTGCCTCTTCTTTTCTACTTCTTTTTATCACCCAGTGGCGCATAGGCCCTCAACCAACTCATGGCATCATCTGATCTTTTGCTGTCACATGCGTCTCCCTTCCTGTATTTTTAACTTCACTCTGTAGTTCCTTCTCCATGTGTTTTTGGTCTGCATTTTTTTGTTCTTTGAATACCATGGACAAAGAAGACAAGAAATACTGACACTCAAAAAGACGTGAGCATCAAGGAAGTTTGGCTAATAAACAGCTTCTTGTCTCGGAAACTGAAATATTTTGGCCATATCAAGCACCACAGCGGATTAGAAAAAAATTATATCAAAAGGCTTAGTAACAGGAAGAAGGGACAGGAGCTGACTAGCATGAAGATGGGCACAGGATGTAAGCGACTCCTTGGAAATGAAGTGCAAGAGAACTGGTGAGATATTGAGTTTCTTTCAGGCAGACTATGATGAGAGCGATATCAGAGATATGCAAAGGATCTGCTACATGATGATGATGGTAATAATTAATTGTTCTGACCCTGTGTGTTCCAGTCCAAAGATTTTTTGAGAGTGTCTTATCCATCACCAGCGTATTTTCCCCACCTCTTGGTTCACTGGAATTAGTTCCATAAGAATTAGTGATTGCATCATACCATTTAATTCCCTCTAATGAGTGCAGGCACTAGTTAATGAATGTTAGTATTTGTTAGTATTTTTTTTAAAAATTGTTTTCTATGATGCAGCTGCACACAGCAGTACAGATGTGATATTAGATTGAAATATTTTAAGTACGCTTTGCACATACAATTTAGTATTTATTTAGATTAAATCACTCAAAATGCCTTGTGTGTAGATTCTTATGTTATTTGTTAACATCTCCCTGGCTTTGAGATTTGGTAGGGTAATCACCAAAACGTCCTATATAGGGGGGGGGGGGGGGGGGGTGTTAGGGTTAGGCTTATTAGTAGTCACTGTTCATTTAACACTAGCTCTAACCTTAACACCCCTATACTATGGGACATTCTGGGGATTTCCCTACCAAATCCCAAAGCCGTCGAGATGTGTTTGTTTAACATCAAAGTACCGGTTCTCAAACTGCCAGAAATGTTAAATAATTGGTTGGGTGCCTGAAAATGTTTCATTGATCTAGTCCTCTTATCACACAGAGGACATAAGTTTGAGAACCATGTTCATGATGCTCCGTTTCGCATTTGATAATAAGTTTGCCTTTATATTTGAAACATTTAGTTTTTTTGTGTGTGGGCCCTTCAAAGGGTGGTTGGCACATCATGCTATGATTTACAGCTAGGCTGTGATACATGCAGCTTTTGACCCAACACATCTGACTTCAGCAAGTCCTTAATTAGTCACATTTTACTAAATGCCAAAATAGGACCCCAAAACCAACACAGAGAAAATACTCAGTTGTAAAGGATCCATTCTCTTAATGTATTTTGAACCAGAATTTAGGTTTTCAGTAGAAACATGGATGATGAATCTGTTTTTGTTTTTTTCAGAGCCGTATGAAGTTTGACAAAGTACATCAAATTTACAAAAAGCTTTTGGATGTGGAGGATATAAAACCTACTTTGGTAATTTTTTTTTTCTCTTCAAATTGTTTCATTATATATAAGGATATCTATATATAAGTTAGTGGTTGTATAACCATTCACATTCTCTTATTTTGTTTTCACCTAATTCAGTCATGTACAACATATCTGGTGCATTTAGCCCATCTCTGTTTGATTTTGCTCATGTTATGATTGGTTCGATTTTACAGACCTGTTGATGATCAGTTGGATTTTGCAGGGGTGTTTATGATTGGTTGGATTTTGCAGGTATGTTTATGATTGGTTGGATTTTGCAGACATGCTTATATTTGATGGGATTTTGAGGCCTGTTTATGATTGGTGGTGTTCTGCAGACCTGTTTATAATGGATTCACTTTGTAGACTTGTTCATGATTAGTTGGAATTTGTAGCATCTGGTTTCCTTAGGACGAGGCAGCAAATTTTACACTAACCTTTCTTTGTTGCCTCTTACAAGATGCATCTCACTGTTTGCTTTTCCTTATTGGCCATACTAACTCAGGGGTGGCTGCTTGGTAGGTATATGCACTATAAATGCTTTCATTATCAACTAGAGGTTCCAACAGGTATCAGCATGTGTGTTGTGTGTGTGTGTTTTAGCATTCACTATTCTGTTAAATTTTAATAGCTCTTTAATTAATGACTTAAAATAGTGCAGCCACAGGTACACTCACTTGCTAGTCCACTGATGCTGGACTGAAATCTTCCTAGAGATAGTGCTTTTTCTTGATCATATGACTAAAGGGTCATCCCACTCACTGCTCTTCACATATGGTATCTCATAAAATGGTTACAAAACACATTTTCTCTATCATATTGTTGGTGCTATGCCAAATCACCTAAGTACAGTTTTGGTGATTTTCTCCAAAGCATATTTTCAGTGATGTTATTCGTCACTTTGCAATTTGCCAGAGGCACACATGCGAATTCCTACTCCAAATAGGTCAAAAGGAAGTATTACTTTTCGTGGAACTACATAATCTTTGATTGCCACTTTGTAAAGAAACACAATTTTCTCGAAGCAAGGTTTTAGCACTTGGGTGACTTTTGGCGTTGTACCATTAAAACACCCGCCTTGTACCGTTTGGACCAGAAGCTAACATAGTAACCCCCAATTTCCACAGGGTTATGGAAATCAGAGAGAGCCACCCTGGTGTAGTGGCTAGACGCTCGCCTGCGGACCTGAAAGTTGTGGGTTTGGATCCTGACCGTGCAGGACTCTTATCAGAAATGACCTTGGCTCCAAGGTCAACCAAGCCTTGAGGGCGTTCCAGGTAGAGTGCTGGGAAGTAAAGACGGCCGTCATGATGTTGATCACATCGCTCATTGAGTGCCGATTGGTCAAGCCGGATATGCTCAGTAGGCCTGAAGGCGTGGAAAAGGGACCTTTGCTTTACTGTGAAAATCAGGTCCTTTACTTCGCATTAAAAGACTTAAGAGTTAAATATGTCAAGTATATCTCATTTTTCTTGTAAAATATATTAAACTGAACAATCTAAGCTCCTACAATCTGTTAAAATTAATACAAAAGTCATGTCAAGTGTATCTAATTTTTCTTGTCAAATATATTAAACTAAACAATCTAAGCTCCTACAATCTGTTAAAATTAATAAAAAAAAGTCATGTCAAGTGTATCTAATTTTTCTTGTCAAATATATTAAACTCTACAGTCTAAACTTCTACAAACTTAAAAACCAGTCCATTGTATGTGCAGTATTAAATAAACAAAAGTAATTGACACGTATAAATATCTAATATCAAAATAGAAAACCCCCCAAAAAACTATATACCAATAATAACCCAGATAAGTTGAGCAGGATAACATTGTTTAAATTATTACTACTAAAATACTACTTTCTTGTAACTTTGTCTCAAAGGCGTACATTCAGTACATGAAGTTTGCAAGAAGAGCAGAAGGTATTAAATCTGCCAGGACTGTCTTCAAAACTGCCAGGGAGGACAAGAGATCTGAGTACCATATATATGTGGCTGCTGCACTGATGGAGTACTACTGCAGCAAGGTAGTGTTTTTTTTTAGATTTGTTTGGGGCACATACAGCTCATATTTGTATTTTATTTTACTACCATCCCCATGTGGGTTCCAGGCTCTAATTTTGGAGGTAAGAACAAGAATAAACCTGCTGTCCCCCGACAAGTAGTGAAAGTCAACTAATTAGGGTTGCGTCCTTCAAAATCAAGAGTGCATCTGCCTGAGAGGTAGATAAATAAGCCAGATCTGTAAAACAAATGGATGTGCAGGTAAAATCAAGTTCTGGAACAAGACTAAAGTCCAGACGTGGAGAAACAACTAGAACTTTCCGCCAGACTTCACACCACAGATCTGTCGCTTAGAGGTTAATGATTGCATTTATCAATTTCATGATGCTTGAGTATGCGGGTTTAATTTCTGCAGTGGGCGGTTTCTATTGAAAACAAGTTTTTCTAGTTTTGGGGCAATAGTATAGGAGTCACACCGTGGAAGAGGTTGGGGCCTCACCAGGTAATATTTGCAAAGACGGCACTGTACCTAGCCTGAATGTCTTCTTAAAATACAGAGCTTTTGAATTACTGGGAATTTGGGGTATGTTTGATATGTGATGTATGTTTACACCTTCAAATGGAAGTCAAACAAAAATTCTGTGGGTCACCCGAAAAAGACAAACCTGGCCAGCTTGATGGACACAGGTCATTAAAAACACTCTAGACATGAAAACATATTAGGTGGAGAAACTAATGAAGGATCAAGTATCATTCTAACATGCTGTAACGAGGTCAGTATCTAGCAAAGAACTCGCTGTCTGATGATGTTATAACTGACCGTATGTTTTTTCAGTTACTTAAAAAAGATGGTTGGCTTGCTATGTTACAGTTTACATCTAGACGGTGATATCTGCAGCTTTCGGCTCAACCGGTTTCAGTAAACATGTTGGTTGGGTTGGGAGGGGGGGGGGGGGTGTGTGAGTCTGTTCTTTTCTCCTCAACGTGAACTGGAGAACCCACACTTGGGAGTTGAGTGTTGAGCTAAGAACTGAGGAACCCACACTTGGGAGTTGGGTGTTGAGCTAAGAACTGGGGAACCCACACACCGGGAGTTGGGTGTTGAGCTAAGAACTGGGGAACCCACACTTGGGAGTTGGGTGTTGAGCTAAGAACTGAGGAACCCACACACCTGGGTGTTGAGCAGCATGGGGAACCCAGCTAAGAACTGAGGAACCCACACACCGGGAGTTGGGTGTTGAGCTAAGAACTGGGGAACCCACACTTGGGAGTTGCGTGTTGAGCTAAGAACTGGGGAACCCACACACCGGGAGTTGAGTGTTGAGCTAAGAACTGGGGAACCCACACTTGGGGAGTTGCGTGTTGAGCAAAGGTGGGGAACCCACACACCGGGAGTTGAGTGTTGAGCTAAGAACTAACTGAGCTGTGGGGAACCCCACACTGGGAGTTGAGTGTTGAGCTAAGAAATGGGGAACCCACAGTATTTAGCAAGCTAAGAAAACCCACAGCTGTCTGAGTGTTGAGATAGAACTGGGGAAACCACACTTGGGAGTTGAGTGTTTAAGAACTGGGGAACCCACACTTGGGAGTGTTGAGCTTACGGGAGTTGGGTGTTGAGCTAAGAAGGAACCCACACTTGGGAGTTGGGTGTTGATGGGGAACCCACACTTGGGAGTGGGTGTTGGCACTGGGGAACCACACTTGGGAGTTGGGTGTTGAGCTAAGAACTGGGGAACCCACACTTGGGAGTTGGGTGTTGAGCTAAGAACTGGGGAACCCACACTTGGGAGTTGGGTGTTGAGCTAAGAACTGGGGAACCCACACCGGGAGTTGGGTGTTGAGCTAAGAACTGGGGAACCCACACTTGGGAGTTGGGTGTTGAGCTAAGAACTCTGGGAGTTGGGTGTTGCACTGGGGAACCCACACTTGGGAGTTGGGTGTTGAGCTCTGGGGAACTCACACCGTGTTCTAAGCTGGGGAACCCACACTTGGGAGTTGAGTGTTGAGCTAAGTTGGGAGTTGAGTGTTGAGCTAAGAACTGGGGAACCCACACTTGGGGTGGGTGTTGAGAGTCTGCTAAGAACTCTTGAGCTTGGGGAACCCACACTTGGGAGTTGAGTGTTGAGCTAAGAACTGGGGAACCCACACTGGGAGTTGGGTGTTGAGCTAAGAACTGGGGAACCCACACTTGGGAGTTGAGTGTTGAGCTAAGAACTGGGGAACCCACACCGGGAGTTGGGTGTTGAGCTAAGAACTGGGGAACCCACACTTGGGAGTTGGGTGTTGAGCTAAGAACTAACATCGCAGTACTCAGAACATTCTGATAGGTGGTTCAGACACGTCCATATTTGCTCAGAATCCTCTTTCAACATATTTATCAGTGTTGCAAGGTTCATAATGGCAATCCAATGCTGGTTAATAAGACTTGTGTGTCTGATGTGCCTGTCATGCTTGGCTGTGCCGATCTTTACTCCCAGTTCTCGTATTCTTGGCAGTGATGTGGACATGTCACTTTCAAAAATCTTTGGGACGTCCTCTCTCTCTAAGAGCTTTGACAGTGTCAGTGTGATCCATAGGCCGGCCATCTGCAACTAATGCAGAATCTGCCAAAGAATGTTGAATTAAAAATCGACATCACAGCATTCGGGACATCCCCATAAGCGCTCCGTCCCCATCTTCAGCAGCAAGTGAAGATTTAAAATTCCTGCCAGTCTATCAGCTCTTTCATTACCAGTAAACTTGCATGCCTTGGGACAAATATGAAGGTAACTGCACACAAAGGAGAGTTTTGTAATGACTCAGTCTACTGTCTGCGTATGCAGCCTGCCTTTACCCGCTCATAGAATCACTCAGCAAACACGAGGAATAGTCTTGTGATTCTAGCCACATGAAAGCTTCTGTCATCACCACTGTCGTTTTGCTGCTGGTAGTCATAGAGAAGGCACCGCTGGCTTCTTAAACTGTTCTGCCTTCAGAGCCAGCTGTATATGCCAATGCACTGTTATGTCCTCATATAAGGGACCCATCTGTGTAGATCAGCTCATCTGACTTGTCTCTGATAAGATCGCATACCTTAGCTTTGACAGAAACGGGATTCTGCTCCCGACAGCTCCTATCAAGTATGATGACACAGGAGAAGGTGAGACTGAGCACTTTAGGCACTGGTATCAAGTCCTCACCACGGTGGATGTCTGTAAGACTGCAGAACATACTTGATATCATCCTCTGCCATGATTTGTTCCTTTTTGTATTGTTTTCCTTTTTCCTGAAGAGCATATGATGCAAGGTTCTTCAGATCAGAGCTTATCTTCAGGTATCTGTGAGCCCTCCAAATCTTGATCCTGTAGTTGATGGTAGGGAAGTCAAGAAGGTATCTAAATGGTACGCAAGAGGTGTCTCTTGTGCACCCCAGAATAATGCACATGCCATCCTCATTTTCAGCAGCCAGCAAAGAGTTTCAACCAGATCCCCTGGTCCCTCCTAGCTGTACCATTTTTTCCAGGCCATAATGATTTGTTCATTACTCCACATTGTTCACTTACTTCCATAGGGCTTTGACCATATCTAGCTTGTCAAGCACAAACTCCCCGCCCCCTGATGTAGAACCAGCCATTCTTTCTGACCGTTCATTTCCCACTATTCAACAGCAGAAAGCCACAACACTACTGGCCCAATCACTAAATCAGAATGTCCCCTCTGAGCTGTACCTAAAGGTTTACCAAACCACCCTAAGATTAAATTAAAGATTCTCAAACTTCACAGAGACCAACCAACAAGGCAGATTCCCGAATACCATGTTCAACCTCTAAAGAGGTTATAATAAGGGCATCTGTAGTGGTTACACCAGCCTGCCATGTGTGACCTGCGATTTGGGGTGGGTAAGGATGGCACAGTACTCTTTATCTTGACCTAAATAGCAGTGGAAGTCACAGTGGTGTAGTGGCTGGCTAGCAGTAGTTGCCTAGTTTTTTGTTGTCCAGTCCAGGGCTGATATGTTCCTCACCATCATCATCAAGAACTTTGCCGACTGGTATGGGCAATCATGTCTCTCCACAATCTGTGATCTTCAACAACATGTACTGTATGTTGACACATGTTTGAGACTTCATCCAGGGCAAAGAGAGATCCAGGTCAACAACAACAACAATAACAAAATGATTGCAAGAAATGTTATGGGAAGTAAAAACGACCAGACTGAAGTTGACATCACCCACAATGGTCAATTAAATTTGAGGCTAGCCACATATTTACAGTATGTCCAAAGTGTGGAAGCTGATTTTGTTGTGGGGTTAATTTAAAAACTTATAAATATTGTTACTTTTACCTACGCTTTTACCAGTAGTTTTGACTCTGTTAACCCACTCAAAGCTGCAGTGTGAATGTTAACTCTTCCTCACTATCTGATGAGCAGAAAACAACTTGCTGACAGTATGTTTGTTATAATTATGCCAGAATGACAACTATTGTTGTCAAAATCAATTTTTAATATTGTTTATTTATTCTTACAAAAAAATTAGGAGAAGAACATTGCCTTGAAAATCTTTGAGCTGGGCCTAAAGAAGTACGCTGACAGTCCAGAATATGCTTCCTGTTATATTGATTTTATGTCCCATTTAAATGGTAGGTGTTATCTGATTAAACTAGGAAATCTCCAGCCTGTTAGGGGAATTAGTTTTTTTTTTAGTTAAATATAACACAGACTGCGACTAGAAAGCTCAAGGGACAAAAGAATAGAGCTCGTTGACTTTTCCAGTCACAGTCTGTGCTGTATTCAGTACTCCTTGATAAAGACTTTGGTCAAAACATTCAGTTACTTTGCTTGTGTGCGTCTTTTATATTCCCTCCGTTGAGCTTTCTAGTGATATTTTGTGTTGTATTTAGCATATTGATTGCGTGCCCTACTAGAGTGTTTCTTCTACTATGTGGTTTTGTTGTTGTTGCTTTTTTAGAGTTAAGAAGTACATGTTTATGTATTTATGATTTTGAATATGCATCATTTATTTTATGCCTGTATGTTTATTACATATATTATGACCTGTTGATTAAAAATTTTCCAGTGAATTGATGTCGCATAGTGGGTAATGAACAAGCAGACATATTGGCTGAATCTGCACCTCTGGGTGGTGAATTGATACATGACAAGGTAGATGTGGTCAAGGCCCTTTGGAACAAGCACTGAATCAGTAGAGAAACAAGATTATTATGGCCTGGAGAGAATGAGGCACCTAGGTGTACCCAGAGGGTCTGGCCGGCTCACTACACTCAGAGGAAAGGCAAGACGGACATATAACCAGATTGTGACAAGTACCATCAGTACTAGAACTCTGCACTGGCCACTGAAGATGAGGACGGTGCATGTATGGGAATGCCCCGAATGCTGTGATGTCAATTCTTGACTCAACTCAATTAAACTGGTGAATTGATTTAAACGTGCTTGAAAGGTCATGCAGTTTCAGAAGGCTCTCTGTTGATGTAGTTGTCAAAATACTTTTATATATGTTCTAGACAGACAGACAGTTGCAAATGTTGTCAAATAATTCTCATTTACCTGTGACATTATTGTATGATGAAAGTCTAAAATGTAAATGTTACTATTTGAAGAGCTGGTAAAACGTCAAGTTATTTTTTAACTGTCATTTTTGTCTTCTCAACAGAGGATAACAACACTCGGGTTTTGTTTGAAAGAATCCTCTCCTCGGATCAACTGCTTCCAGAAAAATCCACGTAAGATTCTGTTGTCCGTTAACTTGATTACTTTGCTTATTGTAATAAGATATTTTTGTCCTTTAATATCATCACTTTGCTTGTTGTAAGTAAATTTTTATTAGGGTAGAAGGAGGGAGTGCCGTTAATACATTGTCTGTTTTTTTTAGTGGGGACACTTTAAAAGTCTTAGTTCATTTCTTGACTGGATCATTCAGTTCATTTCCTGACTGGATCATTCAGTTTTATGTACATGTTTTTCATAAATCCCAAGGCTGCAGTAACAGAGTGCCTACTTTATGTGACACTCTGCTAGGAGCACGGTTATTTTTCTCAGAGACCAGGCCATATGAGACAAAATTGAGTGCAACAATCTTCATATCTTTACATTTTAACACCCTTTCAGTCCTGGAGGGGGTTGGGGGGGGGGGGGGGGGTGGGTAACATCAGAGGCTTAACGGGTAGTAAAGAGATATGTACAATTAGCACTTCTTGCATTCTGAGCTTTTAGGTAGAAACCTATAAATGTACGATACGCTCCTTGGGCCTGAAAGAGTTAACACTGATTGTAGTGGAAAAGTCAGTCTTTATTTTCTGCATTTTCCTTTTTAAAGCAAATTAGAACTTCACAGCCATGCCTTAGGTTTGTTTCAGCATTTCATATTTTTTATCATTCATTGTCATTAAGTCATATTGCATTTAAGGCAAGAGAGGAGAAGGGCGTGAAGCACAGTGTAGACTAGGAACAAAATAGAAAGATAACATGAGAGAAACTCTACAACAGCACATTATGTCTATGGTTAAGAAGAGCTAGATGAAGAACCTTATATCTCCCTCGGCACCCAAAGCAGTAAAAGAGGAAGTGAAAAAGAAGGAGAATATTGCATGCTGGCTGTTAGAATAATTGATTAAGGCATACATCAAGAGAGGAGAAGGGCGTGAACGAACGAACGAACGAACAAACTTTATTTTCAAAGGGTTACAAATGAAGTGAAAAAGAAGGAGAATATTGCATGCTGGCTGTTAAAATAATTGATTACTAGTTTTATCACCGACATGTAGCAAATCATTTACAGAACATGGCTTTCAATACAACATTCTGAAAAAGTCTTGGTCCTTCACTAGCTGCTCCACTGAGTTTTCCTGGCTAGAATTTGTGTAGAGTTTTCTGCCAGAGGGCTCAAGATATGCACACACACAGAGTTTGAATCTGATTCTTCTGTTTTGTGTAGAGACATTTGGAGCAAATTCCTGTCATTTGAGTCACAGGTTGGTGACCTGGTGAGTCTTGTGAAGGTGGAGAAACGTAGGACTGCAGCCATAGAAAAGGTGAGTGGAGATATTCACAAGCCATCTTTATCTTTTCTCTCAATCTTCAAGAAATCGGACTTTTCTCTAAATCTTCAGAGTTCTTTCCTTGTCTATTCTTGGCCAGTTTCTCACTTGGGTGACCTGCTGATGCCTAGTGTAGTGACCTTTGCCTGTTCTCATTTGATACCAGTCCAGCCCCAAATTACCTGCCTGTTATATGCGCGCAAATAAACTAATATCCAATTTCTCTTTTAAAAAAAAAAAAAATGTTTCATCTCTTTTAAAAGAGCGTTGGATATTTTCTCCAGGATGTTCAGGTGTGTTGGGAAATTAACAGGCAGGCAGGCTGACTAGTTCTTCAGCATCACTTATAAGTAAACTAATTTATGTCAGTGGATGGGGTCGAAGCCCCTTGGGAGTGATTGAACAAATGCTGAAGCACAAATGAATCATCAGGATCTGAAGAGAATGGTGTTGCAGAGAGTGACCAGGATTTCTTGTTGACATTGACACTTGGAGGAAAGACAAGGCAGAGATACCATCAGACACCATCAGATACCATCAGACACCATCAGATACCATGAGACACCATCAGATACATTCAGACACCATCAGATACATTCAGACAGCACCAGACACCATCAGATACCATCAGACACCATCAGATACATTCAGACACCATCAGATACATTCAGACAGCACCAGACACCATCAGATACCATCAGACACCATCAGATACCATCAAACAGCTACTGGGACTAAAGGAATTAGAACTTGGAGCTGGCTACTGAAGGTGGGGACTGAGTGATTTGTCGGAATACTGAAGATGAATACTAAGTGCTTTATCACAGTACTGAAGATGGGTACTGAGTGCTTTATCACAGTACTGAAGATGGGGACTGAGTGCTTTATCACAGTACTGAAGATGGGGACTGAGTGCTTTATCACAGTACTGAAGATGGGGACTGAGTGCTTTATCACAGTACTGAAGATAGGGACTGAGTGCTTTATCACAGTACTGAAGATGGGGACTGAGTGCTTTATCACAGTACTGAAGATGGGGACTCAGTGCTTTATCACACTGTTCTGAGTGCCATGATGTCGCTTCTTAACTCAGATTTTCAAGGACTGCCTTAGTTTTGCTTTCTTTTTAATTGTTCCTAGAAATTACATTCGTTTATTGTAAATTTTTTACTGCTGATGTTTATTTTTCGGTCAGCATCCAACCGGAATCAATTTCAGACATCCTAAAGTAGAAGAAATAAAATGTTTATGTATCCTACTATGTGTAACAAGGAAAGATCAATTTGAGAACGATATTATCATGAGGAGTAACAGAGCCAGAAGTGGACCACAAAGAAGACGGACAGCGACAATTTTGGAGACATTGAAAACTATTACTATATGCGAAGCGAACAAAAAGGCCAGTACCAGAGATTTCTTCCTGCCCTGATGCGGCGAGGCATTCCAGGAGTAAAGAAAAGAAGGACAAAACTGTTAAGAGAGAGGAGACCCTTAGGTGCCCTCTTTTCCTCAGTTGTGAGATTGTATTGATCTTGATTGTTCTTGAATTACCATTTTACTCAAGTACCAGATTTGTATTATCATGTTGTCTAACAAGGCCAGTTCTATGCTGCTAGTATCAAAGATGGACCATTTCTACAACTAACGAGCAGAATCTCAAAATGACAGAGATGTGATGTATTAGAAGAGCCACCAGAGTAACAAGAAGAGGTACAATTGAAAATATAGAAATAAGAAGACTAGGGCTAAAACCAGTCATACAGTTCATCAAAAGGCAACAGATGAGAAAGCTTGGCCATCTGAGGAGAGTGTCAACTAGACCAGATCAGGACTTTCACTGGCAGAGACTTAAAAAAAAATAATAATAAACAAAATGACTCGAAAGAGGTAGAGAGATAGGAGTAGAGAGAAACACTTTTTTCTATGAGTATTGGTTAGTAAATTTTAATTTGGTTTTCAAACTGTTTCTTCAGTTGTAAAGGTTTCCCAACTGTTTATTTATATATATTACGAACAAAGACTTTTCACATTTCTCTTTAGTGTGACCCTGACCCAGATTGATTTCTTTTCCAAATATTTTACAGATCCAGGCATTCAACGAGAAAGAAACAGCCCTCCTTATAGACAGATACAAGTTTCTGGGTCTCCTTCCGTGCGCAGATAATGAACTTGGAGCAATAGGATATTGGGTTAGATTCTCTTCATCTGTTTTCTTCTTCTGTTTCCCCCTCCTCATCTTTCTTCTTCTGCTGTTGCTGCTTTTTATGAGTATGAAGCCAGCTTATATGTGACATTTTGTTTCCTTTGTGAAGTGTACTGTCCTATACAATTCCTGCATCCTATAGACGATCCATCATTCCAATAATTGTTTAACAACTGGCCATGGCTCATAGGTGGAATCAGCCTAACAAGGTACAAGGAAACATTCTGAGAAGTACAAGCGGCCTATAAGATACTGACATCACCTATCAAGTGCTGATTGGTTTATCAAATAGTGGAATTAACAGCATCCACCATCAATCTCAGGGCACGGAAGAGAGCAATTTTTTTGGGACCTCATAAATTGTTCTCAGGATCTTAGGATAAAGAAGTGCGACATGAAAACTGAATATTATGGCAGGGCAGACCAAGCCTTAGACTTGGTTGGCAGCTCGACTGGGGTGGGGTGAAGCAGTTCTGACAGGCAGGACAGAGGTAGCACTGTTCTAAGGTGAGAGAGCTGCTTTTGGAAAGGAATGATGGTCAGCCTGTTACAAGTGTGATATTTTACACATCAGCGTGTCACATCAAATAGGAACCTAACTTTATATCACCACTACGATTAGTCTGGGATGCCTTTAATTATAAATATACTGGCCGGGGCCAGTAACATTAAGGCAAGGGAGCGATGTCTTGTGTAAAAATAAAACCTTGCTTTTCCACTGAAGCAGACTAGCGCTGCACACTCAAATGTTAAGTTGCTGCTGGTAGCGTTCCTTTTCATTTTTCCCCCCATCTCCTAATGAAGCATAGACCTCAACTAAACCATGGCAATCACTTTTAGATTTGTTCATAACTGGAAACTGGATGCATTCTGCAGCTGAAGTTTTCTAAAGCTTGTCCATGATTGGATGGGTTTTGCAGCTAAAGTTTTCTGTAGCTTGTCCATGATTGGGCGGATTTTGCAATTGAAATTTTCTAAAGCTTGTCCATGATGGGATGGATTTAACAGCTGAATTTTTCTATAACTTGTTCATGATTGGTTGGATTTTGCAGCTGACATTTTCTATAGCTTGTGCATGATTGGATGGATTTTGCAGCTGAAGTTTTATAAAGCATGTCCATGTTTGGATGGATTTTGCAGCGGACATTTTCTGTAAAATGCCCATGATTGGATGGATTTGCAGCTGAAGTTTTCTATAGCTTGTCCATGATTTGATGGATTTTGCAGCTGAAGTTTTATGTGGGAGGAAGTATCAGATTCCTTGTGTGAGTTTCATGACCTCAATTTCGGGGGGGGGGGGGGGGGGGGGGGGGGGAGGGATGAAATAAAACCACTTCCCAACAAGAATGTTGTAAAAGGCAACTAAGTTGTTACTGAAATCATCAGTGTTGGGTCAGAAGGTGTAGATATTGCAGCCTAGCTGTAAACCACAACACAGTGTGGCAACTGCCCTTTTAAGAGTGAACATAGAATAAGAAGTAGGTAGCTGGCAGCCAACCCTCCTAGGGATCTCTTGTGATATATACAGTAGGTTACACTCTCACCATTCTTCCACAATAAACACTGATAACACACGGGCGTATAACCATATCCTAATTTCAGTACAATGCCTGTATCCAGAGGTTTGTGCATGTTATTTTAACGAATATTTAATTTGTACACAGGATTTAGTGAGACACCATGTCCTGCAGCTTCCATCAGGTAGTGCCAAGCAAGCGCTTCTGTCAAAGGATGACAGCTATAATGATCAGTCCAAACGTCCAACATTCCCAGCGCCGGATGTTGAGCAGATGTTGCCATTCAAACCAAGAGCTGTAGTCCGTATGTTGCTTTGTTTTTTCATGTTATGGAAAGTATTATTTTAATTATAGATGAACCACATGTAATCCCTTGCAGCACACTTCACTAGGGGTACATAAAAGTCATTTGTGATTTTGATGTAGAAGTTATGTCATTGCATTTAGACCAAGCACATTAAAGCTTACTCATTCTCTGCAAAAGTCAAGGTTGTTTATATATGATTGATCACTCTGTCTACATCCTATAAGTATCCTCCCTTTTGGGCATAGACAATGCTAATCAAGCATCACCATCTATTATACATCCATGCAAAGGTGTGAAACAAGCATTACTGCCAGTCCCCATCAAGCCTAATTAATGGCACTGGTTCTGTTTGCACCTGCTCAGTGTTTGGGAGGGCTGGATATAATTATATTTACTAAAAATGAGTGTTGGGGGGAGTCGGGGGGGGGGGGGGGGGGTAAGTAGTCACAATTTATCTTTAGCCTTGAGCACTCACATACGGCAAGGCCACGGTATGGATTTAAACGTTGATTACGACCCTTAAATTTGTTGTCATAAATGTTTACAAAAATATTTTACTGATCTATGTCAAAAAAATTCTTTAATTTTTTTTTAATAATGGATTTGTTCCCAGGAACAAATTTTTCCTAAGGGTTTCTAAGATGAAAGTGTTAATATTGTCAAACTTTTTGACATGGCAGAGAGAATACATGTTATGTTTGGCGTCATAGTATGAACAAGCAACTGCATCAGAAATGATTGAGAGCAGACAAGACAGAAATACTGTGACCAAGACTTAATATACCAGTGCCACACAGCATGCTTTGACAATGGTATTGATCTAGTCACTTTAATGGCTTCAGTACTTAATAGATTTCTTATTTAAGTTACTTTAAACCTTTGAGCCCTGGGAGCACTAAGAAATAAGGTAATGACCCTGTAGGAACTCCAGAAAAAAAATCTTTACATCTAAACAATTTTGTACAGTTAACTAATAAATGCGAAATAAATTTATTTAACCCGGAAAAAAAAATTGAAAAAAACACACAGAGAGAGAGAGAGAGAGAGATAGAAATGCATAACAACGCTTACATTTGTCTCAAAATTTTTTTTTCAGCTACTGGAGCCCACCCTGTACCTGGTGGTGTATTCCCACCTCCACCTGCTGCTTCTGTACTGCTGCAGTCATTGCCGCCACCAGAATGTTTCAGGGTGAGTCTCGAGTTTGTTGTATCCTCTTTAACATTCAAATTAAAATTGTTCTGGCAAAGTGATCAAGCTGTTTGCCTTGGGCTGTGAAGATCATGGGTTAGTTTCACGCCTGCATCATTAAGTTCACCTGCACAGTTTTGACGGAAATCATTGGGGATCATCACCAGAGCTATGGAATTTGTGCTTTGTGCGACTCTCTGCAGATGGAATAACACCCAGTGCAGAGGTTTTGATCCTCTCACCTTAAACATCTAGACAAAAAGTCTTTGTGCATTTAATTAATAATATCTTTGGTCAGCACTTGTGACTGAGGGTTATGAACACAGTTTCAGAATTATGACATGTTAGGTTCAATCCAGCTGCATGTAATTTGGTGACAGTTCACTTTGATGTGTTTTCTGAAAGCAGTGGCAAACTACCATATATAAAATGTCTAGCCAACAAATGCTAAGTTTGGTTTGTGATGTTGTAGAAGAGGATACTGCAACTGTCATTTGGTCAGAACATTACATTATAATCAGTATTGTTTTGTTTTCTTTTAAATTAACTTTGTTTAAACAGCTTATTTACATAGAAACTTACTGCTTGTTTATTTAAATAGTTCTTTTACAAATTGCTTCATTATTATGTTCGATTGAAGTAGTACATTTACACACATTCATGTGTACATTTACCAAATAATCTTAGAAACCATTAAAGATGCAAGCAGTTGAAGATGGAGAGCGAGAAGCAACAACAAAATTACCAGTCTGTTTAAATCACCACTAATTACTGGCATCATAAGGGCTGCAGTGGTTGCAGCACATAAAAGAGAATGGCAGATAACAGACATAAAAACTGCAGTGGTTGCAGCACATAAAAGAGAATGGCAGATAACAGACATAAAAACTGCAGTTGTGGCAGCATATAAAAGAGAATGGCAGATAACAGACATAAAAACTGCAGTGGTTGCGGCACATACAAGAGAATGACAGATAACAGACATAAAAACTGCAGTTGTTGCGGCACATATTATTGTTATCGATCCAGCGCCCTTTGACCCAGCACATAAAAGAGAATGGCAGATAACAAGACAGGTAAACACTGCAGTTGTGGCAGCTGACATAAAAGAGAATGGCACAGATAACAGACATAAACACTGCAGTGTTGTTGTGGCTGTTTAGCACATAATGTTGCGTTCTAAGAGAAATGGCAGATAACAGACATCAGGGCCAGCCATGTGTCTATAAACACTGCAGTTGTGGCAGCACATAAAAGAGAATGGCAGATAACAGACATAAACACTGCAGTGGTGGCAGCACGTAAAAGAGAATGGCAGATAACAGACATAAAAGTTGCACACACACAGTAGTGTAATGAGTGTAGAGTGTGAGGCAAACCAAGAAGACAGTAGAGAGATTATAAACAAGCAGACTTAAAAAACACTTGACCGGTTTCAAAAAGAAGGCCATTCACAGAAATGAATGGAAGTGTGTGATATGTGCATTAGGGAATCTCAAGGGCTTGGAATGCTGAAGAAGAAGAAGCTTATGTGAACCCGTTTCAAGTATGGGCTTTGAATGGGCTATGTATTTGCATGTAAACTTCTGTGACTTCAGTTCTTCATTGATTCTGACTACTAGCATACATGTAACTTTGTTTCTGGAACTTTCCCAGGGCCCACATGTCATCATTGATAAGTTTCTGGAGTTTATGAGGCATGTCAAGCTTCCTGACAGTGAGTATTCTGTTGTTAATAAACCCATTTTACTAGTTTGTGAACCGTAACATCCACCCTTTAACAGATATTGCAAGCATAAGTTTGTGAACCTTACCATCCACAATTTAATGGATATTACAAGCATTAGAAATTAGATCTTTTTCAAGGATCCTCGGTCATACGGAGACCACATCACAAATGACAAAGTTTGGTATATCTCTTCATTGTGTTCATAAGCTGTAAACTCTTGCAAAAAGTCCAGGGTGTTCATCCACTTCAGGACTTTAGTCTTGTTCCAGAACTTGATTTGTTGTATGCATATCCATTTGATAGATGCCGCTTAATTGAATACATGCAGTTCCCCGCCTCTCAGGCAGATAAGCTATGACTTCGACTCCTTACTGCATGCTTGTTAAAGAGGTGGTGGGTCTGTTCTTGTTTTACCCGAAATGGGGACCAGGAACTGACACAGTGAGTTTGCCGTATTATCACTCTCTACGTTGGCATCAGTGAGCCTGCTTTGACAATATTGAAAAGACATAAATGTAGAAGTATGGACATGTAAAAAGACCTACCAGCCTCTTCAAAATGAAGACTTCCCTTTTAAGCCTCTTAGAACATGCATAATAGGTTTTTAGTATTACTATTCTATGCTTCCATCGTGAGCCTGTAAGGACATGCATGGTACATTTTAGCGTTACTGTTCTATGTTTCCATCATTAGCCTTTTAGGACAAGCATAGTAGGTTTTAGTATTACTATTCTTTGTTTTCATCATGACCCGTAATGACATACATACATGTTAAGTTACCGTTAATTTTTACTTCTTTTTTTTTTACTGACCGTAATTGTTACTTCTCAGGACCAGTCGGTGACGAGAATGGCAAAGATGGAGACTTCCGACTTGATCCTGGTACAAAGCTGTCAATAGAAATCGCCAGCGGTGTACGTAAACGGAAAATAACAGAACACGAAAGTGACGACGAAGATATGGAATTGATGGTCCCAGCAGCACCAGCCAATGATATTTACCGAGCTCGGCAGCAGAAGAAAATTATCAAATAAAAAGCATTGTTGTTTTATATCAGTGTGATGTTTGTTTCAGGGTTTTAAGATGAAATCTGCTAGCACAATTTTAGAATGTTTGGAATGAAACCAAAAGTGAACTGTTCGTATTTTGATTTGCAGAAGAAAGCTCTATGAAAGTATCCTGTATGTGAAAGTTAACTCTTTGTTGAGTAATAGAAAAATATAGTTTCATGTAGGAGTCAGTTGTTGAGTAGTAGAAAAATATGTCTGCTATAGTGACTTGGATGGTGAGAAGGGGAAAACATAACTAAAGTCAGCTTTATAACATTGTCTCTGTTCATAATAGGAATAATGATTTGCAGAATAGTGTTCCTGAACTTGAGTAATAGGAGACAGGTTTGCAGTGTGTATACCAATTGTTAATTAGGATGTTTGCTGTTGTGTGTGTGTGTGCCAATTGTTTATAGAAAACAAATCTGTTGTATTAAAGTGACTAAAATGAAATGACAGAAAATAATACTCTAGCCATTTAAAAAAAAAAAAATTCATAGTTGAGAAATATACCTAATGCAATGAAAATCACCTCTCCACAACTGAAAATAGAAAGTGTCTGGTTAAAAATGACTTCTGGTTAAGTAATTAATGGGGGGGGGGGGGGGGGGGGGGGGAACACCACCATGAAAGTGATTGCATGTTTGATGTGTGTGTGTGTGTAGATGTATCTGTCTAATTTCTCTTCTTAATGTTTCTCTGAGCAAGGTTTTATCCACTCCAGCTTGCTGGACCTTTCACAGTTTCAGAAAGCTTTTAACCAGATAGATTCCATCCCACCTGGCCAGCAGAGCCTTGTTGGCCATGAGTCCTTGTGGCCTCAGTTTCCCAGATGAAATGGTTTGAACATGTGTCAAGTCTACCACGAGATAGTGCACCACAAAAAGCATAGCTACGATCACTCATGCAATAATGGGTAAATGGAATATCTGAGGCAGTGAATATCAGTATCTACCTAGCACACACCAAGGCTCACGTCTTTCGATGCCTGACACATAAGGCAAAATTGGATCTAGTGAAGAAAAAACGCAGATGTATCCAAATAGACAGTTGTGTCAACTTGAGTATAAAAGATTGAATAAATAGATGCATAAAATAAGGCAGACATGCTGAATGTGTATTTCTGCTGAGTGTGTAAGAAAACAGGCCGCGGCTGTTCGACCAGAGTTTAGATGTATGTTTTTTAACATACATTTCATTTTCTGAGTTATTTTATGTTGCTCATACATTACCCATTATCATATAGACCCGGCAAACACATTTTTGCCGTGCTCATGTTTGTTTGGTAGTTTGCTAGATTCCATTATAAAATAATCCCAGATAAAAAGAGAGGTAAAACTGCTTGGCAGAGATGTCACCATGCTAGGATTGTTACATACTTGTCTGTCATAGATGTCCATATAAAATGCTGTGATGGATTAGAATGGTGGAGATGATGCCAGGTGAGGCGGCAGGTTCCCAAATAGTGTGAAGATGAGCACAGAATATGTGGCATTGTGCATGAGGTGGCAGAGCTGGTGAGGCGGCTAATTCCTCAAATAGTGTGAAGATGAGCACAGGTTTGTGGCATTGCATGCTTGGGGAGCTGGTGAGGCGGCAGGTTCCCAAATAGTGTGAAGATGAGCACAGAATATGTGGCATTGTGCATGAGGTGGGAGAGCTGGTGAGGCGGCAGGTTCCCAAATAGTGTGAAGATGAGCACAGAATATGTGGCATTGTGCATGAGGTGGCAGAGCTGGTGAGGCGGCAGGTTCCCAAATAGTGTGAAGATGAGCACAGAATATGTGGCATTGTGCATGAGGTGGCAAAGCTCTGTCTTTCGCGGCTGACGCTAAGGCAAAATAGATCTGTGAAGATGAAAACAGAATATGTATCCAAATAGGCATGAGGTGGCAACTTGGTGAGGCGGCAGATTGAATAAATAGTGTGAAGATGAGGCACAGAATGAGTGGTATTTGCTGTTGAGGTGGCAGAGCTGGTGCCGCGGCTGGTTCCCAAATAGTGTGATGATGTTTTTTAAGAATATGTGGCATTGTTATTGAGGTGCAGGTTCCCAACCCAGTGTGAATATGAGCACAGAATATGTGGCATTGTGCATGAGGTGGCAGAGCTGGTGAGGCGGCAGGTTCCCAAATAGTGTGAAGATGAGCACAGAATATGTGGCATTGTGAATGAGGTGGGAGAGCTGTTGAGGCGGCAGGTTCTCAAATAGTGTGAAGATGAGCACAGAATATGTGGCATTGTGCATGAGGTGGGAGAGCTGGTGAGGCGGCAGGTTCTCAAATAGTGTGAAGATGAGCACAGAATATGTGGCATTGTGCATGAGGTGGCAGAGCTGGTGAGGAAGTGGGTGAGTGTTTTTGTTTCCAGGCTGGTAATGATGAGGGTGATGTTCTGTAAAGGACTTGATGATGATGATGAGGTGCATTGGGTATCCCATATTTAATTCTGCATGGATGCAGATTTGAACTCATGACAGCTGGTTCATGGTTGGTTGACATACTAGCCACTGTGGAACCTTTACTCAGGATGAAACTAAACTTGACATTGGATAGGACACGCGTTGAGAAAACCTAGGATGTCTTTGCACTGGAACCCACAGAAATAGAGTTTTTTTTAAAAAAAAAAACAACAACAACATGGGAACGGGAGCTAGAGAATATAGTTAACAATATAGGGAGATATAGGTAACCTGCATGTAATAGCAAAGGATAGGATGACTTGGGATAAGTTGATGAGGGCTGATGCATCATTGGGGGATAAAGCCCAGAAGAAGAAGAAACAACTGTGGAGCCATAGCTTTAAAAAAAAAATTATTATTTTAAAAAACTTGTTGAAACTAAACTTGTGTGTTTGTGTCGATGTTTGTGTGTCTGAGGAGAGATAGCACAAAAGGATTGATGACAATTTCATTGTACATTTCTTTGTTTGGTGATGTACTGTGCAGGTTGTAGTATGATAACTGTACCCACCACATGAATTGTGCAAAGTGTACATAATGTTTTTACATTGCAGCCTCTACTTGCTGATTTTGGCTTTTGTTTGCAGTTGTTTATCATTAAATATTTTCACTTCAGAATATTTTGAATTGTTATGGTCTTGATTCATCATTACCACCTCTGTTATAAGTGTTTATGTCTCTGTTGGCTTTCCTCATGTTGACAGCAGAAAATAAATCAAATTGTATCTTTTCTTTTTCACAATCCATGTTTTGGCGGGTAAAGTTCAAGGATTAGCCCCTTTTCATAAAATCCCAGCCATGAGAGTATGAGTGGCTGTTCCCAGGGCTTTCTGGGTTTCAAGGCCTGCTATGAGCCCTGTTAAAGGCTGAAGTGCATCTGTCTGGGAGGCCAGGAAGCAACAGTCTGCATACAAATAAGCAGACATGGAAAACCCAGGTTTTGGATCAAGACTAAAGTCCATGTGTGAAACAACAGGCAGAACTTCCCACTAGTTTACAGCCAGTGAATGCTAAGAATAAATCCCTAACAGGGAAATCACTGTTCTCGTAATCTATTACTGAACCCTGCCTTAGAATTCTCTAAAGCTGCCTACCTTAAACAGATTTTTTTGTTTGTTTTAGGTTCACAACCTCTACATTCATAGGCAAGTGAAACATTGACAGACAATCTGAGAAACCCAAGTTGAGCCTCTAAAATGTGGACTTATCTGCCTTTGAATATTGGAATGATCCACCATGATGACACAAACAACATAAATCTACCGGTTCACAAACAACATAAATATACAGAAATTATCAAATATACACTTAAATCATGCCTTCACAGTTTAATGTAAACATTACAAAAAGTGTGCACGTAGTTTACATAATCATTCAAATTAGTGACAGTATTTAATTCGACAAATTCTTGCTATAGTCAATGTTGTGTGGGGATTAGTGTCCATGACGACATTGTATAGTTTTTCTCACGTGAATTTTCATTCATTTCTGACACAGATGATCCTCCACGTCATCTTCTCTCCTGATCTCCCTCTGCTTCTCTTGTCCTCCAACTGTCACAATGTACTCGTCACCCCTTCTCAAAATGTGAGCAAAGAACATAGAGTGCCTCTTTCCGAATCAGCCGTTCCTGTGAGTTAATTTCTTACATTATACTTACATAATTACAGAAATCTCAGATTATCTACATCCGTTTCAAACTATTTAGTTGTGGCATATTTGATTTCATCAAAGGCTTTTCGTGCCTTGCGAAGTTCCTCACTCATGAGCAAGAGTTCTTTGACCCTAGAGTACTTTTTAGGATCCTTGCGAATCAGGAAGATGATGTCTTCGACAATAATTCTTCCAGATTTTCCGATCTCCATGGCTTTCTTGGTCTGTAATACAGAAGAAGTGCCATGACTAAAAGAGACAAACAGAATTTTATGCGTTTTTCTGCTTTCTTCCCTGTACTGAAAATGTCCTTGATATGTGGCTATTTATGTTGAAGCTGTGATGTTTGCTTATTAACAGCGAGGCTGTAATGTTTGCATAATGTGGAAGCTGTGATGTGTGCATATTAACAGCAAGGCTGTAATGTTTGCATAATGTGGAAGCTGTGATGTTTGCATATTAACAGCGAGGCTGTAATGTTTGCATAATGTGGAAGCTGTGATGTTTGCATAATGTGGGAGCTGTAATGTTTGCATATTAACAGCGAGGCTGTAATGTTTGCATATTTATGTGGAAGCTGTGATGTTTGCATATTTATGTGGGAGCTGTGATGTTTATATATATATATATATGCAAACATCATAGAAGCTGCAATGTTTTCATATTTACAGAGAAGCTGTGGTATCTGCAAGTTTATAGACAAGTTATGACGTCTGGATATGCCACTGCAAATAAGGTTTAAAACAAAATTATGAAGCCGGAATGGCTTTTAAACAAAAACCATGTTTTCTCACATTAACCTTCCCCCAAATACTATTTTTAGTAAATATAATCATACCCAGCACCCCTAAACACTGCACTGGCGCAAACAGAACCAATGCCGTTAACTAGGCGTATAGGGGACATGCTTTTGCCTGAATACAGATTCAGTGAATTTTTCAGGGATTTATGACAAATGGCAGCATCTCTGGACCAAAGGGTCCTCACATTTACAATGAAGCTGTAATGGTTGCACCTCTCAGATGACACACCTGACTTCAGCTATATTTGAAACTAAGTGCCGTCCCCTCTTCAATCCATACTCTCTCAGTCTGACCACTACTCTGAGGTGAATTAGGGTCTTGGTTAGTTCTCGTGCATCAACCTGTGCTCAAACAAAGCAAGGCTGTGGAAAATGAAAAGACCAGCACCAGCTCACACACTGACCAAGACATTTTATGGTCAGCAGAGATCCAATGCAGGCAACCTTCACTGTGGAGATGATCCACTGATTTAAAAAAAAATTTAATAAAAATATAGGAAAATATAAAAATATAATAAAATGTATATAACTTAATTCTTACAAATATAAAAATATATTTTAAAAATATAAAAATAAATAACATAGATACCATTTCAGTAATGTACTCCGTGACAAGGTCCTCGAGGAGATCCACCGATTCTGTGTATGGATTCTGATCATCGCCAAAGCCATACATCATACAGCGCACTGTAACAGAAATTTTCTGTTGTATAATACTGCATGGAATATAGGCACACCCACACACACAGGTGAGAATTAGAGAGCGGTGTGAGAAACAAGAGACATGACATGAGGTGAGCTACAGGCAGCAGCAAAAGATTCAATGCCTTGATGTGAGGTGGTTGGTTGAGGGCCTATGCTTCACTGAGGGATGTAGGGTAGGACAAAAATACATATGTGGTGAAGTCAGTATGGTGCAGGTGCCTCACATCCACTTTGATATTCTTAAACTATTACTAAACTGCCAAGCAAATATCCGATATCCGGAAAGAACATGAAATGCAACCAGGAAGGCTGGTAAAAGGCAAGTCACGCAGATAAAAAGCAACTCTTTTCACCAAAGTCTTTATCAACAAATAAAACAACTAGAATACTTTAGATACAGAAAAACTTTTCATAACAAAACTGACCTGAGCTCCCTGGTCAACTCAGTCTAAGAGGAAATGTTCTGGGAAGCAAAAGCTACTGGCAAGATACTCATTTTTTAAATTCACACTGGAGGCAAAGGCTAAATGCAAGTGGGGACAAAAGCAGGAGGATCAAACAAAGATATGGACAAACCTTCCTCTGCCAGAATGCAAAAGCACAGCGACAGAAGGATCCACTGCTGTCAGCTTTCATTGTGGAGATGGCACCTGACTGAACTGACTGACAAGGAATACTGAAGCAGAATGATCTGCTGTGTGTTTGCGTGCCATGGTTCTTTTTATCAGCACTAGCTAGGAGAACTATAACTCTCATCTATTAGCGGTCGAATGGTATTATATTCCTTTTGGCTTGTCTAAAAGAATGCTCTTGACAGGATAACAACTCATACACAAACCATGCTCATACCTGGCTGAGTTCTCAAGTAGATTTTATTAACGCCACAGTGTAAATAGCCAAAGCTCAGCTGCCACGAGGATCCTTTATCTTTTTCTTTGCGTTCATCAGCTGTAAACTCTGGTGGAAAGTTCTGGTGGAAAGTTCTGGTTGTTTGTCCACTTCCAGAACCAGAGTGTTGCATGTGCATCAGTTTGACAGAACTGACACATTTGTGTGCAGACTGTTGGTTCCTTGCCTCTCAGGCAGATGCACTCCGACTTCGAAGGAAGCTTCCAATTAGTCGATTCTCACGACAGGCTTTTAAGTAGGCAGTGGGTCTATTCTTGTTTTCCTTATATTAGGGCCCCGGGGGGGGGGGGGGGGGGGGGGGGGAGATCCGTTATAATCATGAGCCTCTTTCTCAGGGTCCATGGTTTTCATCAAGCATCTGGCTGGCCACTCTTAGAGTTCCCACTCCTACTGCAGCCCCATCTCTGCCTTTGAGATCCACTGGGATGCGCTGAGGCAATTATGCCAGCTATTTCATGGGAGTTGTGCCTCATTTGCAGCGATGCCCGCTAAATGTGATTGCCTGATAATGAAGCTTGGGATGTATCTACCAGCTTTCTAACAATACTGAAGAACATCAATATATTTTGGATACAAACTGAATTACACAGTGCCAATATAATGCATTAATTGCTGCTGGAGAACATTCGATAACACTCTATACTATCCTACATCCAACAAATAAAACAACTAGAATACGTATGTTACAGAAAAAAAATTTTTTTTACACAAAAAATGACCTATTCTTCCTGGTCAACCCATTTTATAAAAAGTTACGGGAAATTTTCTTGGAAGTAATAGCAACTGACAAGATAAAATTTACACTGGAGGCAAAGGCTAAATGCAAGACCTCACGTCTTTGTTCACCTAGACTGCTCACCCAGCACTGGAAGTCAGTGTATGTCCTCCACGTCTAGTCTGTCCTGCTATCTTGTTATAACCATTGAGCTACAGTAAGGTCAACATTCTGTAACTTCTGTTCAGTCTACTTACTATTCAGTTTGCTTACATTTTATTCTTATCTCGTTCATACACATGCCTGTCAGTCCATGACAGTCTAATACTTACATTCTTTTGAGAATATTTTCTTCCTTTTCTCTAGTGGAGTGTCATCTTCAATGTCATCTTCTTCAAACTGAAAAACGGTAAAAGCATTTAATCTAAGAATTATATGGTTCTACTGAAGACGATATTATTTTCACATTATTTTACTTATATAAGATAGTACTCATGTTTTGTTTTTTAAATGGTGAGATAACAGTCATAACATAAAATATGCCCATTGATAGAAGTGGATAAATTTATCAGCTACAGCCAACCTCCATTGTGGACAAGGCACAATCATTTATTCATCATAAAAACTACAAGTGAGAGTAGGAAAGTTAAAGGCGGGAAGGGAAGTGGCAGAGGGGAACTAAGGTAGAAGATGCTGCATAATTTGACATAATGGCTTGGAAGTCATCAGTGTTAATTAAGAAATGATTGAAAAACACGAGACAGAATGAGGACTGAAGCAATAATACAAATTACATAATTTTCCTAAACGAACAATAACATGATTTATAAAATAACAAATATATACTCTGAGAACTAGATGACCACTTTAAATTCCAGTTACAACCCTATAGATACAGGATATTTAAAAACAAACGACTATTACTATATTAGACAGAAGGCTGTGGGCTAGATATGACTACCAACACCATGTAGCATGGGCTATAAGAAGAAGAAAGATATCTGGGCACTAAGTTGTACAACAGGTCAGAGTACAACACCTTCACCGCTCAGGGTTTGACAAAGGACATGATTACAGAGTTATCGGTATCATATAACATACTATGATCATCATCATCCTATAGCAGGTCCTTTGCTCTCATCACGGCCTGCCAGAAAGAAACTTGGTCTCTTGCCGGCTCTCCCGCCCAACTTCCCTAACCAAGGTGTCACCAATATCCTGTGCCCATCTTAATGCTGGTCGGCCCCTGCTCCTCTTTCCTGGCACAATGCCTCTGCTACTATTCTTTCAATCTGCCATGGTGTGCCACTTGACATGGCCAAGCCAAAATATTTGACATACTATGATACACACAGGAATTCAATAAATACTGGTTAGTGTTCTAGGGTCACAGACTGACAAGAGGAAGGTCTTGGATGGTACAAGATGAGGACACAATTAGACATATGTGCAGGCTTGATAATATTGTGCGAGGTCAAGAGTGGGTCAAAGCATCTGAGCAACAATCAAACTTGTGTAGGGTTTTAATCACACCGGGTCATAAGTGCAGGGAGTGACCAGCGGGCGCTGTAGAATCAGAAGTTCAACAAATGATCCATGACAGTTCCCGCCCAGATGATGTGATTATCAACAACAGATGTCTCCGTGAAGAAAAGCAGAAGTGCATGAGGGTTCAAAGAAAAACCAAACGCTTAGTGCAAGAAAGCCTGGCATATGATACCACATCTAGTTTGAGAATGGACGTCGAGGCAGTCGATACAGCCTTCTGATGGCTCGAAAATTAGCTGTACATGTTATAGTTGTTACTGCTTCACAGAGCATAATGTTGGGAAAAGTAGAGACATGATCAAAGTAGTATGTTCCATGCAGAGTGGCAATAATAACGTTACAGGTCCCTCGTAGTTAGCATCACTCAGATACCTTCTCCAGGTCATGCTGATGTTTTGCAAAATGAATAGACACACTGGATGATGATTCTGCATCACCTTGTGGTAAACTTATTACACAAGAAGCCATTTGTTGTAAGCTCCTTTGGGAGAGAATGAACAGTATGTATGCATAAACAAATGAAATAGATCGTCACGGTCTGAGAATGCTGATGTGAGGAATGATCAGGGGATTTAGTTGATGCTCAACATTCAAGAGAAAGATCAAGCAGATAGGATATGAGACAAAACTAAAAACAGCCACCCTAGGGGGCGCAATCTATTGCAACGTTTAATACTTTAGATGGGGATGTAATCCACTGTTTGCGTAAGTTCACATAATAATATTCTTTAATATTCAATATTGTTTGAGATTAGGGCTAGGATCTGGGTTAGCGGATATTGCATAATAATTTAAAATTACATGGTTATTTTGTTAGACCTTGTTACCCTGAACACAAAAACATATAGTTTCTTTAGGTTTTGTTCAATACTTAATAAGTTGAAGCAGCTTGAAATACTCCTGGGCAGCATGTTTAACTGAACTTTTGGCTGAACTCCGAATAACGGTCCCAAATTATCGAGGCTAAAAAAATACAGGGCCTCATTGTTTGTGACTGTGCCGTCAGGAAACTGTGCTAAATATTCAGTAAACAATGTGCGACTAGTGCCACAGTGGTAACGTCGCGTCCTCGTAAGTTTCATTCATAACCCTTTAATCGATAGTGTCGCAGTTCCACTGTTGACAGATTCTGGAGGCAGTGTCGTGACTGCAATACTCCTTGCCCTAACCCTAAACCTAGGACCCAGGGGAGAAGTTAAACCTAGGACCCAGTGGAGACGTTAAACCTAGGACCCAGGGGAGAGGGTAAACCTAGGAACCAGGGAAGAAGTTAAACCTAGGACTCAGGGGAGAGGGTAAACCTAGGTCTCAGGGGAGAAGTTAAACCTAGGACCCAGGGGACAGGTTAAACCTAGGACCCAAGGGAGAAGTTAAACCTAGGACCCAGGGGGAGAAGGTAATCCCAGCACTCAGTGTTGGAGATGTTGACACCCTCGATGATTTGGGACCCTCATTCGGAGGATAGCCGAATGTTTTACTCCTTTATTCAATTTGTCTACAAAAACTTGAATAGCTTCGCTTAGAACTGACATACAGAAATAAACGAGGCACCGTTGGAAAGAGCTTTTCAATATGTATCCATCTGTCCTGTTAAAAAATCAGTTAAGTACCTACTAACCCTAACCAAAGCAATAAAATCAATATTAAATGGCTATCCTCCGAATAACGGTCGTAAATTATCGAGGCGGAAAAAATACCCTAACAGGGCCTCAGTCAATTGCTCACTTTTGTCGTCTTAACATGCGCGCTAGGACTCACAGCAGCAGCTACCGCATCTCCTGCAGCTTCCTTCATTTTATTTGCTTGTAGTCCTAGACATCTTTTTTAGCCCCAATCCACGCCGCGTGAGCAGCGTGGGGGACACTCTCGGCGGTGGAGGAAGTTGCCGGACGTTCGCAATTCGGTTCGCATTATAGTCCCCGGAAGTGCGCACGTGACATGTGACTGAGGTCCTTTTAGGGTATATTTTCCGCCTCGATAATTTACGACCGTTTTTCAAAGGATAGCCTATTTATTACACTACACTACTGATTATCATTGAAGGTAAACAAATTTAATTACAATTACAAATAATAATAATAGGTTGCGTTCTATTATGGTCGCTACCTAGGGTCGCAGTCTTTAGTTTTGCTAAATATGATACAATATAAAATGATACAATCACAGACAGACTCAGACTGTTTATATTATTTTAACTTCTACGGACGAATGCGAATGTATGAAAATAATATTAATAATAATAATTAATATGGGAAATCCAAATATTAATAAATAGTAACGTAACTTTATTATTATTTCTACTATTTCTACAAGAATAATTACAAATAAATATGGAATATACAAGTAAATACGACCAAAGTTACTCAACCTCAACAGCGCTTTCTCTATCTGAATTATCAGCCATGGCTTAGAGGCGGTAACAAAAAAAAAAACAAATTTGGTAAACAATCAAAATACAGCGATTCACAACGACAGGAAGTTGTTCCAGATTGTTCTCGATCCAAGTTTTTTTGATTCCCCGCGGTGATGTTCCGCACAACTTTCTCTGCAGCGGGTACCGACTAGCAAAAAGCGATACGTAGTTGGTCGTACTTCCCCATTTATGTAGACCTAAGTGTTTGTTTTACAGAATATCTGTTGTCATTTGGAGGTGGCAGGTTCGAATTCTGGAATGAAAATACGCTAGATTTAATTTATGTATTTTATAGTGTGTCTCTACTTGCTTTTTCTGAGTATCAATCAGCACATTTAAAGAAAATTAAATTTATATAATATCATTATATGAATTATTTATTTCATTCCGAGAAGAGACGAACAGAGAACTTTGCCAAACATTCTCTTAAATGAAGAAAAGAGGGACTAAGGAAACGAGGACGCTGAAGAGAAACCTTAAGGCGAACGTGGATGAGAGAAGCTAAAGGTGCTGGATTGGATTCCATCCAGGATATCAAAGTGAGAGGCTCTCCTTTGAATAAACCCCCAAAATGGCGGCATGCCACATTCTGGCCATAAAATATCCGAACGACGGTGTTCGCATATATCTAAAATACGGACTTTCTGCCAAGGAACAAATCGCGGCAAAACTAGGATTACTTGACAATCAATATCAACATTTGCACACGGCAGTAGCAGACGATAAATACCGACCGTTGACAACAATTTCAAGCGTTTCTGCAGATTATATTAGCGACCGTTGACCAATTTTGAGACATTACAGACGATGAAAGCCGATTAGCAATACTGTGTTCTTCCGATTAGAGGATTTAGCAGCGGTAGATGTCAGATTTGTCGGCATGCGCCAAACGCAATTAAACTCATCACCGAGCGTATCACCCGCGCTACTACGCGCAGCGCGGATGGGGGCTAAACTAGGTGCCTGGGACTCACGAGGACAGTAATTGGAGGAAGTTGCAGGAGATGCGGTAGCTGCAGCTTGTGAGTCCCAGCCATCTAGTTTAGTCCCCATCCGCGCCTTGCGTAGAAGCAGGTCGGCAAGTATCGTATCGCCGAGACCCTGTCAGAGCACTTGTTTCGTTATCCAGAGCCGGCACATATATTTTTAATAGAACTGACCCGCATTCGAATATTTTATGGCAAGAAATTGGCCAATTTAGCTCTTTTGAACGCCATCATATTAAAGCTGCCATTTTGGGGGTTGATTTCAAAGGAGAGCCAAGTGAGGCTATCCTCCGACTAACGGTCGGTAAAGATGGCGGCCGCAAAATATACTTTCGAGCCACGGTCGCGTGTCAATTGCGCACTAGTGGTTACGAGCACACCGCGACTGCTGCTCGTGGGTCCTAGCCATCTAGTTTAGCCCCATTCCACACGGCGTGGGGGACACATGGTGGTGTCGATAGTCGCCGGCAAACCACAAATGAAGTCACGCGAATGGCTCGAAAGGATATTTTGCGCCCGCCATCTTTACCGACCGTTAGTCGGAGGATAGCTTAAAGTGATTATATAGGACAAAACAGAGTAGACGAATAGACTGTCAGCCCTATGAGACACATAATGGCATAATAGGCAAAAAAAAAATGAATTTATTTCATACCTACATGCTATTTTAATTTAGGAAGTGTAAATAAAAGTAAAGATACCTTTTCACGCCTTTTGGCTATCTGGCATATGGGAAAAGCATCCATATTAGGCATTAGGTGGGTAATGTGGTCAGCATTACCCCGGCTGTCTTTACTTCCCCAGAACATACATCCTGGTACCCATTTTACGCTGGGTCGACCTACGACACCCCATACTACAACTATAAATATATCAATCTAATTTAAGTCATTTACCTAAGCTTTTGCCAGGTAATTTAATTTTAATATGTCCAAGGCACCGCCAGTGTTCAAAGGTTGGAGTTGGTAGTCCTGTAATGTATTAAAGTTAGCCAGCAGAAGAAACATAAGTTGTAAAGCATGAAAGAATGCTGAGAGTAAAAATTCAGGCCCTGGGTATGTCAACGAAACAATATTCTGAATTTTGTAAGGTTTGACAAGCTGGGTTTAGTAATTTTAAATAGTAATTCCCAGAATGGATCATATAGCTTTGCACCTGCGACTGTATCTTTGAGTTGGAAAATGTGAAATACAACTAGATAAATTGAAAGATGGTGCACACACACACAAAAAATAGAATAAAATTAAATATTAAGAGATGACAGAATACATAGAACAAATGTTGATTAAAGGCTGTAATCAAATATTCAAGTCAGCACTGGACATTCACCAATATTTGACTGAGAAGTTGTGAGTTCATTATTTTGCTGATAAAGGCTTTCTAGCCACAATGTAAATTTATTGTTTATGATAATGTGAAGTCAACTAGTTCTCCTTCTGATTTGAACTGATATCTTTTCATTTATCTGTTTATTCTGATAGGTGGCCAGAGAAATCACTTCAGTAATCAGCTTGAAAATATGGCTACAACAGGCACAGAGAAGCCGACTGGATGGTTTGCACCAGAGATTCAACAGATGATGTTCAGTTTTGGAGACAGCAGGAAACCTCTGCCAGAGACAGTGGAGCTGGTAGAGGCCATAGTACACCAGCAGATGGTGGCATTGCTTGAACAAGCTTCTGAAGTTTCTTTTAGCAGGGGAGAAAAAAAATTGGAATTCAGAGTATTATATTTTTGCTACGGAAAGACAAAAACAAACTGAGAAGGTTGTTTAGATTCTTGGAAAAAAGAGATCTGAAGAATAAAATTGAGTCACTGGCAACACCAGAAGTTGTTTCTGACAGTCAAGAATTAATTAACTTATCAGTGCTTGAAAAAGAAGCTGTAAATAAACAGACAATGAGTAGAGACAGAAAAATGTGCTTAGACTTTTTACATTCAATAGATCAAACAGGTGAACTGTTGGCATTATTTTACGATACAGAAGAGGATACAGTAAAACATGAAAGAATGCTGAGAGCAGAAATTCAGTCTCAGGGTATGTCCACGGAACAATATTTTGAATTTTGTAAGGCTCGACAAGCTGGTTTTAGTAATTTTAGAAAGCAATTCCAAGAATGGATAATGTTGAATTTGACACCTGCATCTGTACCCAGGGCATCTGTAATAGAAGTTTTATGTTACCTGGCACATGAAACTGTTGCTCAGATTGTAGATTTTGCACTGCTGGTGAAGCAAGATTTACAAGCTCGCTCAGGAGATTCACATAATGTCAGAGCAGTTGCCACTGAATTTGATACTGAAAGCCAGCATTCACCATCTAATGCCACAATTGATTCTTTACAGTTTAAACTGAACACTTCAAGCACATCACAAATACAGTCCTATACAAGCACTACAGATACACATATCGCCTCAGCTCTAGCAAGTACACTTAACAGGAAGAACAGTAAGCCACAGACAGATGCTACATCATGGGACTGTGCCATTCTTCCATCAGATGTCAGAGAAGCCATGAGAAGATACTATACAGATATTAGTCCATTTGTTTCACAAACTAAAGTCAATTACCACTGTTCCACTTGGCACAGAATGTTCTGTAGTTAACAAAACAAAGTCGAATTTACCTTTGCCAAAACTGCTGATTAATCTTCTGGTCTACCATGTGTATCTTGAAGTGATGTGCTGATTCCATAGAGCTCAGAACATTCCTCTAAGTGCTCTGCCTCTGTCTTCAGCAGCCAACACAGAATTCTAATTCCATTGCTACCAGTTGCAGTCTGATTGTATGTCCATCTTGCCTTTCCTCTGAGTGTTGAGCATCGGCCAGATTCCCTGATAACTCCCTGATGCGCCATTCTCATCAGACCATGAAGATCTATTTGTGCCTTTACAATATTAGGGCTTTCAGAGGTGCCGATGTATTTACTGACCTTTTTTTTTTTTTTTTTTGCAGCTAAAATCAAGTTAAAACTTTAAAGATATATTTTCTTTCTTTTTTTTGACAATATCTGCTTATGCCGCTAGGCACCACAGTTTGGCAGCCGAGCCAGGGAGCGCTCAGTCACTTGATATACCATGATGTCTCAAGGTGTCAAGTGACTTCTTCAATCTATTATCTTGGTCTTCGATTTTCAGGTTGTAGGCTTCTGCTGCTGGCATCGTTGACGGTGAGTATTGTTCCAACACAACAGTTCTTGTGATAACGTCGTTTCTCATTCTATCTCTTCTGGGTTTTTTCACAGCCATTCTCAAACATCTCATCTCATAGGTGGTTAATTTTCTTTCATTTTCTTTTGTCAGTGTCCAAGTCTGACATTGTTAACCTAAAGTTGGTATAAATATTGTATTTATAATTTGCCTTTTTGTTTCTACTGTGATAGCAGGGTGTTTTTGAATTGGAGCAAGTTGGTACATGATATTATTGGTTTGTTGGATTCTATTTTCTCTCTGTCTATTTTACCATTGTGTGTAAAGATGCTTCCAAAGTATTTAAATTCTTGCACTTGTTTCAGATTTTGATCTTTATTTTGATCTTTGATCTTTATGTTGATGGTTTGTTGCTCTCTACTTATTCACATGATTTCTGTTTTTTTTTTTTCCAGTATTAATCTTTATGTGATGTTTAAGGCAACTGTCATGTAGTTGGTTTATGTGGTCCTGCAGCCGTTTACTTTCCAATCAGTGATTGTCAGCAAAGAGCAACTCATTGAAGTCTTTCTGTTTATCAACATCTGGTGGTGTTATATCCACAAAGTTCGACAATTAAGTAATGAGACTAGTTCCATAAAAATTAAAATAATCAACAGTTGAAGATATAACCTGTATTTGATTCAAAGTAAGCCCTTTGTGATTTGATACAGCAAGTGGCACGATCTAACAAACACTGAAACGACCTCTATAGTTCTTCTGTTGTTATGGCCCTTAAAGTTGATGTTACAGCCCTTTGGATGTCGTCAGTATCGTTAAAGATGCGTCCTTTAAATGCTAACTTTAATTTTGGGAATAGAAAATAATCACAGGGAGACAAATCTGGGGAATAGGGTGCAAGGCTGAGAACACACACTTGTTTTTGGGGCTAAAAATTCTTGTTTTGATTATGTCTCTTGGGTACTCAACCCACTGATGTTTTTGGTCATCAGACAACAAATGTGGTACAAACCAGCAAGCAACTTTTGTCTTGCTAAAATATTGCACTAAAATGTTATGAATGGTCTCTCTATTAACACCAGATTCATCTGTCATCATCCTCACACTAAAACAATAATCTTCTTGTCTCCATTCTCTGACATTTGCACTGAATTCATCATTACGAACAGAAATTTGGCATCCAGGTCTAGGTGCATTAGTAATCATTTCCACACTAGTTTTGAATCGTGAATACCTCCTGAAAATATGTGCACGAGATAAACAATAATCCCCATAAACTTGTTGCATTAATTCAACTGTTTCAATGACGTTTTTTCTGAGTTTTAAAAATAATTTAGTGTTAGCTTTTTGCTCTGTGCTGATTACGTAACAATGCACCTCTGACTAAGCCAACAAAATGGCATCTTGTTTGTTGTCTGCTTAGCGAGCGGTGATGAAAAGTTGCCAGATCATAGATGAATGTTGCCTCTTTAGATTCCATGCTTTGTTTTATATATTGCATTTTTTCTTGGCCTTAATAAAATCAGTCTCATTACTTAATTGTCGGACCTTGTTTTTTATTAATATTGTCCATAAATATAATAAAAAGTAAAGGTGAAAGAACACACCCTTGCCTTACTCCTGATGGTACTAGAACCAGTCTGTGAGGCCAGCTCTTGTCCTCTACAGACAGCTGTTACACAATCTAGTGATGTTCCATAGTTTTTTACTGTTTACAGTATAACATCTTATAATCGTAGAAACCAGTATAATGTTGGTTATCTCATGGATAAAGCAGTCAAGGAACAGTTTTCATTTACAGTCTCTAATAAATACCTAGTGTTGCAGCAGTCAGCTGAAAAAGTAAACACTGAAGTCTTCTGAGATTAGATCAAGGGAATGTAGAATGAATCTTGGTAAGAAAGAACAGAAACCATAAAGCGTGGATAACACCAGAAACCATTAAAAAGGTTGAAGGAGGGAAAAGTAAAAAGGCAGATTTAAACAACAGCAACTCTAGAGCTGCTAAAGCTAGAGCTCTGGAAAAATACACAGCAGCTAATAAGGAAGCTAGAAGGTAAATAAGACGGAGATTAGGTAAATATAGTCAGCCAACTGGATCAGTCAAAAATATTCAAAGAATAGACCAGCCCCAGAGGTTCCTTTATGTATCTAGCCTATAGAAATGGAACTGGATATAATCTGTGAGATACCATCTAAAGAGGAAATTAGTAAAGCTATCAATCTTCTGAAGGAAGGAAAGGTGGCAGGTCCGGATGGTTTGCCAGCAGAAGCTATCAAGGCCAATAAAAACACATCAACAGAATTGCTACATAGATTATTTAGTAAAGTCTGGGAGACCAAAGAAATACCAGCATACTCGAGAGAAGCATATCTTGTGAAACTGCTCAAAAAAGGTGATCTACTTGATTAAGAAAACTATAGAGGAATAATGTTGCTGTCAGTTCCTAGTAAAATATTAAATAGGATTATTTTATAGACTAAAAAGATGCTATTGATAAAAACCTAAGCGATGAACAGGCAGGATTTAGGTCAAATGGATCCTGTACTGACCAGATAGCCACATTGCTATAATAATAGAGCAAAGCATTTAATTGAATTCACCACTTTATATTGAATTCATAGACTATGAAAAAACTTTTGACAGCATTGATAGGGAATCTCTCTGGAAATAAATGGGGCACTATGGAATCCCACATAAAATTATTAACTCAGTTAAGGCAGTATACAAAGACATGAAATGTTGAGTTCTTCAACTTATTGTCTGTTCTCCAAGCACTATTAAGCAAAAAACAAGACAAACTAATTGCAGATCTAAGGACCAACATTGGCTTACTCTCCAAGGAAGCAGAACTGGTCTTGCAGTGGATACCAGCCCACTGTGGTATTCAAGGAAATGAGAGAGCAGATGAGTTGGCAAAAGCTGGGAGTAATCTTCCACAACCCCATTCACCACACAGCTACAAGGAAACCAAAACAGCACTAAAGCAGTCTTTCAAGCGGGAGTGGAGAAAGCAGAATAGAGATTACAGACCAGAGAGTGACAGTATAATCAAACTCAACAGGAAAGAACAAACATCAATTTTTAGACTTCGGACTGGACACTGTGGTCTTCGAGCACACCTGTACAGGATAGGCATAAAAGAATCTGCTGCCTGTGATTGTGGAGCAGAAAGACAGATCCCTGAGCACATACTGCAATACTGCCCTTACCTCTTCCAGCAAAGACTGTGGATCTGGCCCAGGGGATCCACATTGCGAGAGAAGCTATGGGGGACCGGTGGCGACCTTAAACACACATTCCTATTTTTGACCCAGATGGGACTCAATGTTTAGCATGACTGATGTCGAACGTAGAAGAAGAAGAAAAAAGTTGAGTTCTTCATGAGGCAAAGCTAACAGATAAATTGGAAATTTAAACCGGTGTGCGACAGGGACGTTTTTTGTCACCTGTCCTATTTTTACTGGCAATAGACTGGATTATGAAGACAGTAACTGCTAACACCAAGAATGGAATTCAGTGGACCGCTGCAAAACAGCTTGATGATCTGGACTTTGTTGATGATATTTCTCTTCTGTTCCACTCATGGAATCATATGCAAGATAAATTAAATATACCTGATGCGAGATCACAACAGCTGGAAGAAGAAGAAGACTGTTCACTCACTGCTAAAGGGCATTGGCCAGCTGTAGCTCGTCAGACATAATTTTCCACCATGTGAAGCAGAACCAGAGTCTGTCTGCCAACACACATCAATATCCTAGAGAAAAATATGGAAGATACTAACTACTCGAGGTCTGCGATCTCTTTAAGTGATGCCTGCCACTGTGCAACAAGCCTACCTGTTATCCTGTTAAATCATTGATTGATTGTTTCTTACTTTGTTTCTTACTTCTGGGACAGGATTGTTGCAGAGTTTTCTTCTTATTTACACATACATTGCGATGTTAAAAAAAAAATGGAGGTTCTGTTCATAACTTCTTTGATTCTTCTTTAATATTTTGTTATTGTTGTGTCTAGAAATTGTTTTTTAAATATAAAATAACTTAATGAAAGCTGTGAACGGGTGTATGTGAGAGGTGAGATCATTAGTCCTGCAGAGATATATGCTACTCAAGTGACCTTGACCTTGTTACTGCTTTATGACCAGTATTGAGGCCATACAATCATTGAACAAAGAACGGATGGATTGTTGTTTCATATGCATTTTGATAATACAAGCAATCATTCCCCTTGACAAAAATAATTGCTCTGTGGTCTTATAGGGCCTGTCCCTGTCCGTGATCCATGTCACACTGTCAGCCTATTCTACTTCTTCTTTCGTTTGCTTGAAATAGATTATCTATAACTGCAATGTTGTCTCTAGTATGAACTTCACAGTCTTGTTGAATATTGCTGAATGTTAAATTAAGAATCAACATCACAACACTCGGGATTCTCCCGTAAGTACTGAGTCCATCTTCAGCAACAAGCGAAGAGTTCCAATTCTGATGGCACCAGTAACCATTTGATTTTATATCTGTCTCATCCTTCCCCTGAGTGTTCAGCGTCGGCCAGATCCCCTGGTAACTCCTCGCAGCGCCATTCTCCTTAGACCGTAATGATCTGTCTGCGCCTCCGCACTGTTCACTCGCTCCCAAAGGGCCCTCACAATATCCACCTTGTCATACATCAATTACCCGGGACCTCTTAAGCGATGCTTGCCACTCTGCATGGGACATGCCTGTCTCCACCTTTCTCAACATGCCCTGGGGGTCAGTTAAAACCACGGCAGGTGTGTACACTTATTCTCAAGCCAGTGGAAGGCAGCAGTGACTGCCTCCATCTTTATTCTCAAACTAGACGTTGTGATATCATATACTAGACTTTGTTGCACTAAGCGACGTCCATTTGTCTTTGCTATGAACCCCTATGTACTTTGCCATTCAGAATAGAGCCATCTGTATAGATAATCACATCACCTGGGCGCGAAATGTCATGAATCATTTCTTGAACCTCTGATTCTGCAGAACCAGCTGGCCAAGTCTTTGCACTCACGACCTAAAGCAATAAGAACCCTACACAAGTCTTAAATTTGCTCGGACACTTTGACCCACTCCTCTCCTCGCTCAAATTTATCAAGCATGCACAAATGTCTAATTGTGTCTTCAGCTTGTGCCCATTTTCTTAGTATTATTTCTTGACTGGGGATGTACCATTAAGGTAGGTTTTCAGTAGTGTTTTAGAAATGTAAAACTAGTCGTTCGTACGTTTAAATTATTGTACCCGTTTTCAAACTAACAATCTGGAGTTTCTATTTAGCTCCTTGCATTCAATTAGACTAGTCAGTTGTTTTGTTTAAAATCTCCAGAACTGGCACTTGGAGGAATATCTCTGTTTGGGCATGAATAAGTTACTCTCAGATTGCAGTTTTCAAGATTTATCCATCATTCAGACTCATTATGTTTTCTACATATAAAATAAAACCCTGTCATTAATGTTACCAGAAGTAAAATTTACCATATTTCAGTCACTAATTGACTAGAAATGTGCAAGTCTAAAAGTATTAAAAAAAAAAAATATATACAAGGAAAATACAATATCAAATTCAATACCTAGTGTTCTAATGCATTTTTTTTTTTTGTTTTTTGTTTATTTGTTAATATGTAACAAATACATTTTCTTACATGAGCTTATACAAACAACATACAAATTACCAGTAACTAGAATTCTGAAACATATATACTGACTTGAATGTTATTTGTATTACAAAAATATATAAATGTGGAAAAAAAAAACACTTTGATTTTATCCCATCTTTTTTCCATTTCTTCTTTGGTTTCTTCTTCCACTTCCTCCTCTTCCTTCTTCTAGTGCCTGGTCTCCAGCAGATGGTGGTTATCTGGACTCTCTAATCCTCTCTGTCATCTGAAATTTTGATGACAGTGTTGCTTATATGTCTTGCTAGTTTACCCTTTCACCTCGGTGATGCTAAAAAAAAAATTACCTATGACACCATGGGAATTCTTAGAATAAATCCTTCAGAAACAATTTTACGCAGGTCACTAACAGATTTAAAAAAAAAGTATTTATATTTGTTTTTGTTTGTTTAAACAGCAGATGTAAGGCACCTGCTTTTGCAATATGTTGATGATATAGTTTCGATCACTAAAAATGAAACAAATGCCAGAAATAATAAATATAATTATAGCAAAAAGTGAAAACAAGTGTCTTAGTTTGAACAGCAGAAAAATTGAAGTAACAGTAATTACAAAGAAAACTGACCCTCCAAAATGCAACATCAAAGTAAATGGGACAAACCTCAAGCAAGTTGATATGTTTAAGTACTTGGTTTACCTGATAACTTCACATGGAAGATGTATTCTTCTTCTTCTTCACTTCCTCTTTTACCGCTGTGGGTGTCGAGGGAGATATAAGGTTCTGTTTCTGGCTCTTCTGGCCACCTCGACCATAGGCACATCGTGCTGTTGTAGAGCTTCTCTGATGTTATCCTTCCATCTTGTTCTTGGTCTACCTCTTGCTCTACGACCTTTTTCTCTTTCCATGTATGCTTTGCATGGTATGGTGTCACAAGGCATTCTCTCTAAGTGGGCAAACCATTTCACTTGCTGTCTTTGTATGTAATTTAGAATTGGTTCTGTGCCGACTTTTTCTCTTATAATCTCATTCCTGATCTTATCTCTTATGGTCACTCCTACAGCCTTTCTCAGACATCTCATTTCCATGGTTACTAATTTTGGAAGATGTATTAAAGAAGTTAAATGTAGAATAGCTCAAGCAAAAATGAAGAATATATTATGCTTTCTTTGTCACTTGAGACAACAAAGAGAATTCTTAAAAGCATTATAAATCCTATCTTGATAGGGAAGTGAATCATGGACAGTTGGTAAATTAGCCAAAACTTATTTGGAAGCTGCGGAGATGTGGTTTTACAAATGATTATCAGCTCATATCAGAAAGAGACAAGAGGCAGAGGGAGAGCAGATGCTGGACAGTCTGACATCATGGCATGGAAGATCATTTGTGTCAGAGTTGACTGAAACTACACCAGACAGAAGGCTGTGGATAGACATGACTACCAACACCAAACAGCATGGACTTTAAGAAGAAGAAGAATGCTTAATAAACAAAAAATAGTTGGTCATGGCGCCATGGGAATTCTCAAGAAGAAATCCCTTTAACAAAAATTTCACACAGGTCACTAACACATGTAAAAAAAAAACACATTTATTTATGTATATTTGTAATTTTGTTCTCTAAGTACATAAAGATATATAAAAGGAGTAATCAATACACATGAACAGAGTGAAGCACTAAATGGAATATATTCCCCTGGGCCTAAAAATTATACATATCAGGTGATGCATGCTGTGATTTCTATCACTGCGGCTGATGGGAAAATCTGACACTGAGAACTTGGCTTTTTTTCAAGGACACCCTTCTCCCCCCCACCCCTATGCTATTTTTAGTTAACATATTAACATCCTGACCTCAAAAATGTTTGCGCAGGTGTAAACACAGCCAATAGCATCAACTATACATCTTGTAGACAAGTTGAAAAAGTGACATTCACACAGAATTGGCTCCAACTTGCTGGTGTCAGATCTGAAGATTGTCCAGGACAATGGGATTAAGTTTACCAAATACATCTTTCTCTGTCTTCTATATCTCTCTTGCCTAGCATTTTCCCAAAAGAGGCTCATTTCTTTATTTCAGCCTTTCTGTTGAGACACATTTTGTTTATAAAATAAGTAAACGTTTAACAAGAACAAGCATTTTCTATAAAAAGAATTGGACATTCAATAAACAGATGACTGAGGGCTACACCTCCTTCTGGCTGGATGTACTTCACTAGGAATCCTGGGGATACCGGAATTGTGATTAACTGGTTGATTATTTATACATGGTGGCCAGAAATAACAAGAAAACAAAATCATACCTGTCTTGAAACACCTGTACACTTATGCATATGTGTTATTGAGAACCATAGTTCCATAGAACCATAGTGATTTGCAAATCTCCCTGCAATGTCAAAGGTCAGAGTTGAATTTCCAGCTGAGTCAGAGTAGGCAAATTAAATGGTTTGGCCACTTAGAGAGAATGCCTTGTGACTCCAGCCATGCAAAGCATATATGGAGGAGAAAGACGCAGAGCATGAGGCAGACAAAGATAAAGATAGAAAGAAACTCTGACACATGATGTGTCTACGGTCAAAGTAGTTAGAAGAGCAAGAAGCAGAACCGTCTATCTCCCTGAACTTCTAAAGCAGTAAAAGAGGAAGTCTTCTTCCCTTTCACTGGCTGTAAACTCTGGCAGAAATTCCTGGTTGTTCCTCCACTTCTGGACTTTGATCTTGTTCCAGAACTTGACTTTTGTGTGCATATCATTTTAGAGATCTGGTTTATTTATATGCAGACTATTCTTTGGCATATGCAATTCAACTTCAAAGGAAACGCCCCTAATTTGTCACCTTTCACAACATACTTGTTTGGGGGGCAGTGGTCTGGTCTTTTGCCCTGGAGCCCACAGGAGAAAGAGACGAAATGAAGGGGGAAAAGTTATGACTGTAGAACTTTATGTATGAGACGTTAGAAACCACCATATCAGAAATGCAACATGTAAATTAATATTTAATTATTGGATCATCATCATCATCATGTGCCTTGCCGACTGGCGTGGGCTATCATGCCTCTTCACAATCTGCAATCTCCTGCAGCTTGTATCAGTTCGTGTGCCGACACACCTCCATGCCATGCAACAAGACTGTCAAGCATCTTCTCTCGTTGTCTTCCTCTATCCCTCCTTTCACAGATCTTTCCAGTGGTCACAACATGTTCTATTTTCCCTCTTCTCATAACATGGCTGAAAAATGATGACTATCTCCTTCTGATGTCTGTGATAAGTTTTCTTCGGGCTCCAGCCTCTTTCTAAACCTCTTGGTTGCTCTTTTTGGCTGTCCAAGGTATTCTAAGCATTCTTCTGTAAAACCACATCTCTGAGGCCTCAAGAAATTGTTTGGCCTACCATCCGATTGTAATTATTGGATAGACCTTGAATTTCATTTTTAGGATTTTACATAAAACTGGTAATGTAAGAATATTTGTCTGCGGATGTCTGTATGCAAGTCCCTATGTACGAGTGCATCTTTGTTATTCTCTCTCTCACTCACCAAGTTTCCGCTAAGAGAATCTTGCTCCGAGTGGGACACCTGCATCAGCTTTGATGGCAGTTCTGGTTTAGCCAGACAATCATGTTGAGGCGTCTGCAAATGTTCGGTGTAGCGTTGAAGCAGCCATGGTGGTCCCTGGATTTGGAAGTTCTTACTCATGTGGAAAAGGTTCACAGTGGATAGTTTCTATGGCAACAGTTAAGTAAAAAGTAAAGGACCTTTTTGTTTACTATAAAACATGAGATTAATGGTTCTAGACTGATATTTTTTAGATCAAGCAGCATTTGATTAGTATGGACATCTTTCTTCTTCTTCTTGTTTTCCATCGATTTCTTCTCCTCCTTCTTCCATTTATTCAACATTCAAGCACAGACCCTCAATCAGTCTTTGTCTCATTTTCCTATTCATTGCCATCTCATGCAGCTGACTCCATGTTCTCCCTATATTATTAATATCTGTCTTTAAGGATCTTCTCTGTGTTGTCTTAAGTCTTCTTTCTTCCTCTATATATTTTCCCCCAGTGGGTACCACTGAAATCATATTCTAGTTATATTATTTTCCTAGATATAATGAAGTAGGTTGGCTATCTACTCTTTTTGGCTTTCTTTGCATCACTTCACCGTTCACCTCAATGAAAATCCCCCCTTCACTTTATTTTGCTGAGTAATTTGGTTCTTTTTCATGCTCATCCACATTGGGATTGACTTATGCAGCTGAAGCTTTCTGAAGCATGGGTTTAGCTGGCTTTCAGATCAAACCTCCTAAGCATACAAAACATGCTAGGAGGTTACAATGTTTCTATTCCCTCAAGGGTCCTAGTAACACACACACACAAGATTCATAACGCCGGGATGCTGGGTTCGATCCCAGCTGCGGGACTTGCACCTTGCAATGGTTTTGACAGTGGTATCGAGAAACTGACCGTTCAGAAAGCAATGGCAAACTAGTGGAGGTAAATCTGCCTAGAAAAACCACAACAGCCAAAAAATGCTGGTGTTGATTCTGCAACGTCCCTATAAAGGATAAAGGATACACAACTAACAAATTGTTAACACACACATTTCTTTAGAAGAGGTGGGAATCTCTAATGCCTGTATACAAGAATCAAACATATTAGGAACATGTATTTGAAACCAGTTCATGCTGCACTGCAAAATTGTGTGTGCATTGAACATGATCATGTCACAGTCATGTGATAAGTACTCATTAATGAATAAAAAGAGCATCCTATGTAGCAGAGGTTCTGTTTCTGACCATTCAGAATTTTGACCGGGTTGATTCAAAATCCATCCAAAGCAGCTCAAAGAGCAGTGGTTCAGTTTCTTTCATCTGAAAGATGTCAAACAGTGGACACTCATAAAAGAATGCAGGCAGTAACAAATGTGCGTTGAAGACAACAGGGACGGACTGGGCATGAATGTTTCAGAAGGATATGAGCTCATGACAGGCCTTCCAGGGGAGGTCAGGCATATATTGTTGCAACAGAAAAGCCGTTGCCAAAACTGATGCAGCAATATCGCAAAAATATATACTTTTTTTTAGTGAAGCGGAACGCTGTGCTCAGTTCTTGCGGCCTTCATATGAAAATCGATGGCAGGGAGAACAAAAAGAGAAATAAACCATTCTTTTTATCTGTCCATTTTTGGAAACAACTCAACACCATACGATGAACCAGGTCAGCATAAGCCAAAGACAGACACTGTCGGCTCTGATCTACCTTGCCCCCCTGAAGATATAATGGTTACCAGGCAAGGATACATAAGATGAACCAGGTCAGCATAAGCCAAAGACAGACACTGTCAGCTCTGATCTACCTTGCCCCCCTGAAGATATAATGGTTACCAGGCAAGGATACATGGTTGGGTACTTCAGGAAGCTGGAATACTGAAGGAGGCTGGGTCAGCCTGACATCTGTGTTACCTGGAAGAGAGACATAAAATTGTTAGCTAATGTTCCAACTTAACCGCAGCTAGGTTGTCCCATACCTCCTCCATTCCTGCACCGGTGACAATCACACAAAATGTCCTTTACTGACCCATTTGAAAACTAGTGGAAAACTTTTCAGTCCCAGCGAAATCATGAAGCTCACACACGCATGTAAATTCATAAGGCAACTGTCGGATGTGCCATCACTTACAGTCCCACACCATAAAAGCATCTCACTGTTGATGCAAGCAATCAGTTAAGAAATGTGGCACTGTACACACTGTACTGCAAAAATACAGTCCACTGCGAATGTAATCAGCCATCTAACACTGTTAGTGCAGTTTACAACCTTGTCAAACTGGGTGTAATAGGAAAAAACATCCCACATGAAATCCACAGCTTATAGTTTTACATTGAACACTCATCTCAATGTCTGGGTGACAAAACTTTTGGATTCCTAGTCAAGAAATAGGGAATTTGCGTCAACTTGCCATGGCTAGGAACAAATAAGCGGTGAGCAAATGATCTGCCATACTGGACCGGAGGTCAGACACAAAATACAATATATTAGCATACTAAAGGTGACGTGACCATAGTGGTGAGTGCACTTGCCAGTTAAGACAGTGGTGCAACAAGCTAAACATTATCAAGGTCCTTTGTGAAATAGGTGGACAATGTGGAAGCACAATTACCTCTTTCAGTGCCAGGAGGTTTAGCATCAGAAGCCGAAGAGATAGTAAAGAGAGATGTAAAATTGATGCATCTCGTGTTTATTGGGCTTCTAGGTAGGAACATATAAAAGTATGGTGCATTCCTTGGACCTCAGAGAGTTAAATCAACATGGTTAGAAAAAAATAGTGCAGTGGGGAGTGACCAGGGGATCTCACTGACATTCAGTACTTGGAGGAAAAGTTAAGAGACATACAATCAGACTGATATATGTAACAACTGTATAGAAACTGTGTACTAGCTGCTGAATATGACAATGGAAAGCTTATGGGAATGTCAGCAAGTGATATTATGTAGTTTTTAACTCGACTCAACTTGACAGAATTCCAGGTTCATTCTTCAGCAAATGCAGGATTTTAAATACACACGCACACACACATACATGGACACACACACACACAAATTTTTTTTTTTTTCACACATATAAGTGTTGTGCATGATTCATATGTGGTGATGTATAAAATGCATGAGTGTAGATCATGGCGGGAAAAGACAGAACCAACCTGTTGGATGAAAGTAGTGGTGAGCTCTTGGATTGTAAACATTTCCCATCTTGAATGGCATAAACAGTGCAGGCAAGGTCACATCTGCTTGATGTCATGAAACAAGAGTTTTAACAACTGGTCAAAACAGTTTTTAAAATTAGCTTTTCTACAAACAAAATTTGGTCCATGAGATGTCTGGTGTACATCTTTCATGAAACAGGAAATGACTGTTGCCAGTCAATCTGGCATGAAGAATGACATAAAAAAAATCATGAAAAGGAAAGATATAGATAACAATGACTGGTCTTTATCTGTCTTCTGTGGCTTAGACTGCAGCCACCTTCACTGAGGAGACGGTAGACATTTATCTGTTTAGTTGTTGTAGTTATGATTTCCTGTTTATCATCATCATCATCACTGTCCTGTTGTGACTTTATATGTCACATAGGGCTCGCTCCATTTCATTCTATCATGTGCAATATGTTCAATATCAAGGATGGAATCCGGTCAAACATCTTTTGCTTCTCTCAACAACGTTTATCTTCGAGTTTCTTTTGGATGTCATCACTTTCTCAATCCCCCCCCCCCCCCCCCCCCCCCATTTTAGTGCCTGTTTGGTGATTCTGTGCTCGTTTCTTCTCAGTATATACAGTTTTACTGTAGTTAGAAATGTGCACATTCCAGTGCTTGTATTGATTATTTTGATGCTATTGCTAACTTTTAATATTACTTGATGTGTGAATGAAATGATGTAAGAACGGAGGGAGACCTCGAAGGGCAGAATGTTAGATGGGCCTGCGTGCCCAATTCTTGACCCTTTAAAAATAAAGTTTGTTCGTTCGTTCGTTCAGTGTAATGTGTCTCTTTGTACTGGGTCTCACTGGGACTACTAAGACACTGGCTGTTGTCTAGAGGGCGAGTTCACAGATATAATGAGACAGATCTTTTTCCCAATCAACTGTCCCACTTCTCTACATTACAGCCGATGCCAGTTGGTTACATTTCATGTTTATTGGTCATAACACACGAGCTACGAGAATCAGTTTCTCCAGTCAAGTATTCTACTGACAATTGACAGCCTGACTCTTACTTCATCTTATCAGGTTTCAGGTGTTCACACTTTGAAGCATACAGCCACGCTTTGAAGGTCAACATTGACATGCACACAACAGGCAGTCAGCAGGACACATTAGTCCTCTTTCTCTCAGCTGTCTTTCAACATAGCTTTCAATGCTGATGATCCACTTCTACTCTTTCTAGCTCTGGGTCAACTTTCACTCCTTCTCGCTTTGGGGCTTTGTCACAGAATGACCCTCTAGTCACCTATTTTCCCGGATATCTCATGTTTCAAAGTCAGCTCACACAGTCTTGTGTTTTCCCTCTCTCATGTCGACTTCATGTCTTTCAACATAGGGACTTCCCCAATTCCCCCAATCAATCAAACCCCTTACACTAATCCTATATTTAGCCTCACTAAACCCAGGATGGGTCAAATATAGTGCAATATTCTTTGTTTTATAATTATAAACATTCTTTTATTTCTCCACCCCTCTTGAATTCATCACGCTTTATGATCAACATTTTCCTCAGGCATTTGTTGTCAAATTCATTTAACTTTCATTCCATATTTCCTATTTTTTGCTCATTAATTAAGGCTTTGGTCTGAACATCAGCTTGTTTGTTTTCTTTGACAAACTTCCGAACTCCATTTTCTGTTTATTGTTATTTATTGTAACTAAGGAGTACAGGCAATGATGATGAAAATAAAATGGTGGAATGCAAGAAGAAAGGTCCTAGAAGTGAGAAGAGAAATAACTCGACCTTGAAGAGCATCATATATGTATTCTTCTTGCTTGCTGAGCCTGTTCTGTCCTGCAAGTTTTCTCTCCAGGTTGTCTTTTATTTCCTTCAGTGTTCTCTCGTTCAACTCCTGCTTGTGGTGTTTACTCTCTTCCTCCCACATGCGTAGCCTTTCATAGAACTGTCAAAAAAACCACAAAGAAAAAATCTGTTTCAAAGTTAGACACAACATGTGTTGAATTGCAGCTGTAAAAATACATTCAGTAAATCAACATAAGTGTATAACTAGGTTTCAAAGATCAGAGAGTTACAAAACAGATTTAGGGGAACTTAAAGAGAGCTGAACTGTATTTAAACTGTAAAAACAAAATTAGTAAACCAACAAAAAGGAAAATGTAGCTGATCAATTTTACAAGAACACAGTCACAAGGGACAGAATGGATACTACAGCTATTAAGTCTTGATCACCCCTTGGCAGTTCACAATAGTACGCTGAACTTGTATCTTTTCAGGCATCACTTTTTCAGCACTACTGTACTAAATACTTTGTGGTGCATACTGCCAGCTTATTTTATACACTCTGTGGTGAGCACTTGTACCTTTCCTAGGAAAAAAAAGCTCTGGGTACAACTAATTTTTAAAAAAAAAAGCCAATAAAACATGTATTGTTGGGACCCATCTTTGTGTCCAAAGTCACCCCAGTCAACATAAAATCCCAATCCATGATAAAAATCGAAAAGTAAAAAACACGTCAGCCAGGCATAACAGTGGTTCAGTGATTACACATAAAAAAGAATTTAAAATAGCAGTAACAATAATATCTAACAATTATGGAAAAATAAATCTTTACCATTAAAACTAACAATAATATTTGACAAATGGCAAAAAGAAAATAATTTCAGAAAAGGAAAATGAGTAAATGATTATCTAATGATGCCTTGTTTCTGATAAGTGTATGCAGAATGAAATAAATACATAATGTAATGGCCAACAACAAACTTGGCAACTGTACTCACATCATGAGGCAAATGTTCCCCCCAGCGAGGCAGTGAGTGACCAACCTTGAAGTTTTTTGATGACTTTTGAATCTTTGGTGGATGAGGTCTGATGATATGAAACAAATGTACACGTATAAGTTTTGAGGTAGAACAAATATTCTGGAGATGTGTGCAGCAGAAAATATACAGTTAGTATTCTATATGTTCGCACGTACACTGAACTGTTTAACAAAACCAAACACTTTTGGTATCATGCCTTATCATACTGTAAAAAAAAAACCTGCCACTACTGTCTGTTTTTACCACTTTTTAGGGCGGTGTACACAAGGGGTCATGAGCCTGAGGATTTAGGGCGGTGTACACAAGGGGTCACGAGCCTGAGGATTTAGGGCGGTGTACACAAGGGGTCATGACCTGAGGATTTAGGGCATTTTACACAAGGGACCATGAGCCTGAGGATTTAGGGCGGTGTACACAAGGGGTCACGAGCCTGAGGATTTAGGGCGGTGTACACAAGGGGCCGTGAGCCTTAGGATTTAGGGCGGTGTACACAAGGGGTCACGAGCCTGAGGATTTAGGGCGGTGTACACAAGGGGCCGTGAGCCTGAGAATTTAGGGCGGTGTACACAAGGGGCCGTGAGCCTGAGGATTTAGGGTGGTGTACACAAGGGGTCACAAGCCTGAAAATTTAGGGCGGTGTACACAAGGGGCCACGAGCCTGAGGATTTAGGGCGGTGTACACAAGGGGTCGCGAGCCTGAGGATTTAGGGCAGTGTACACAAGGGGTCGCGAGCCTGAGGATTTAGGGTGGTGTACACAAGGGGTCACGAGCCTGAGGATTTAGGGTGGTGTACACAAGGGGCCACGAGCCTGAGGATTTAGGGCGGTGTACACAAGGGGTCATGACCTAAGGATTTAGGGCGGTGTACACAAGTGGTCACGAGCCTGAGGATTTAGGGTGGTGTACACAAGGGGTAATGACCTGAGGATTAAGGGTGGTGTACACAAGGGGTCACGAGCCTGAGGATTTAGGGCGGTGTACACAAGGAGTCACGAGCCTGAGGATTTAGGGCGGTGTACACAAGGGGTCATGACCTGAGGATTCAGGGCGATGTACACAAGGAGTTGCGAGCCTGAGGACTTACTGCCGCATGGCTAGTGCTGTCACTATGGACTGTAAGGTAAGGATCTTTATTTGTGTCCCCAACAGAAAAACTCACTTTACTAGGGGTCGAACACGGGTCTCCTGCATGATAGCCCCACACTGTACCAACTTGGTCAGCCACTCTATTGATCATACATTCAGTGAAAAGATCTCAGACTAAACAAAAAGTAGAACGAGTCAACTTTACATTGTTACAATCACAGATGACAAGTGAACGATGCAGCTAGAAGCCTTTTTCAGCAAATAACATGAATTCATACATTCACTGGGTAGTTCAAAGACAGTGTATTTTTTCTGCCTCAGTTCTATAATAGACAATCTTGTATTAACTCATTTTACCCAAAACAGTTATTTAACTCTTTCTCATTTATAATTTGCCATATTAAAACTTTGTTGGATTCAATCATTAATACATTCAGTCATTAAAAGATTTGTGTTCCTAATTACTTAAGCAGTGCTGATACTTTATATAGAAGATACAGATGTACAAACCTACAAACAGATGTACAAACCTACAAACAGATTCCTTTCACCTGAGAGGGCTAACCTGGGCAACAAAAGCCTGATGAAGTCGGATGTGCTCACTCTTCTTATTTTTTTTCTTGTCTTTCACCGGTTGTAAACTCTGGCAGAAAGTTCTGGTTGTTCGTCTACTCCTGGACTTTAGTCTTGCTCCAGAAATTGAGTTTTGCATGCATATCCACTTTACAAAGTTGGCTTATCTGTAAGCAGACTGTTGGTTCCCACCTCTCAGGCAGATGCAATCTGACTTGAGGGATGGGGTGGGGGTGTGAAGTGGGTATGTTCTTGTTTTACACAAAATAGGGCCCCAGAACCCCAAAGGAGAGGCTGTGTTGGCTGAAAGGTGCAAATATTGCAACCATGCTGTAAATGGGCACAATGTAATTACATCCACAGATGACCACAGAAGAAGAAGAATAAAATCTACATATATTTACAAGGTGTGGTTATACCTGTACTTGGAAGCTGAAGAAGTTGGAGAAGCATGTTTTTCATCTCTATTGCCTGGTTGCAAGCTCACAGGAAAAGGGCTGTATCCAAGAGGAGATGAAGCAGAAATCTCTTTCTGACTGCTCGCTGGAGTTCTTGTTGCGGGTCTTGTAATCATCTCAGGTCTCATGGATACAGTTTGTGGTTTTTGAGTTGTTGTCTGAACATACTGTAGGTGGTCACTCTGCTGAGATTGCAGATTATGAATTAGTTCTGTGAGTTCTGCCACCTGCATGCTGGATTGGAAAGAAAAAAAAAATATATATATATATATTCAAATTGACAAAAATGCAGGCCCACAGGGAAGCATACAAAACCACAAGGTTAACCCAGCAAACAAAATGGATTTTAAGAAAAGTTTCAAGAAGTAAAATTGGCCAGCATGACATTTACAAAAGGTTTTTAAAAAGCTGATGTCGAGAAGATCAACTTCACTGAACCGGGTGTTATTCCACATGCTTGGTCTCTCTCTGCAGAACAGCAAGCAGACTGCCTAAAGCCTTGCACAAAGCAAGAACTCCGTACTCTAGCCACAATTCCCAGGGACCTTAGTATAAAACTGTACTCGTGAACTGAGCAATGCCTCTGTGAACCTACGACTTTCAGAGCATAAGGTAACCTTAAGTAGTTTTGTCTATAAAAACATGGGGGCTGGCACCAGAAGCCAAATAGAATGCATCTGTCTGAGAGGCAAGGAACCAAAAGTCTGCATACAAAAAAGTCAGAGATGTAAAATGGATGTGCATGCAACTCAAGTTCTAGAACAAGTTTAAAGTCCAGAGGTGGGCAAACAGCCAGAATATTTTTCCACAGTTTACAGCCAGTAACCATATGAAGAAGAAACCATCAACTAGGATCATCTCCAAAAAGTATGTTTAACCAAATACCAGTTACACTGAATCACTAGGTAAATAAATAGGGTGTATGTACAAGTCTGAATAACAATGTTTTGTGCGTCATTCTATGTTAATGTAAACTGTAGTAACCAAACTGGCAAGACACAGCGAACTATGCCTGGCAATAAATTGTGCAATATATTGTTTCTGTCCTTATATTCTCTATCGTCCTTTCAAGGATGAAATTTTTTATTTGAAGCTCCACCCTGGCTTTTGCCGGGGGCCGCAATATAGGCAGGCCATAAATGTGGCCAAATGTCTGAACGCGGTTTCTGGGACCTCTCCACGGCGATCCTCATCCGCATGGTGGCACTTTGTATCATCGGGTGTTTAGCGCTTGTGTGATGTCCTGGTGGGGTAGAAAGTCAGTCAGTCAGTTTCTGTCCTCCTTTAAATATTATTATAACCTTTTGTTGGCAGGTGTTATTTTTTGCAAGGAGTGGTTGGCCAAACAGTTGAGAACCCTGGGCTCTCATGTGGGAGGAATCCTTGGTAAGGTCATGGATCTATTTATGTCGTGGGGGAGGGGAAAATAAATCCTAACCTGCACAGTCCGTGGCGACTGTACTAGCCATGCTGCCTTAAATCCTCAGGCTCAAAGACCCTCCTGCCTATACCAGTGGTAAATAAAGGCAGTAACGGGCCATTTTTTGTTTTTGTTTTGTGTGCAGTTGTTCTTTGCATCCTAACCTGGGGATACAATATTTTTAAGAAATTGTTACAAATAGAGAAGACCTAGATACTTAAGGGAGAAGAAGATCAAAATAGCAAACAATTTAGATGAGGGATGGCAATTCCTGCCTTGGGCTCACAAATAGCCTAAAAAATCATTTGGCCTGGCCATTTCAGGACAACCACAAATAAATGTTAGAACAAATATAGTTGACTAATTTCTAAGTTAATAATTGTGCATGGCCTGTTGATGATGTTACAAATATCCAAAAAACATATGACATACCTCTTCTGACCCCCCCCCCCCACCCCCCCCCCCCCCCCCCCCCCCCCCCCCCCCCCCCCCCCCCCCCCCCCCCCCCCCCCCCCCCCCCCCCCCCTGAATTTAGAATGAGGAGTGATGGAAATAACAGAAAATAGTATATATAAAGTCAGGAGAAATTGAAGAATGCTTTCAATATTTACTCATATTCTTGACGCAAACTGGCAATCTCTGTTTGATGTTGCTGCACCATTTGATCAAACTCTGACCTGGAAATCATTTCCTGAATGAGAAGAATACAAAATTAAACTCTGTAGTTTGTTTCTGGGTAAGCGAACTTTGGTATATTATGTCAATCAACCAGGTCATTAAAAATCATTTTTATTGTTGTGAGCCAGATGCTTTTGGCATGTCTCAACAAGACCTAAAGTGACTTTTTTTTTTTTTAAATCCCAGAAGGCACATGGCATGAGATAACTCTCTTCACCTCCCTCAGTACAAAATACAGTAAGATGTAAAATCATGTTTACCTAGAAAGTGACGAGGGAGTCGCAATAGTATAAGTAGCTATAAGCTCGCATACAGGCAGAAGGTTTAGGGTTTCTAATCTGCATTAAGTTGGATTTTTTCCTCCAAATTTGCCAATAGCTCCGAGGGCAACCCTACCTAAAATGGATATCAGGTAATGTCCTGGGAAGTAAACGTGGCCGGGATAATGTTGACCACATCGCAATCGTGTGCTGATTTGTCTACACAAATATAAGTCTAGCATCTTATGCCCAATGCACCTCTGGTGTAAATAGAGTCCTTTACTTACTTTTAATTTTATCTTATTCTTCTTTATGTTCCCCGGCTGTAAAACTCTGGCGGAAAGTTCTGTTTGTTCGTCAACTTCTGGACTTTAATCTTGTTTCAAGACTTGTGTTTTGCGTGCATATGTGTTTTAAAGATGTAGCTTATTTGCATGAAGACTGTTGGTTCCTCGCCTCTTAGGCAGATGCACTCTGACTTCGAAGGAAACACTCCTAACTAGTTGCCTCTTATGACAGGTTTGTTACGGGGGCAGTGGGTCTATTCTTCCCAACCCCCTCCCACGCAAACACACACAATGGGGCCGTGGAACAAATACAGGGATACTTATAGCGATTTAGATAATCCTGTGTCTGAGCCTGCTAAGAATTTAATTTTTAAACTTACTAGGGATGCCAGGTCACCTAGACTTATATAGACACCAGAAAATTTGCCAAAATGATATTGATAACCTCATAAACTGAGTACTGATTCATATACAAATATGAGGGTAATATCACATTCTCTATATATCTCAAGATGTCTTCTTTTTATTCTCCCTGCCAATGGTTTTCAGATAAGAAAGCCGTATTCATCTATGAAGATTGTGTGTGTGACCCATGACCTCCACTGAACACAACTTAGTTTCAACAAGAATGCCAGCTGGTAAGAACTGGGAACCTCTCTACTGCATGCAGACAGCATGTCTGCACCATATGATCAGCATCATTTTGACATGAAAAAGAAGTCCATTAATTTACTACAGCATGTTCATAAACATATCAGACAGGATGGCATGTCTACCTCTTCAGCTTCTGAGTGCAAACTGCAAACTGAGATGGCTTCATCTACCATTTTTTTGTGACGATCTTCACCAGATGTTGTGGTCAAATCAATCCCTGTCAAGCCATAGACAAGGTCATTCACGCTGCAAGTGCCTGTTAGTAATTGCAAAAGAAGAAAGCAGTGAGTAAAGTATGAACTTCTTCTTTTGCTCTTAATCCCCCAATCCCCCAGCATAGGCCATCAGGCAACTCAGGCTAAGATGTCCTATCCTTTGCTATAATATCCAGCTCTACCCATGTCCTCAACATACTTTCTAATTTCACTCTTTAGTTCCCTTCTCCATTTTCAGCTTATTTGACTCCTTTGCCCCTGAGGATTCCAGAGTAAAGCCTTTTCTAGTTATACTGTTCTTAAATTTTCTCAACTTGTGTCCTCTCAATGGCAGCATTTTTTCCTCACCACTTGAGTCAAATGATTTTTTTTTTCTCCTCCCAAAGCTCCACATTTGTAACTCTATCATACCATTTAATTCCCTCTGTTCTGCACATGCAGCTATTAACGAGTGTTTGTAGTTTATTAGTTATTGTTTTAGTTGTCTCCGTGTTTCAGCACTCTACAGCAGTACTGATTTGACATAAGAGCTGTTAAAGTGAAATGAACCAACAACCTTCAGAGCCCAAGGCAAACAGCTTGACCACTTCACCACATAGACCTCCTTGACATAAGAATTTAACATTTTAAGTTAAACATTAGTCTTGATTTCCACCATCTTACACACATAGTGTTAGGAAAAGTAAAAAATACTGAGCTTAATCAAATGTAAATATTCTTCTTTGCGTTCACTGGCTGTAAACTCCCACGAAAAAGTTTTACTTATTTGTCAACTTCTAGACTTGAGTCTCGTTCCAGAACTTGAGTTTTGCATGCATATCCATTTGATAGATTTTGCTCATCTGTAAGCAGACTGTTGGTTCCTCGCCTCTCAGGCAGAGGCACTCTGACATCAAAGAAAACACCCCTAATTAGTCGACTTTTACAATGTTGTCACAACCCTGTAAGTACAGTCAGTGGCGGAATGGACCACACCGTAGGGTGTACAGTGTTTAGGTGACACCCCAGGGTTGACACAAAGGTCAGTGCCGTGACTAGCCAAGTCTGTGCTGTTTGCACGGTGAAACTATCGCTCAGTAGAAACCACTTGGCCACGACAAGAAAGAGTGAACTCTATTGCAGACAAGTTCGCAACACGATTACCCCTTTGGGGACTGAGCAGGTGAACGGGTGAAAAGACACGAGCTGAAAGAACACAGGGGATTGGGTGTACAGCGGTCAGACGGAGCAGACGTGTTAGCGAGACAGTGATAGTATATTAGAGTTAGGATATTTCTTTAGTGACTGCATAGATTATTTACAGTGTTCTGTTAGAATAGAATAGTCTTTTGTGCTGTGTATTTAACTGGTACAAGGTATTGTGTGGGTGTCTGGCGCACAGCTTCCTGTGTGGGTGTCTGGCACACAGTTTCCTGTGTGGGTGTCTGGCGCACAGTTTCCTGTGTGGGTGTCTGGCGCACAGTTTCCTGTGTGGGTGTCTGGCGCACAGTTCCCTGTGTGGGTGTCTGGCGCACAGTTTCCTGTGTGGGTGTCTGGCGCACAGTTTCCTGTGTGGGTGTCTGGCGCACAGTTTCCTGTGTGGGTGTCTGGCGCACAGTTTCCTGTGTGGGTGTCTGGCGCACAGTTTCCTGTGTGGGTGTCTGGCGCACAGTTTCCTGTGTGGGTGTCTGGTGCACAGTTCCCTGTGTGGGTGTCTGGCGCAGTTCCCTGTGTAGGTGTCAAGCGCACAGTTCCCTGTGTGGGTGTCTGGCACACAGTTCCCTGTGTGGGTGGCTGGCACACAGTTCCCTGTGTGAGTTCTGTTGACCCATTTTGGGGAAGCATGCTGTAAAAAGTGATTAATTAGGTGTTTGCTGAAATCTGATGTGCTCTGCTGAAACGTGCAGATATCACAGCTTCTCTGTAAACTACAACACAATATGCCAACTGAGAAGGAGGAAAAAAAACAAGAAAAAGAGGGAGAAGAAAGAGGAAAAATAAGAACAGGGTAAAGAAAAAGAAAAGACTTAATGAAACATAGAATTAAAAACATATTAGGAATCAACTGAAGCAATATGTGTTTGTGTGAGTGTGCAAAATGAGAATTACATTCAAATGCATACAAACCCACCACACTGTTTGTTGTGGTACCAAGGGTCGAGGTCGCTTCCCCCAAAACATCAGCAGAGGCAGACTCCCACAAGGCATCTGTACATCGCCCTGACTTCCCAGAATGTAGAGGGTAAAGTGAAAACAGCCGGGGCTCACTGCTGGCCATCAGTTTTACATGAGAAGATGTAGCTGTTACGGTAACTGGTACATCATCTTCTAATCCTGGAATGTCAATTGAGTCGGCAAGAGAGTCCCCGTCCCAGCTGGAGCCAAGGCTATGGATTGACAAACAAGACAAAATATGCAATCTCGCTGGAGCCAAGGCTATGGATTGACAAACAAGACAAAATATGCAATCTCCACAATGTAGGTTGGCTGCAAATGTAACAACAGCTAACTATCCGAATATTGTGTTGTGAGGCCCCATTCTGTCGCAGTTTGCAGGAGACCAAAACGAGCAAGCTATAGAGAGGAGATGTCTGAGAAAAAACTAGCCTTAGTATCAAGGAACTGATAGTTGCTTACATGACTCCCCAATCTCTTCCTTGGTGTGATTCTTGTACCACTGTCTGAAAGCTATGAGAACAGTCTCTTCCTAAACTGCTCATCATGGAATCGAACCCTGGTAAACTGAGGACTGATTTGTGAAACAATGTCACTAACCTCTGACTGACTGACTGACTTTCCACCCCACCAGGACATCACACAAGTGACAAACACCCGATGACACAAAGTGCCACCATGTGGATGAGGATCACCGTGGAGAGGTCCCAGAAACCGCGTTCAGACAATTGGCCATATTGATGGCCTGCCTATATTGCGGCCCCCGGCAAAAGCCAGAGTGGGGCTTCAAATAAAAAAAAAAATTACATCCTAAAAAGGACGTAAGGAATGATTAGGTAAATCTGTCACTAACCTCTAAAAAACACAGCCACACAAGAAAAACAGTTACATAACTATTTCATCATCTTGAATAATGCAAAGGTGTTTACGTACCTCTACAGATTCTATTTTTTTGTAATCTGTCACTGATGCAGCAAAGTTATGTATTAAAATAACTAGCCAGGGTTTTCATTATCTTCTTTTTCTTCTTTTGTCATCTCACTGATACCCGGTTGTAGCCCAGTATCATGGTTTTCTGTATTTGTCTTGTGCTTCTTGGGTGGCTTGAGAGTTGGATGTGTTCATCTTTTTGCAGGTTTCAGCTACACTATTTATCCTTCTCTTTCTTGGTTTTTCTCTCACCTTCCTCCCAAATGTTCTAGTGTCAAAAGTCTCATATGCAGGCTGGTCTGGCTGCATTCTCACTAGATTATGGAACCATTTCATTCTTTGACAATATAATCCAGACAGGGTCTTATTCCAACTTTCTCTCTAATGCTGGTATTCATAACCCTGTCTCATCTAGTGTTGTTAGTGGCTTTGAGTAGACAGCAAATTTCACATGTAAATATTTTCTGTTCTGTGTCCTATTCATTGTCCATGTTTGGCACTGATACCATAAAGTAGGGATAAAGATGCTATTAACCATTTGCTCTATTGCTGGAAGGAAGACATGTGGGTGTCTAAGCAGTGGGTCTGACTGGTAGGTGGCAGCATTTGCCTTCTGTACTCTGGCTTATATCTCTCTACTGAGCCTGCCATCCTCTGTAAATATGCTTCTTAAATATCTGAATTCTTGTACTTGCTTGATTTCACAGTATAACCAGCCAAATGTCAGATACAATCATGCCTTGCTTTGGTTAACAGACAATCTCACATTGAGGATTTTTAAAAATTGAGAGAGTTAACTTATACTGATTTGTCTGAGGTAGAATGAATTAGAAATGACATTGCCCTGTATGTTCCTAGCCCCATTTTGGTGGGTAAAAAAGATTAGACTCGCTGCCTCCTTTAAAAGCATCTTGAAAAAGTTGACTCATTAGAGATTTTTCCTCCGATATCAGCAAACATCTGCCTGAGAGATGTGGAACCAACAGTCTGCATATAAAAAAGAAAAAGCAAATTTGTCAAACAGATCTGCATGCAAAATTCAAATTCTGGAACAAGACTAATGTTCAGAAGTGGACATACAACCAGAACTTTCCGCCAAAGTTTACAGTCAGTGAATGCTAAGAAGGAGAGACAGATGATGTCCCAATGTAACAAATTAAACTCCCAGTGCAACTTGTAGCTCGTGGCTGATAGTTAGCTTTGCAAGTGAGGGTTTTGCAGAGCAACATGCAAAGTCTTGACTCATTTTTGCATGTTTGAAAAAATATTCTGCCCAGACTAATAAGAAAACATACCTAGAAAAAAATGTTTACAGTAAGTGTACCTTTGATGTAAAAACATGTTTTGATCCTCACTGCTGCTACAGAAATAATGCGCTGTTCTGAGAAATTCTAAGTTTAATCTATTCAAGGAGACTGAGGATCTCATGGTGTTATCTGAGTGCCCAATGAAGTGAATCATGTTAAAAAACAATTCCCCCCCCCCCCCCCCCCCCCCCACTCCCCATAAAAAAAAAATAATTAAAAACTAAATTAGGATGGAATACATATCAGAAGTAATTTTTACTTAAAATATCCTGTTCAACCCATAAGGTTATAATTGGGACAAATGGAGTCAGGCTTGAATACAATTATGAAGAAAATTTTGATGAGAAGAATACGTTAGAACAGGGAGCCATTTAACTAGTGGCCCGTGGGCTGGACCTGGTAAGTGGCCTGCGGATCATTGCCAGCTGTATTGTATTAATGATATTTCTATGACAGGACTAGAATCGCTGGTTCAGGATGGTCTCTATTTATAAAATGTTAGCCCCCCTGCCTAATCTTAGTTGATGCACTAGAAGAATATAATATACACACGAATCACCAGCTCTACTGACCTGAAGGAGCTGTTTCTTGAATGTAGGGCTGGTACATCAAGATCTTCATGTGCAGGAGGTAGATAAACTGTCTCTAAACTCTAAAATATTTTTGTAAAATATATAATTATTATTTTTTTTTAATTTTAATATAGACTGCTAACTATCTAGTGCATGTAAAGTGAAAAAAACTTTTCATTACTACCATTATCAAATGTTAACAACCAAGTGTATGTAAAGTGAAGAAAACTTTCCATTACTACCATTATCGAATGTTAACAACCAAGTGTATGTAAAGCAAAGAGAAACGTTTTCTTTACCACCTTTATAGAATGTTGGCAGGTTTTATGTGGCTAGACATTCACCTGCTTGTCTGAGCATCATGGGTTTGAAAAGGCATTAAATCTGATGCTTTTTTAAAAACTAATCTTAGCTCACAGGTCGACCTAGCCTAGAGTGGTCACCAGGTAATGCCCTGGGATGTTAAGGCAGACCACATCACCACCAGAGGGCCAATTGGTCTATAAAAAATATGACTCTGAAGCACCACTGGCATTAAAAGGGTCCTTTACTCTAATTTAATTAGAGCTCTTCTATAAAAGAAGTGAAGTAGAAGAAAGAAATACAAACTAGAACAATGGTTACCTACCATTTGTTTAATGTCTTTCAAATTGATGCTGGCAATGGCAATGATCTCTTCATACTGGCCCTGGTGCACTGCTATGTTCAAAGTCTCAGAGTCAGACAGAGGTTTCCTACCCAGCAGTGATACACCTTCTCTGATTTCATCTGGAAACTGGATTTCAAGTTCACAGAACCTGCAGACAAAGTAATATAACAAATTTCACTTACAGTACGACGCATTTACACATGGGGGTCTTTATGGTGAAGTACCGAAGTGCCTTGATTCGAAAAGATCAGGGTCTGGCTTCAGACCTTTATTATTTAGTTCTTAAGTGCAGATATTTGGGAGATTTTGAATAAGAGTGTGTGTGTGTGTGTGTGGGGTGGGGAGGGGGGGGGGTGGGGGTTGTTGTTACTGGAATTTCACAGTTGATTTGTGGAGATTTTTTTCTTCAGCAAATGAAGAGTCACTCTGTGGACAGAAATCGAGCGATGAAGTAAATAATTTTGAAATCAAATTGTTTGGTCTTTAAACACTTTTGAACTAGATTTTCCTTTTATTTTATTGACTGTTCCCTGGGATGCAAAATCCTTCTTGGCAAGATCAACAAATTAACACACTATCTGGCTAGATGTGCCGAGTAAGTGAAGATACACAAATATGCAGAAATGAAGCAATCAGCTGAGGATGACTTTGCTCATAGATCATAACAAAGATTCAAAACCAGTGTGAGTGACTGATATAACTCAGTAACTAAATCTTTGCAACAAGACTAAAACTGTTCAACCATCCAAGCATCAAAACAATATCATATACAAGACAATAAAGTATATCATCCACCACTGAGTACAACAACCAACAGAATATTGTGTTTGTAGATCAAGAAAAAGCTTTCGGTCAACTAGAGAGAAACAAACTGTGGTCTGTTCTTAAAAACTACAGGATACAAAAACAGTTACTAGAGAACATCATAGCCATGTACCACACAAGCTAAAGTGCAGAAAGAACACAAGAAGGCATATCAGACATGTTCACAGTCAACACAGGTGTGAGACAGGGATGTGCCCTCTTCCCCCTGTATTTAACATTTATTTAGACATAATATCCAAAGAAGCAAGTTCTAATATGGATGACATAGATCATTATAATCATGAGGAAGTTTACACATCAGATGAAATAATCCATTCACCCACATGATAAATGACTATACCTGCAGACGACCAGTGCTTGTTCTACAGTGAAGAAGATGGACTACAAGACCACATTAACAGGCTAAGCTCAGCATGCAGTAAATACAACATGAAGATCAATGTAAACAAAACCGAAACAATGCAAGTCAGTAGAACCCCTGGCCCACTACACATACAGCTAAAAGGTTCTGGCCTAAAACAAGTTAGGGAATTTACATATTTAGAAAGTGATCACAGAAGATGGCACAATTGACAGAGATATAGAAACTGGAAGTCTGAAAGCATGTGCACATATATACCAACTGTCACCATCGCTAAGGCATCCAAACATAACTGTAAGTGTAAATAAACAGATTATAGGCAGCATATTTATTCCAACATTGAGCTACCAGTGCCAAACATGGACACTATCTAAAGCCCATGTATGCAAAATGAGATGCCCAAGAAAAGCCATCAACTTAATCATCCGAGAATGAGTAAATATACTATCAGACAGATTGGGGTGAAATAAGCCTTGTACTAGATTGATCGAGAAACATCTACTTAGAATGCTGCAACATCCAATACCATCACAAGTAATATATCTCAGAAGATCAGCTACAAGATCAAGAGGATGGCTATGGAAAAATTGATCGAAAATATTAACCTTTTGGAGATGACTCAACCGATCTATCAACCACAGCAAAATAGCCAAAAAGACAAATGGGTCGATCTGTTGGCCCTATAATACAAACCTTGAGAATGGCTGGCAGGGTATCATCCCAGCCAATAGATTGCTTCTCGCATTTCTTGCACATGTAGGCTGTTCAATGATGGCTTTCATAAAAGTTTGATGTGTTCTGTATTTTTACACCGCTTTTTGGAGGGTTACCTGTGCCCAACAATGGTAAAAAGGACTTGCATCATAGCAACCAAAATGAAGTAGGAGATAGAAAAGGAGTAGAATCATGTGTCAAAGGTGTCTGGAGGGCCTACATGTACTTTGCTTTCCACAACACAAGTGCTAGAACTTTTTCAGGTTTCATTCATCAGAATATTTAGCCAAATTGTTCAATTTAGTCAAGTTTGTCCTAGGTAATGAACAAAATGCATGCATAAATATGCAAATTTGATAGCTATTTTTAACAAATGCTGAGATGTGAGTGTGATTCATTCAGATTATGTTAGCTCATTTAATTTCCTACATGAATATATACAGTTTTGAATATGTTAATTAAATGCTTAATTTGTAATATTTTTGTGTGCCTAAATTAACAGAATACCCTCCTGAAGGCTCCACCTTCTTGGCACTGAAATCAAAATAAGGCTCCGTCTCCAGAGGGTTAAACACACTTTGCGCCTTCACCTCATGACAATAGCCAGTACAACCAGTGTGCTCTGGATCACAAATTGTTCCTCCCTATGATGCTTACTTTCAGAAGTGGTTTACGATGATGATGATATAATATCAGCATTATGTGTTTCTATTAAACATTACCCCCCAAAAAATATCATAGAATAATGTGGATCAAGAATAAAACCTTTCTTCATTCTTCAAGATCTAAACATCAAGGAAAACTGGCTAATGAACAGCACCATGCTTCAGAAACTGAAATACTGTGACTAAAGAAGTTATTCACCAGTGGTGTGTTATTTGGGCACTTACGCTACCAAGCATTCTGTAAGAGGTGTCTGAGCACAAGGCTGGCTACAACATAAAAAGTTTCAGCCACTAAAATCTACCAAGCATAAAGAAGTTTTAAAAAGTATGGCAGCAGTTGTGGGAGGATCTATGCTCTATAGGAAGATAAGAAAAAAAGAAGAAGAAGCTAGAAGGAAGCAGCAGGAGGATGGGGAGAAAAAAAAGTGTAAATGTCACAGTGGCTTATAAATTTAGAGACAACAGCAGTAAAATGCATGTTTCTTGGGTCGGCCATCTAAAAAATGGACATAAATTTAGGGCAGAAAGACTGATTATAAAAATATATAGGGCAAAAGAACTACAAGGGACCACTTTCTAGTGTTCCACAATGGGAGTGGCTTTCTGCAAAGACCAGCTCCATGATGATGAAGATGAGGTATTTATATAAACTTCTCACCTCGTTTTTCGTGCTGACACTGATTCAGGTATGGAGTGAAATGCTGAAATTTAAATATATATTTATAATTTATCAGAAACCAAAGATGGTCATGTAGTTCACAAAACTAAGGTCAGGACCTACACAGATCAAGTTCTTGGAGCAGTTCTCCAAGGACTGACCTAACTACAGACTAGGCTCCCAGTCTGACTTAAGTTCCAAAGATCACCATGTCCCTCTACAGATGTGAAGATTACATACTGCTGTTGCCCACTTTGCTGGTTCCAGCACGTGGAGAAAGTTTCAATCTTTTGCAACACAGCTTCTGTGTAGTTAGTTTTTTTTTTTTTTTTTTTGGGGGGGGGGGGGGGGGGGGGGGGATTGGATAGGGAGGATAAGTCTCTTATGCCAGGATCACTGTGAGGAAAGTCTCTCTGCCAGCCCCACTGTGATGGATGAAGGCCTCTTCCTAGGAGCAAATTAAAAGTAAGTAAAGTAAAGATCCCTTTTCACGCCTCAGGCGCATCGGGTATATAGGAAGAGCATCCCATATTTTTACAGACCAATAGGCACTGGATGGGTAATGTGGTCAGCATTACGCCGGCAGTCTTCACTTCCCCTTAGCAGCCATCCTGGTACCCATTTTAGGCTGGGCCGACCTGCGATGTCCCATTCCACGATAAAAATCCATGCAGCCAGCAGTGGGTTTCGATTGTGGTACGTTGGATTATGAGACAAGCAGCTTTCAACTAGCCACCAACCAATAATTATTTATCAGGCAATCAATCAATCACAAATCAACCGGCCAACAAAGATACTAACCAACCAGTAAAAAAAAGGACTCTTTTTGATACCAGTGGTGCAGCAGGCACATATTTGCATAGACCAATCGGTACTTGATTGGTGATGTGGTTAACATCATGCCGGTCGCTCTTTTACTTCCCAGGTCATGACCTGTACCCACTTTAGGCTGGATTGACTTGGGAGCCAAGATAAATTATTAAAAACAATCTGATATGATACAGATTCAAACCCAAGACCTTTGGACTGGCAGGCAAGCATCTGGCCACTACACTAATGAAACCACCAAACAACCACATCTCTGCACTATATATTGTCTAATGATGCTGCTTCCTCTTTGTGGGCAATGCTTGTTTGGTGGTTCTCACACATGTGCAGTCTTACTTCAGTCTGTTCAAAACAAATCATTAAAACAACTGTACTATTTTCTTGTATGACATACTAACATCAAACACACAACACCAACAATGGTGACAGATGCATTTAATATTTCTTTAAAAAATAATTTGCAGAAATAAAATAAACATCTGATGAACATTTGAAATGAATGAAAACTAAAAGATGTGCCTTTGACCTACCACTGTGTTGTGATCTATCCTTTGATTTTCGGGCTGCCTGGGGTCTGTCAAGTCCTTGATTTATTTCACTAGTCTGAAACAAAACGGATGCAACTTTAACAGTTTTTGTTATCTAGCATTTTCTGTCATTACATGGTGATCTTAGGAAATTAAAAGATTTTAAAAAGTCTTAATCATTGTGTAAAACATAGATTATATAGCTACCATTACACTGTAACAATAATAGTACCTTTTGACAACAGAGACATTTATTTGACATGAGTTTCTTAATTGTAAAACAAGGTGATGGCATGCAAGCAAAGGTCACACACCATGCTGACAGTTTCATTGTGTAATCTAAGGGGAGACGTAGTGCCAATTATGAATTTATCCTCGTTCAGTAAAAACACTAATTTTGCATTTTCTGTGAGGGCTCTGGAGTAAACAAACCAAAAACCAAAAAAACTCACTGCCGACAAGCATGCCATAAAGGCCGAATAATTACGGCTGTTTCCTTGCAAGTCAGAGTGCATTTACCCATCAGGAGAGGAACCAGCAGGCTGCATACAAATAAGCCAGGTCAATAAAATGGATGTAAACACAAAACTCAAGTTCTGGAACAAGACTGCGGTCCAGACATGGATGAACAACCAAAAGTTACCACCGGAGTTTACAGCCGGTGAACTCTAAGACAGTGCAGAGATGTTTAATGTTTTATGATTTATCTTGACATGTGGACGCAAACACATAGACACAGGTATATATATATGTTTACAAACAGACAGCCACACGCACACACATGCACCCCTACTCACCGCCCATGCGCGCACAATGCGCGCACGCATGCACACACACATATTTTTATATGAACACATAAAACAAATCTTTATTAGATGGTTTAAGATGTCATAGGAATCCAACTATTGCCTTTCCTGGCAGACGTGACTGTGCTTACCTGCTGTCATGTGTCTTAAACAGATTATATGTGTGTATTAGTACATTTATTTTATTTATTCACAAGTTAACACATCACTGTTATCTGTGTGCAATTACAAGGTAGCTAATATTACATCTGAAGATGATATGCAGCAACACCACTCCTCTACTTCTTGAATCAAACCCACTGTCTAATCGAAATGTCATTCGCTTTTAGGAAAAACAAAAGATTTTTGGAATGTTAATTAATTATATTTGTTTTCTGACATTCAGTCAAAAAGAAATCATTGTTCTGTTAACCATTCACCTTTTAATGGTTCAAGATGACATTCTCATCGTGTTGACCTTATCACCCACACGGTGCAGACACCATGATGTTGACCTTATCACCCACACGGTGCAGACACCATGATGTTGACCTTATCACCCACACAGTGCAGACACCATGTTGTTGACCTTATCACCCACATGGTGCAGACACCATGATGTTGACCTTATCACCCACACAGTGCAGACACCGTGTTGTTGACCTTATCACCCACACAGTGCAGACACCCTGATGTTGACCTTATCACCCACACAGTGCAGACACCCTGATGTTGACCGTATCACCCACACAGTGCAGACACCGTGTTGTTGACCATATCACCAACACAGTGCAGACACCCTGATGTTGACCGTATCACCCACACAGTGCAGACACCATGTTGTTGACCGTATCACCCACACAGTGCAGACACCGTGTTGTTGACCGTATCACCCACACAGTGCAGACACCATGTTGTTGACCGTATCACCCACACAGTGCAGACACCATGTTGTTGACCTTATCACACACACAGTGCAGACACCCTGATGTTGACCGTATCACCAAAACAGTACAGACACCGTGTTGTTGACCTTATCACCCACACAGTGCAGACACCCTGATGTTGACCTTATCACCCACACAGTGCAGACACCCTGATGTTGACCGTATCACCCACACAGTGCAGACACAGTGTTGTTGACCATATCACCAACACAGTGCAGACACCCTGATGTTGACCGTATCACCCACACAGTGCAGACACCATGTTGTTGACTGTATCACCCACACAGTGCAGACACCGCGTTGTTGACCGTATCACCCACACAGTGCAGACACCCTGATGTTGACCGTATCACCAAAACAGTACAGACACTGTGTTGTTGACCTTATCACCCACACAGTGCAGACACCCTGATGTTGACCTTATCACCCACACAGTGCAGACACCCTGATGTTGACCGTATCACCCACACAGTGCAGACACTGTGTTGTTGACCATATCACCAACACAGTGCAGACACCCTGATGTTGACCGTATCACCCACACAGTGCAGACACCATGTTGTTGACCGTATCACCCACACAGTGCAGACACCATGTTGTTGACCGTATCACCCACACAGTGCAGACACCATGTTGTTGACCTTATCACCCACACAGTGCAGACACCCTGTTGTTGACCTTATCACACACACAGTGCAGACACCGTTATGTTGACCTTATCACCCACACAGTGCAGACACCGTTATGTTGACCTTATCACCCACACAGTGCAGACACCCTGATGTTGACCTTATCACCCACACAGTGCAGACACCCTGATGTTGACCTTATCACCCACACAGGTCAGACACTCTGATGTTGACCTTATCACCCACACAGTGCAGACACCATGATGTTGACCTTATCACCCACACGGTGCAGACACCATGTTGTTGAGCTTATCACCCACACAGTGCAGACACCATGTTGTTGACCTTATCACCCACACAGTGCAGACACCCTGATGTTGACCTTATCACCCACACAGTGCAGACACCCTGATGTTGACCTTATCACCCACACAGTGCAGACACCGTTATGTTGACCTTATCACCCACAGGGTGCAGTGGCCTGTAAAAATTACAGGTCCAGCTCTACATGCCAAATGAACTTAGTGCATAGAAAATGGTCCTTTATAATTCCTCTTTTTTTAAATTTTACTTACAGCTGACATTCAAATTTGATGAACAGCAAGAAGAAAAAGAAGAAGAAAGAAGAAAATGAAGAAGTAGGAGTAGAATCAGGAAGAGGTAATATTTGAAGGAGGCACCAGGGCATACCTTGGTGTTGTGTGCTAAACTCACTTTGCTGTTCAATTGTACCAGGGGCCAGAGGTGCTAGATGATGATGATGAGGATGGCAGAGGTGAGTGCAAAAGGTCATACGGCTCTAAAATGTGAGACGAGTGTTTCTCGAGTTTAGTGAGAGACAGCCCCTTCACAGGTTTTGCAAGTCCCAGGCGTGACTGGCCGCTGAGCTGAAAGTTAGCCTGTGTCCAGTTTAATCTATACTTGCCTAAGACGCTCAGAGGACAACATGAAGGTTCAACAGGACTGACCCATATCAGCACCCCATAAAAGGAGAAGATAGAAAACCAAAAAGGACTCAGAAAGGACAACACCACAGACAATTATGGGCAATATGCCACAAATACTTTTTATTTTTTTTTCTTAAAGAATGAACGAAAAAATGCTTACCTCATCATCTGGCTGGTCTAGTACTGGGGTCTTGAACACATTTCCATTACATGTCAAGGAACATTTGAGGTCAGACTGCTGTAATCCCTCAGGACAGAAGATACGAACAAACAAGGAAAGATCAAACTCAGGTTCATGCGTCCAGGTCTCATTGTCTCGCATGGCTGGCCTAACAACTGTTAGTTTAGTACTAGGTTCTTCACAATGGATTTTCTGTTCAAATCAAAGAAGATAAAATTTATGAAGAAACAAAGTCAACACCAATCCCAGAAGTTTCAGACTTCACACACAGAAGTGACAGATTCATTCTGAAGGAACATATGATCATTCTAACCAACACATATCATCATCATCATCATCACCTCCTGCCCTGTCCTGTAACGTAGGCGCTCATGTTTCTCCATAGATCTCGGGTTTGGTATTTTTAATCAATCCCTTGATGATATTTCCCCATGCCATCACTTCAGGCCATCAAGCATCATCTCTCATGGTCTGTAAACCAAAGAATTCAATAGACTTTCTTGTGTAGTTTGATGACTGTGAAAACTGTATATGTATATTTTAACCATTTAACTTTATTAGTAAATTAAAGTTCCAAAGAGACAAACTCTGCACCACATTCTCGCATTTTAAACATTATAGGAAGTATAAAGAGATCTTGACTGCATGACCTGAAACAGGAAATTACAGATGGATTGGGGCCACACCACATAATTTATCCAAAGAAACAGCAACCAACACCAGGAGAAAGTCGAACCACAACAGGAGCTAGTGAGAAAATACTCAGCAAAATATACAAAAAGAGCATACAGCCATACTTGACATACAGGAAATGGAGTAAGCAGGGAGGACACAAGCACTGGTAGAAAGCAGATACAAAGTTGCATCAGTACAGTTCCTCAATTTGCCAAATCACCCCACATAGAAAATTTATTTCAGCTCAACCACTGAAGAAGAAGAATACCCAAAGACAGCAGCCAACTTTCAGTGTAGAGAAAGCATTTAAAAAAAATTTAAGTTGTAAGTGATTTATGATTTTACCTCACAAATTAATAAGACAACATGCCAAAATCAAACTAACTTTTTCTGAAGACAGAATAGTTGGCTCTTGTACAGTTGCAGCAGGGACTGGCCAATCTGATACCTCTAACTTTTCAACATTATTTAAATGGTCTGGCTCTTGTACAGTTGCAGCAGGGACTGGCCAATCTGATACCTCTAACTTTTCAACATTATTTAAATGGTCTGGCTCTTCACTTTTCACTGACTCAAGATCTGTGGTTGAGAAGGAAAAATATGAGGACATTTAGTCAGAAGAAATAGCAAAGGTTGTGTAATTTGGTTTGATAAGATATCGGAATGTGGCTTTATAGGAGATCGTTATTATTATAATTGTGGCGACAGATATGACTATTCTTCTTTAACCTTCTCACCCCAAGAAGCACACAATTCAGAGCTCTGGTTTGTGCCACAGCCCTGTAAATGTACCTTTACTGGCTGACTGTTTACAAACAACCACACTAACACAACTGCTGGCGTTTTTTTCCACAGGTAACTTTTCAGAATAACCAGAAACAACCACAGTTGTTACAAAAAAAAAAGCATTTAGGTCAGGGTTTCATTGTGGAAAATGGTTTTTTTTACAAAAACAAAGACACCAGAATTTCCCGCTAGCTAGTGATAACTTGCAGCTCAGTCACAGGGTAAAAAATGGGTCATGCTAAACATTTATTTAAAGCTCAGAGAGAAGTAACTCAGTCAATTCTCTGCTGCATTCATGTTTACTGATTACTCCTGATATTTTAAATGCAATTAAATATGGTTTGGTCCAGCAGAAATGGAATAGGTATTTATATTTTGTGTGACCTGTGTGAAATTTGTTTACTTTTTTAAAGGAATATTTCTTTTGGTGAAAACCATAAATTCCCAAAATACAGGTCATTGACATTTTCTTTCTAGGTCACCAAGGCAAAATCCATGCTGTGGGATTCTGGGGGGGAAAATTCAAGCGAGGCAAAAAAATAGGAGATAAATCTGAACAACTGTTTATGTCAACAGTTATAAGAAAAAGAAAATAACAATATACTGTGCCCATGATGAAAAGAAGTGGACACATAATCACTAAAATGGTACTGAAAAGGGAAATATATGTAATGAGGATATGAGGAACATCCAAGAGAAACCCTCTGATGAATGTTGTTGAGAGAAACATCCAAGAGAAAGCCTCTGATGAATGTTGTTGAGAGAAACATCCAAGAGAAAACTCTTAGATGAATGTTGTTGAGAGAAACATCCAAGAGAAACCCTCTGATGAATGTTGTTGAGAGAAACATCCAAGAGAAACCCTTGGATGAATGTTGTTGAGAGAAACATCCAAGAGAAACCCTCTGATGAATGTTGTTGAGAGAAACATCCAAGAAAAACTCTTAGATGAATGTTGTTGAGAGAAACATCCAAGAGAAACCCTTAGATAAATGTTGTTGAGAGAAACATTAAAAGAGAAACCCTTGGATGAATGTTGTTGAGAGAAACATCCAAGAGAAACCCTTAGATGAATGTTGTTGAGAGAAACATCCAAGAGAAACCCTTAGATAAATGTTGTTGAGAGAAACATCCAAGAAAAACTCTTAGATGAATGTTGTTGAGAGAAACATCCAAGAAAAACCCTTAGATAAATGTTGTTGAGAGAAACATTACAAGAGAAACCCTTAGATAAATGTTGTTGAGAGAAACATCCAAGAGAAACCCTTAGATAAATGTTGTTGAGAGAAACATCCAAGAGAAACCCTTAGATAAATGTTGTTGAGAGAAACATCCAAGAGAAACCCTTTGATGAATGTTGTTGAGAGAAACATCCAAGAGAAACCCTTAGATGAATGTTGTTGAGAGAAACATCCAAGAGAAACTCTTAGATGAATGTTGTTGAGAGAAACATCCAAGAGAAACCCTTAGATGAATGTTGTTGAGAGAAACATCCATGAGAAACCCTTCGATGAATGTTGCTGAGAAAAACATCCAAGAGAAACCCTTCAATGAATGTTGCTAAGAGAAAACTAGAGTTCCTGGACTAGATTCCATCCATGATACTCACAAAATTATACAGGATACAAGTGAATATAGGACCACACTGAAATCCCTTTGGGACTTATACAACAGGATAAAGAAGGGTAAAAGAGCTTGTTGTTTCCCCCATCACAAGTGAATGATGACCACTCTTTCTTTCATCCGTCAAAAAACTACAGCTGATATTCTGTGAGTCCAGAGATGACTTATAAGCCCAATACAGGCCAGGAAGGATCTAGGGCAATGGGGGCAGCGAACAATGTAGTGACTTGTACGATGAATTGGTTTAAAGTTAGAAGAAGTTGCGAAATGTTGTCAACCTAACTCTCTTGCCTTTGTCTGTCTGCCCAGGAGCGAGATGACACAAGGTACACAGTGGATTTAGATGATACATTTTATAATCTAAAAAAAATCAGATGATATGACTGAGGTAATCTCCAGTGTTACCTTTCTTCTTGTCCTCTTCGCTATTCTGACCTTGTGTGGAAACTTGATCGCCACTGACTTCAACGTCTTCTTCTAAAACAGTATCTTCTTCATTGGAATTTGATATGTTTAGAGCATAAGCCTTTGGAAAATAAAGAAGAATATGTTTAAATATACAGTCATACTTTGGAATTTGAACATAATCTGTTCCTAGGCGATGATTAAATTCCAAATCATCAGAGTTTCAAGGCAATTTTTTTCCACTATAAAATAGTGGAAATCAGATTAATCTTTTCCAGAGTCCTGTAAACTCAAATTTTAACATTTACTTTCCTAAATACAGTAAACAGAGTCACATACAATGATCATATTTGAATAAAAACGTACAATAAATAAAATCATATAAAAACATTGTATTCACTGTATTTGGATAAAAACTGTGACATAGCTGACATAGTTAGCAAATTCGACCCTAGAAAGGCACTGTTTGGAAGTTTACCTTGCTTCTTCAATGCATACTTTCTCTTTCACATGCCAGTCATTCCTGTGAGCAGGATTACAATCTAGAGATGGGGCATGCTAGTGGGCAGTTCCATATCACTGACAGGTCAAGGGCCCTTTTCATGCCACTGATGTACAGGACATTGATGCTAAACTCAAACTTCTTTGAAAAACCACTGCCTGGCAGTAGATGGATGGTTTGGTCACGCCGGCCACCTTTACTTCCCAAAAAATTTTAAAAAACATAACAAGGTACTGATTAGCAACTCAGACCTTAGGACAAGCAGGAACACTCCTTTCAAAAACTAATTTGTCAAGTAAAAAAGTAAAGGACCCTTTTCACTCAGGTGGCACATCAACCATATGATGTCAGACTCATATTTGTAAAATACCAATCAGCATTTTGTGGATGATGTTATCAACATCACACTGACCACCTTTACTTCCCATGATGTTACTTTTGAGTCAACCTGGGAACCAAGGTCAATTTTGAAAAACATCAGATGCAACGCAGATTCCGACCCAAATTCTTTTGGATCTAAGGCTGGCATCTAGACACTACTCCACACCTTCTATGAAAACTGTCAGCCAACCTGTCAAACCATAAAATACAAACCTGGACATGCTCAAGACCTAACTTAGCTTTCTCTTTGATTGTTTCGATGTGAAACTTCCAACGGCGACCATGACCTTTGACAGTTGATACTTTTGCAAAAAGCCTTTCCCAGTTAAGGATACGCTTTTCCCTGGCCATTCTCTTTGACTGAAATAGATCAAAATTACGAAATTAATTCATTTAAGTACAAATAGCAGTTATTTCACAAACCAATAAATTCTTGTTATTTCTGAACTAGATATAGATTATATAACTGTCTGCATCTAGATATAGATTATATAACTGTCTGCATCTAGATATAGAAAATATAACTGTCTGCATCTGAATATTCCTCTTGATGTGCCAGAAACAGTTGAACAACTACTGGAGACATGTATAAATAAAATTACTGTGGAAACTGATGAACATTAAAAAGATGAATTAAATCAAAGTGAAGAAATCAGAGAAATGTCTGGACAACCACTGGTGTCAACAGCTATAAGTAACTTTTACGCAGTTTTCTTTTTCCTGGCGGTATACAGTACTGGCACCTTTTTTTTTTTTCAGTACATTTTTTCAGCTTTACTGTTTACTGTAGTATACTTTTTATGGTTAGAATTGACACTTTTTTTTTTTTTTTAAAGATTTTGTAGTAAATACCAATACTTTTTTTGTTCTCGAAAAAAACCTTACTTTTATGTAATTTTAATGCAACCTTGTCATTTGTCTATGTATCGTTTTAAGCTGACAAAAGCTTTTTAGCCAGCACATTCCTTCTGCCACTCATGACTTTTGTGTGTGTGTGTGTTTGTTTGGGAGGTTTACTAGTTCTTCTCCTTCAGCATTCCTAGCCCCTAAAGTTCATTGCTGCAGATTTTCATTTCTCTGGGTGGCCCTCTCTTTCCAGTTGGTGAAAGCAAATGTTTGTAGGTATGTCTGGATTTTATCTCTCCGTAATCTTTTTGGTCTGCCTCAGTCCCCTTATGTATACAAATGTATACCTCTCTTACATCTGACATTCTCTCAGTATGCCCCAGCCATTTCAGTCAGCCCTCATCTTCTTCTTCTTCTTCGCATTCACCAGCTGTAAATTCTGGCAGAAAGTTCTGGTTGTTCATTCACTTCTGGACTGTAGTCCTGTTCCAGAACCTGAGTGTTGAGTGTGCATCCATTTTACAGATCTGACTCATTTGTAAGCAGACTGCTGGTTTCTTGCCTCTCAGGCAGATGCACTCTGACTTCAAAGAAAGCCACCAATAAGTCAACTCTTACGACAAGCTTTTAGGTAGGCATTGGGTCTATTCTTGTTTTTCCCCCTATAATAGGGCCCCTAAACCCACACAGAGAAATTAGCCCTCATGATGCCGGAGATCAATGGTGATTTCAACAGACTATAATTGCTTCTCACTCTCCATTAACCACTGTTTACTTTTCTGATGGGTCCAAAGATTCATAGTAAGAATATGTTTTCAAAAAATGGTTATAAGTCTTCATCTTTTTTAGTTGTGCTCAAAGATTTAAAGACATTTATAAAACAACAGGTCTTATCAATGTTTTAAAAATTTTGATCTTGGTTTTGCAAGAAACAGACACTGACTTTAGCATACGATGAAGGGCATAATGTATTTTATTTTCAGATTGTATTCTATATTGTATTTTTTCTCTCAGCATGTTGGAGCAGTTGAAGTTTGCACCCAAGTACTTTTTTCAGCTTGTTTGATTTTCATATTATCAACCATGTATATGGCTCGAGTTTATATTCTTTTCCTGTCTTGTTATTATCACATATTCTGTCTTATCTTGATTGATAACTAGTTCCATTCTGTGAGCTGCTTCTTTTAAGAGAGCTTGTGTTTTTACCCTCTCTAGTTCATTTTCTCCAGCAATATCAATATCATCTGCATAATCAAGTATTCTTACAGTTTCTCTTATTGTACACTCTTGTTTCAATTTGCCTACAATTTTCTCCAGGGCCAAGTTGAAAAGAAGTGGGGAGAGAGAATCACCAGATGTTATTTGAAAAGGGTCTGACTTTTTGCCTTTATATTTCACTATATTATAAGTGTCTTCAATACATAGTCTGGTCATGGTAATTAACATTTTTGGTATTCCAAAGTTCTTCATAGCATTCCATAAACTGTTTCTATGTACACTTTCATATGCCTTTTAAAATCTAAAAAAAAAAAAGTTATTAAAAAAATATAAACATTATGTATATATGTTCGATATTCCCAATTTTGCAGTAAAATGAATATCTGATCTACTGTTGATCTATTCTGTTGGAAACCTGCTTGGTAATCACCCAATGGATCTTCCACGTACAGTTTCAGCCTGTTTAGCAATAGTATCTTAAAGTTTGTAGATAATAGTAATTTTTCTCTATAATTTTCACATTTATGCTTGTCTTATTGGTATTAATAATGACTCTTTACACTCATGGGGTGATTTCTCTGTCTTCCAAACTAGTTTTATTAATTCATATATCTTTAAATTTAATGCATCACCACTTTCGTTTGTAAATGTTTAGCAGAAATTCCATCAGCAACAGCTGCTTTAATGTTTTTGAGCAGTGTTATGACATACAGTACTTCTTCACAATCAGGCTCTTCAATATTTGGTTTACATGTTTGTATCTTTTCCTGTGGATAAGTATACAGTGGAGTTTCACAATTTAACAATTCAGCAAAGTATTCCTTCCATCTGCTACATATTTCCTCATTATTATTTCTCATGTTGCTGTTGTGATCTTTGAAACCATATATGCTGTGTTGATAACTTAGTTCTACTTTCAATTTTGGTGGACTTCTTATATTTGCACAACTTTACTGTGGTTCATTTTTAGCTTGTAGCATTAAGTTTTACTTGGAGAAAGCTCTTAGTTTAATCTGAACAAAGATTGCAGCATGGCTCAATAAACAAGACCTACAGCTTGGCTCTCTTCTGCTCATCTTTGTGTTCACCAGTTGTACACTGTTGACAGAAAGTTCTGGTTGTTTGTCCACTCTTGCCCTTTGGTCTTGATCCACAGCTTGAGATTTTGCATGCTCATGCATTTTACAGATCTGGCTTATTTGTATGCAGACTGTTGGTTCAATGCCTCTCAGGCAGATAAACTCCGACCTTGAAGTAAACATCCCTAATTCCTTGCCTCCTATGACATGCTTATTAGGGAGGCAATGGATTCATTCTCTGTTTTCCAAAATGGAGCCTCGGAACCCATACAGGGAACAGCTTAGCCATAAGGCAACCAAACATTTTGTTTGACTGAGGGCAACAGTTTTGCTGAGATGAAGTCTACATTTTCTTATTTGACAGAAGTTCACTTTTTATGCTTGTATGAATAAGAAACGTACTTGCTCATCCAACAGCTGTAAACGTCTAATAGCAATGTTCAATTGTTTCTGTTTGCTGTCAAGGCATTCATAGAGTTTTCTCAAAGCAGTCTTGTTCTCCCCCCATGAAGCTGAGTAGACATGAACCAATCTGACTAGCTCTCCAACAGGCACTCCCAGGTCACCGATGCTGCAATGCAAGAAATGTAGAATTGTCATAACTATGGTGCAAATATCCAGGTGATAAAGATAGCACCCAAAACCAAAAAAATGGCTAAATGTCAGCCTTTGTTCAAGGTCTGTGGTAACACTGATGGATGTGCAATCAGTACATGAAGCACTTTAGTCTGGAAAACTACTTCAACACATTTTTAGTATCGTGGCACCAGGTTCCAACATCACAGAAATCAGCCAGCAGTGTCTTCAACCATTCATTAACGCCTGTCAGCAGTGTCTTCAACCATTGATTAACGCCTGTCAGCAGTGTCTTCAACCATTGATTAATGCCTGTCAGCAGTGTCTTCAACCATTGATTAACGCCTGTCAGCAGTGTCTTCAACCATTCATTAACGCCTGTCAGCAGTGTCTTCAACCATTGATTAACGCCTGTCAGCAGTGTCTTCAACCATTGATTAACGCCTGTCAGCAGTGTCTTCAACCATTGATTAACGCCTGTCAGCAGTGTCTTCAACCATTGATTAACGCCTGTCAGCAGTGTCTTCAACCATTCATTAACGCCTGTCAGCAGTGTCTTCAACCATTGATTAACGCCTGTCAGCAGTGTCTTCAACCATTGATTAACGCCTGTCAGCAGTGTCTTCAACCATTCATTAACGCCTGTCAGCAGTTCATCATCAGTTTCAAACCACTTTGATGCCAGCCACTTCTTTAGATGCATGTAAAGGTGGTAATCATTTGGCGCCAGATTAGAGCTGAAGGGTGGGTGGTCAACAATTTCCCAGTGAAATGTTTGCAACAACTGAACAGTTCCATCTGCAGCATGAGGTTGAGCATTATCGTGCAAAAGTACAATTCCATAGGACAGCAAACCACGTCTTTTGTTTTGGATGGCACACAATTTTGTTTGGATCCAAGATTTCTTGTCACAGTGTCATAAATTGGATAACACGAAACTTCAAAAAATTTGACAGACAACGCAGAAATTGTGAAATGACAATTTTCCTGAATTCTTTGGTTAATCTCTTCGACCAAATCATATGTCACCACACTTGGCCAACCGCTACTATCTGCACCATGGTTATTTGTTCACCCTTCTTTAAACATTCAACACCATTTCCTAACCATACTATCAGTCAAAACATCTGGCCCATAAACCTCAATGAGTTGCCTGGGCATTTATGCAGCACTGTTGTTTTTTTGCTAACAAATAAAAAAAAAAATGAATCACAGCCCGAACCTCGCAGCTGGTGGGTGTTATTATTTTTGCACTCATTATAAACCACTCAAAGACAGCATCAAACAAGATTTTGACTGTGAAAAGAATAGCACACAGCTAAGGAACCACATAAACATACTGCATATGCACATTTAAGTTTTCTATTGGTCTTTGTTGCTGCAGAATTTACTTAAAAAACGTGCCTCATGTTACATACAGAAAAATACCACTGATCACAAATTTATTCAGTTATGCTTATCATAGAAAGTACTAAGTAGAAAAACTGACATATTGATTGTATTCCTAAGTTAGTCACGGGACTATCCTCGCGTCTTTTTGTGTGTAAACAATAAATGAGCTACTATTTGCAGAAGATCAGTGCCTGTCCTACAATGAGGGTAGTAGAGTGCAAGACCATTTAAACAAGCTAAGTTCAACATGCAGAAGATATAACTAAATACTACTAAAACTGAAGTCATGTGGGTCAGCATAATTCCTAGTCTGCTACGTATCGTGTTGAATGATGGCACTTGTCTGAAGCAAGTTAAAGAATATAAATATCTAGGAAGTATATTCTTGGAGGATGGAAGAATAGATTGGGAAATAGAAACAAGTTGCCAAAGAGCCAGTACACTTATATACCAACTGACACCATTATTAAGACATTCAAACATAAGTATGAGCCCCAAGAAACAGATTATAAACAGCATATTCATATCAACACTGTGCTACCAGTGCCAGACATGGACATTATCAAAGGCTAACCTGAGTAAAATTCTTCTCTTCCACCTTGTACCTCATCAAAGTGTCGGGGGGAGATGTAATATTCGTTGATGAGCTCTGTCAAGAGCACTATTAAGACTGATGTTCATTTCTGTAAGGCTGTTCTTAATGCCATCACTCCATCTTTTCTGAGGTCTTCCACTTGCTCTATACCGGTTGTAACGTTTTAGTGTGGCTCGCTGTGGCAGATAGTACCAGGGCATTCTTGTTAGGTGTCCAAACCATTTCATTTGTTGTTCTTTGATGACCTGTAAGACTGGCGTTATTCCTAGCATTCGTCTGATTTCATGATTTTGTATTCTGTCTTTCCTTGAAACTCCTGCAGCTCTTCTAAGGCATTTCATCTCTGTTGTCACAATTTTACGTTCATTGGAAGATGTAAGTGTCCACGTTTGGCACTGATAGCATAGTGTTGGCCAAAAAATAGTTCTAATAAGATTCACTTTAGTACTCCGAGGTATCTGTTTGTGTGTCAAAAGGGGAGATAGTTAACCCATTACTTGATTAGCTTTGGCACATCTGGAGCTAATTTCTCTGTCCAGTTTTCCGTCTGATGTAAAAATTGCTCTCAAATACTTAAATTCCTCTGTTTGTCTCAGGGTGTTGTTTTTTAATTTAATTTTCAAATTGTCTTTATGTCTTCCTATCATCATTGTCTCTGTCTTCGTAGTGTTTATTTCATATTATATTCCTCCCCTTTGTTACTAATTTGATTTAGGTGGTTCTGTAGGCATTCTGTATTTTCTGCTATGAGTACCTGGTCGTCAGCGAAAAGTAATTCTGTTATATCTTCTTCCTGGTTAAAGTTTGTTTCGCTACATATGGCGTCCATGTATGTTATAAAAAGAAGCGGTGATAGTACACAGCCCTGACGCACACCAGAGTTCACTATAAAAGTTCTTGACAACCCTGCCTTCGATCTTATGCAGCATTCACTACATGTGTACAGGCTTTTGCAAATATTAATGAGATGATTGCTGATTCCTTTTTTCCCCATACATTCCCACAACATATTCCTGTCGACTCTATCGAAGGCTTTTTCTTGGTCTATGAATGTCAACAAACATGTCTTATCATGTTCTATTGCTCTCTCTGATAGTTGTCTCAATGTATAAATGGAGTAAAATTCACACCTGTAAAATGGGATGTCAGAGAAAAGCCACTAACTTAACCATCTGAGACAAAGTTAGAAAAGATATTAGTATAGAGACTGTAGGAACAAAACCGTGCAGCAAATTTACCGAGAAACAGAAGATCAAATGGTTTGGCCATTTAGTAAGAATGCAGCCAGAAATACCAAGGCAGGTGCTACACATGAAAAGATCGAAAGTGAAAGCAAGAGGCGGCCCTAAGAGAACATGGACTGATAACAATAAAGAGCTTCTACATCAACAGGAAATGACAACAGCCATTGCTGCCCATCAAGCAATGAATCGTGAACTGTTCCTCCCTACAATGCTTAACAGCAGAAGTGGAAACTGATGGTGATGATGACACAGTGTTTTTTAATCTTAAAAATTAAATTGCATCTCTTGCTATAAGCATTATGTCATCAGGACAATGCAGATTATTCATTTGGGGGGTGTGGGGGGGGGGGGGGAGGGGGCGGGGCATCCAACTGTCACTATTGCTTTAATACAACCTATAACTATCTCGCTACACAAAGAATTGCTGTCTGGCAAGAAGTCACATCTCTGCCTGGCACCTTTGTATAATAAGTGCATCAATCTGACTTGATACTCAGAGACACTGCACACTACAAAAATGTCTGCTTCATAACAATAATTTGGGAATGGAACATTTTCAAACAACCCAATGGGATTGGGTCTGACCCTGCACTAAGGCACATCTTTTTTTTTTTAAATTGATCTGAGCAGAAAAATAGGTACAAAATAATGTCCACGGAAGTAAATGATGCACATGACAAGAGAAATTATAGAAGAGCTGTTCAATATCGCATACACACCTTCTGAAAAGTTTGCCACTGATCAGGGCCAGATGAATCAGCAATGGTGATGGTAAATCATGTTTCAGCATTTCATCTTTGAAATCCAGCACCTGTGTTTGTAATAAGTCACTTTTATTGAATATAAGAAAATTATGAAATGTTTTTCTGCAAAGACAACAAATGGCAGCCTTGTTCTAATAGGAATTTACTTCATTCAGAAATAAATGCTGGTAAATAAACTGATAGACAAGTGATTAGTATAGTCGCCATTCATCTCCTTGATGGTTTTCCCCCTTGAGCTTACTGTGTATGCCATGCACTTTGCTTGCCCCACATTACTGTTCCATCTGTGTAAACTACAGCATCACCTTCAACTGTGTTTTTGTCAATTAATGTTCTGACTAAAGTGTCAACAATGCCAGGAATCTGCTCGATGTATTATACACCTAGACTATGTTTATACCTCACCAGGTACTGGCCAAAGAATCAAACAGCACTCCGGACAGATCCATATGTGCTCGGATCTCCACCTCAAAAGCTCCACAAGTGTAAAATGAGTAATGATGCCGCTTCTGTGTTGGTTCATGAAACATCTTGTCCCCTTATTGAAATGTTCATTTCTTGCAGCTCCCGGCTCCACTCCGCATGTCTGTCAGCCTAGTCATGGAAACAGAGTCATGTCCTTTGGCAAGCGTGTCATCATGGTAAGCGCTGTGCATAACACTGAGAGCAACACTTCTGTCCAGTACTGGACAAGCCATAGCAACCACAGTGTCAGCAAGATAATCTGCACACTCGTTCCCTTGAACATCTGCATGACCTGGCACAAAGATGAAAGTTAGGGCAGCGAATCATGAAGTGCTTAGTGTTGCAATCCATTCTTGCCTGATAAAACCAGCTTGGAATTTTAAGCATATTTATCGAGTCATTAAGTATGCACACAAGTGTGAACTCTTGGGTACCAAGCCATGCTAATGCCCTTGTTAAAGCCGTAGTTTCTATTGTAAGGCTACTAGTTGTAACAGTAAAAGCGCCATTCATCTCCTTGATGGTTTTCCCCCTTGAGCTTACTGTGTATGCCATGCACTTAGCTTGCCCCACATTACTGTTCCATCTGTATAAACTACAGCATCACCTTCAACTGTGTTTTTGTCAATTAATGTTCTGACCAAAGTGTCAACAATGCCATAAATCTGCTCGATGTATTATACACCTAGACTATGTTTATACCTCACCAGGTACTGGCCAAAGAATCGGTGAGTGAATGAAAAATAAATACTGACAGCGCATCCTGTCCTTCAATGTTGTCCATCTTTCACCTGTTGATTTGACTGTCATTGCACGAGTGAGAAGTCTGCAAGAGACTGGAGCCAAACTGAATTAGACCAGAGTCATTAGTCGGGTGACTGTAACTATTGTCACTATAATGTTATCCTCTGCCTACCACTGGGGAACATGAGGCCATGATCAACAATTTCAGAATCATACATGTTGCGAAAATCCTGCTGCAGATAAGTGGAAACATAGACCAGGGATGGGGGAGGGGGGGGGGGGGTACACATTTTACAACACAGAAAATATAAACAGAAAATGGATAAACGAATGTCAGACTTACTTCTTGCATTGCACTATGCACCAGAGACAATGAACTGAGAACTCTGTCACAGAGGCCATTGAACATACTAGAATCTCCTTTTGCGATTTCTTCAACAGTCTCTTCGTCTCTATTTTCAATTGCTTCCTGTTGCTGTGAGTATAAGATGTTGGATAATTTACAGGAACTATTCAACTCACAGAATATTTTAGCTGGTTATGAGTTGTGATTTAAAAATCCTTTATATTCAGTATTTTAAGATATTCAATGATATTTTAAAGTAATTCTTCTTCTAAAATCACCTTGGCTCTCAGGTTGACCAAGCCTTGAATGGGTACTAGGTACAGTCATGGGAAGTAAAGGCATAATGCTGACTACATCACCCACCCAGTGCTGATTGGTCTTTAAAATTTTGGTCTAGCCCTATATGCCCAATACACCTAAAGGCATGGAAATGAGACCTTTACTTACTAATTCTTCTTCTCCAGCAGCCTGGTGTTGTGACTGAGGTGACTGTTTGACCAGCAAACCAGCATCTAGGGATTCATGATAACTTGAGACCCGCTTGATTCAAGTGCCAGTTAGACCATTAAACATCAGTATTACACTTTATTATATATGCCATCAACCCCAGTATGAGAATGAAGGAAATGCCATTAATCTTTCATCACTCTCAACCATAAAATAGAACATTAGAGCAATAGTTACCAAAACATTATAACAAGTCCCTGCTACCATGCCTCACAGTCCCATCTTTGGAACATCTGTACATGAGTCGAATAGCGCTGAAGAATAAACCAGCACAAAGTCCGAACAGTCCTACTAAGCTCTACAACATGGAGCTGGTAACTTGCGACCGTTTGGCACAATGAGGCAAGCAGGATTCACTAATCACATTAGCACAACAAACCGGTACAAGGTCCAAACTGCCCATCAGTCACCTCAACCTGGGGATGTTAACCTGCATTCGCACACAAAAACACCAGCAGGTCTCACTAATCACATTTATTTCTCAACTGTATTTTCACTCCCATAAACACCCGTCCAGTACACGCAAATCCCTTTCTGCCAGGACTACAAGTACTGCGACTTTCCCCAAGTCTCAGCTAGCGCTCTAAGCTCCTGCCCCCACACTTGATATTCATGCTAGTTAATAACATCATGAGAAAACTGAGACATTAATAATCATACAATCATGTTCCAATCCCATTCATTCCATTATCATTCTGGCTCTCTTTTTCTCAATATTTATGTGTATACAAGTGACACACAAAACCTGGTCTGGGGCAAACATAAATGATCACTCCTGTTCACTTTTCCATTTATCTGAGATTTAGATTTCTCTTCTTCTTTTTCTTTGCTACTCTTTTTTTTTTTATATTTACCCTGAAAAGAGTGGTTAGCATGCTGTTTTGGAGTTCACAACTGAGTTGTGCTATCTGTGTCTTTCAAGCTCACACATCTGATTTCAGCAAACCAAGAATTAACCAGCTTTTTCAAAATGCTTGTTAACTCTTTCAGTCCCAGGTGGTTTCACAGCAGAAGCCACATTTGGCACAAAAATCACAGTGAAAGATTTATAAAAAAACAATCATCAGTCTGACTTTTAAAGAGGATGTACACCACTCTGGTGGCACTTGTGCCTATTCCTTGCCAGTTTCTATGTCCTCAGTTAAACAATCTTGTTGAATAATGTCCTCAGTTAAACAATCTTGTTGAATAAGGTCCTTAGTTAAACAATCTTGTTGAATAATGTCCTTAGTTAAACAATCTTGTTGAATAATGTCCTCAGTTAAACAATCTTGTTGAATAATGTCCTCAGTTAAACAATCTTGTTGAATAATGTCCTCAGTTAAACAATCTTGTTGAATAATGTCCTCAGTTAAACAATCTTGTTGAATAATGTCCTCAGTTAAACAATCTTGTTGAATAATGTCCTCAGTTAAACAATCTTGTTGAATAAGGTCCTTAGTTAAACAATCTTGTTGAATAATGTCCTTAGTTAAACAATCTTGTTGAATAATGTCCTCAGTTAAACAATCTTGTTGAATAATGTCCTCAGTTAAACAATCTTGTTGAATAATGTCCTCAGTTAAACAATCTTGTTGAATAATGTCCTCAGTTAAACAATCTTGTTGAATAATGTCCTCAGTTAAACAATCTTGTTGAATAATGTCCTCAGTTAAACAATCTTGTTGAATAATGTCCTCAGTTAAACAATCTTGTTGAATAATGTCCTCAGTTAAACAATCTTGTTGAATAATGTCCTCAGTTAAACAATCTTGTTGAATAATGTCCTCAGTTAAACAATCTTGTTGAATAATGTCCTCAGTTAAACAATCTTGTTGAATAATGTCCTCAGTTAAACAATCTTGTTGAATAATGTCCTCAGTTAAACAATCTTGTTGAATAATGTCCTCAGTTTAAACAATCTTGTTGAATAATGTCCTCAGTTAAACAATCTTGTTGAATAATGTCCTCAGTTAAACAATCTTGTTGAATAATGTCCTCAGTTAAACAATCTTGTTGAATAATGTCCTCAGTTAAACAATCTTGTTGAATAATGTCCTCAGCCTGACAGACCCAGGAATTTCCTCTTTTTAACCTGCTACCCTTCTTCCTGCGAATCTCACTGTGCAATGGATGGTGTGTATTGGCATTGATACGCAGATACACACATGCTCAGCAAATCACTGTTCTCACTTCCATGGTTGGCTGTGTTTAAAATATTTAGCCAGACTTCTTTAGCATATTCAGGTCAAACGTGAAAAATAATAACATAGTGTGTTTGACACACTTAGACATAAGCTGGGTACACATGGTGCATTGACTGGGATATAAAGAGTTACTGAGCAGTGGGTCTTTCTCTTTATTTTATTCTTTCAGCATGAGGCCCTGAAACACAGATGAGGATTTCAAATTTTAATGAAATGGCAGTTCATTTTATTATTATTACTTGTTGCAAAGCTGCTTAATCTTTCCACATACATCTTTGACTTCCTCTAATCCATTTGCTTAGTATTTTGTCACATAACTTACAAGATAAATATTTAATTCTTTAAAATTAGAAACTTTCTTCTTTGTCTTCTTCTTCATGTTCACTGGTTGATAATTCAGCTGAAAATTCTGGTTGCTCTTCAACTTCTGAACATTAGTCTTGCTCTAGAACCTGAGTATTGCATGCACATCAGTTTTACATGTCTGTTTTATTTGTATGCAGACTTCTAGAATCCACACACGGAAATTAGAAACAAAACCACAAGGTAAAGGTTGACATCAGAGGATTAAAAAACATTTTACCTCTTCTTTATTGAACTCTGCAAGTGCATTCCTTTCTTGACCTTCCATTTCAGGATTTTCAGTGATGGAAGTCCTCACACTTTGCTCATCTAAACAATGATACAAATAAGCATTAATGACTCTTTCTCTCTCTCTCTCTCTCTCTCTCTCTCTCTCTCTCTCTCTCTCTCTCTGTTATATTTACATTAATTATTTCTATTTAATCATAACCATGAATGAAAGAATGAACAAACAAACAAATTTTATTTTCAATGGGTCACAAAATGGGCATACAGGCCCATCTTACACTGAGCCCTTTGAAACATTAATCTTTCGTATGGTAACTGTATAGTATATTTAATTTATACATGTTATGTTCTTATAACAATATACTATGGGTCTCAAGTAAAATATACAATATCACATTTAGTAAATGCATACATTCAAATATAAACACTTGCCATACATACTTACACACACACACACACACACACACACACACACACACACACACACCCAGACAGACAGACACACACAGACAGACAGACAAACAGACAGACAGACTCATAGGCCCTACATAAATATATACATATGTGCACAGGCACACACACCCAACACTAGCATAGTGATGCATGTTTATGCTGTCTTAGAGGCCGAGATAGGAGACAAATAACCACCTTCTCATAGGAAAAAATAGTAGAAGTACTTTGGAGTGGCTGCTGCATCGGAGGACTGAGCACGCATGCGAATGCCCGATGTGCAGTGACGTCGAAAATTGCGCTTAACTTCGCTCACCTGGATTTCCACACCTGGCCATGCAGGCGTAAAGGGAAATGAGCGAGTAGACCAACTGGCAAGCACTGCACTAAGGCATGTGGGAAGAAGCATGGACAGAGCAGATATCGTCAACACTGTACGGACTGGGCTGGTGGATAATGAGGAATCCCTGACACGAACACAGTTGCGTGACATGGGAGTAAAGCATGGTGAAGCACGTTTATGCCGTCTTCGAAGCTGAGATAGGAGACAATATAACCAGCTTCTCAGGGGAACAATTGGTAGAAGTACTTTGGAATGGCTGCTGCATCAGAGGACTGAGCACGCATGGAAATGCCCAATGTGCAGTGACGTCAATTGTGATAACATAACATAACATACATACTATATGTATGCATACATGAATACACATGAACATACTCATACACACAACATACTCAGAAATTCATGAGTACACAAACATACACACAAACTCCTACATTCATAAAAAGACATACATATATAGACTTTCATACATATCGTTACCTAGCACATTTCCGTCTTTCTCAGTGACAGTTTTATAGTACTGTGCTATTTGGATGCATAGGACTGACAGCCCATGACACTGGCGAGCATGGCTAACAAGACCTGTCGGCATTAATCTAATAAAACTCTTCTAAAATCAGAGCATGACATTTTAGGACGGTTATTGTTATCACACCAAGAATGGAATTCAGTGGACCCCTACAAAACAGCTTGATGATCTGGACTTCGCTGATGATATTAACCTTCTGTCCCATTTGCGGAATCAGATGCAAGATAAATTATATATACTTGATGCAAGATCACAGCAGCTTGGTCTGAAAATCCATAAAGGAAAGACAAAGATAATGAGAATAAATCAGGCAAATAGTAATGTGGTTTCTCCTAATGGCACCCCCACGACGTGGAGTCGTACACCTATTTAGGCAGTAATGTAGATAAAGATGGTGGAACTGATAGATATTAAAATAAGAATACAAAAGGCAAAAGGAGCTTTCATAGCACTAGGGAATTTGTGGAGGTCAAAAGAAATTAAAAGAAATACTAAACTAAAAATGTTTAATTCTAAT